GCAAGCAATTTAACACCTGACGTATTATAGAATATACCATGTAAGCCACGTACGTTTCTGATAAATATCAAGTCAATAATTTATTTGCATTGAGGTATACTTGGTAGCCAGTAGGAAGGGCCAATGCAAGACTCGAGTTACGGAATGCATATTTAACGTCGAGCTCGATCTTTATTTCCATATATAGTCACAGACGTCCACCTAACTCCTATTGAAAATTACTCACTTTTACCCATATACTATCATGTAATAATTGTCACATATCGCTAATAAACATATTAATTATAAACTACAGAAACTACCCGACAGTCTGAGTTGGAGATATAATAAATTTCAGACTGGAAGGAGCTTGTGAAAAGCTGGTGGAAAACGTGGCACATAGGAACGGTTGGCGTTTTTTTGGCTTTAACTTGTAAATAAAGTAATTATTTAAATAATTTTAACATATTTAAATTGGATCAATTAGACCTATCCGTCAACACGAAATAATTCAAGAAAAGAGTTTTAGTAATTAAATACCGTCTATAGTTTACGCGAGTAGTACACATTTAAATAAAATACTTTAACGGTTTAAAACGCGATGTATTAGTTAAACTTATTTGAAAATATGTTTAACTAATATATCTTTTTAGAAATCTTAAAAAACTAATTAATTATCTTATTAATTAGTTTCTTTGCACCTACCTTTATCTGTAGTTAAAATTTTTACTCATAATGTTTGTTTTTATCTTTATTTAATATATTTAATTAAAGTCGTTCCTTTATGTATGATACATAAGTAGTAAGAATCACCTTTATTTTTCATTTATCTACATATTTAAAATACTTGGTTCTTGATGGCTGACAGGCTTAAATGCAGGATCGGACTTCCCGAGGGTTCAATGTAGAGCATAATCTGATTGTATCTCTGCAATCAATACTTTTAAATCTAGAGATAGATCTAAGACATGAAGAAAATCTTATGTGTGACAGAGGCTTCTTAAATACTGTCTATAGTTTACGCGAGTAGTACATATTTAAATAAAACACTTTAACGGTTTAAAACACGATGTATTAGTTAAACTTATTTGAAAATGATTTTTAACTTCGGCCCGACGTTTCGGATGCTTTGCAGCAGCCGTGGTCACGGCTGAATCATTTTCAAATAAGTTTAACTAATACATCGCGTTTTAAATCGTTAAAGTGTTTTATTTAAGAGGCTTCTTTTACGAAATTTTAAAAATATGTTCTATAATAATAATAATAAAAAGAGCGTAAATTGAATTCCACTTCATGGATGAATTTGGATGCCCAAAATAACTCAGCTAGTATACTATAAAACATTGATTGAAAGTACCCATTGGTATCGATCATTTGGCGGATCGGGAAAAATTTTTTAGCGGGCACACCGCGGGACGTCTGTAATACTTAATAAATAATTCAACAATATACCCACCTAATATGCCGCGGCCGCTAGACTTGAGACTCGTCATTGAAACACTGGGGACCCTTTACCGTACTGATTAGTCCATTATGCAAACGGTTATGCCGTTCGTGGATGGTCAGGATATGGTGCTTCCGTTTCAGATGCTCGTGAGGTAAATATAAATGAACAGTCTCTTTTCAAATGTCACCAATTCGTGCTCATTATAAAACAATTGCGAAACATCAAAAAGCAGTTTCTAGTAAGCAACCATTTTAAAAGTATGTGTTATTCAAATGTACTCCAGTGAATGAGTGAATCGCAACTGTTGTATAGGCAAACGGCTTTACTGATTTTCTATAAACTACTGAGTCAACCTTATTATCATCCTCAAATAACATGCTATTTTTAATTATAAAACAATTACCAATTATACTTAGAATATGAAGTACGAGATGGGTATATTGATGACATTGTATCAACAAGCCCTTCAATATTTACGTTGAAAGTTTTACGCTTGTATTGGCATTTTAATTCCCTAGTCAACATACCCTGTCCTTTTATAGCTAGAGGGATACCTACTTAACATAATATGATATTGCGGCGCCAAGCCATTGCCCTCAAGCGTACTGCGTGATGTGTTGTCAGGTGGCGATTGTCGTATGTTTATATACATATTGTCTATAATACTCTATACTCTATAGCAACAAAACACAATAACGTTTGCTGACCTACTTGCATGTTATCATAACTGTTTCGCCCTTTAAAATACATAATACTGTTGTAACTTAATTGGAAGGAGCATTTCGTTACTTATCTAAATGATATAAACAATTATTGATAAAAGAAAATCAAAAGAAAAATCATAATTTTTAATACTACACTGAAATAGATAATAATAGTGGAATAGTGTAGTGTAAGACTTGTACTTAAAAAGAATTAGAAGTACATATGAAATATATTATAAATCTAAATAGTTAAAATAAACGAAATCTAAAGGACCTCTATTTAAAAAAAAGGGAAGTTTCTTTCCCTTAATATTCCATTTTTGTTTTTTTATAAAATTTGACATGTTGGTTGACTCTAATATCTATTTAATTATAATTGAGATTTACAAACGGCAATTGCGTTGTCGAACTTACTTTACCGATATATACACACTTACTATACTTACAAACAATCTATTATATAGGTTATAATTCATAATAACTATGTTTGTAGAACAAAGTGACCTAAAGGAATCGTGGTCGCAAACATGCCGCAAGAGTGCGGTGAAGTAGCACAGAAGAGGTCTTGGAGGGGCGGGGTGCGGAATGAGACGTCATGGATCCCGCGGATGTTCGGGTTCAATACCCGTGTGCCCGTACCGACGCTGATCACACCATCTTACTGGGAATCATACAGCGTAATTTAACCACGATAAGCCAGATTACACCGAAATATAAAAATATGAATGTAATTGAGGTAACTACAAGCACCTTATCATTAAAAATACGTAAGCTTTAATTAATTTTATCGCAACAATAATAAATAAAAATATTTGAGTGTTTATAATTTTGAGGCCTTTTTTTGAAACATTTTGTGAATATTAAATAAAAACTACTTATGAAGTAAAATCTTATAGAAAATTCTTTATGTATTTAAAACCCGGGCTAGCATGCACGCGAAGACATGTCTCTCACAGTGCTAAACTCTTAGACTTTCATTAAATCACTTTTGTACATTTGTACTCTTTACAATACGTATTTTGCTCGTAGTTATCGTTAGCGATTTTGCCTATTCTTATTGTCTTTATAGTGTAATTTTGAGGGATTTGATTTGAAACGGAAGCTTTAGTCAATAAAGCTACTTTTAGAATCGATTAAAATGTCGAAAAGTTCATATGGGGTTGTTTCATAAAAAAAATATCAGTTCCTTGGGTATATAGGATGTTTGTAATATTTTATGAATATATAAATATTTTATTGCATATTGGTTGGCAATATGAACCTACATTACCCTAAACCTTGTTTGTACAATTGTAAAACATTCGGAAGTAAAGAACATTGGTACAAACGAATCAACTGTATAAATATTTTTTATTAAGTATATTTTAGCAGGTAAGAAATATTTTTAGGGACCTACTATAAGCCAAGCTCCTATTTTAAAGTCTAAAAAATAAAAAGTAAGTAATAAAATCAAATGTAAAAAATGTATAAAATTCCTATCCTCTTAGTGTTTAACAGTTTTCTTTCGTTTTGCAACAAATTATGAAATAACACTGGGTAGTTAAGAGCGAATAAACAGCTTAGCCAAAATCCCTTCAGCGGCAGCCTTGCAATTGAAAAACGAAAAGGAATACAGAAAAAATTATACTTAATACCTAACTTTTTATGTAGGTAGTTATGCTAATATCAAAAGTTAATGACGACACATTGACGGCCCACATCATCGGGAAATATTATTTGCCTATTAGTAGGTATTTAGTAAGGTCCGTGGGCAGGCTAAGGTCAGCCTTGCACCCACACGGACCGTTTATGTATCACGGTTTAACACAAGGCGCCCCTTGGCGTTAAAATGATTTAATAAGCAAGTATCATGTTACTCAATTCTCAATCTTAAGTCTATATTAACAACGTTTTATTTGAAACTCGATTCACATACGAAATAAGCCATTTTAAATTATAAATTTTGCAACATTCACCTTTGCCTAATCTGGCAAACGGATTTTAGAATGGCACCAGTGGGTGGCTTTTGAGATGGTTGTAACAGAAGTTATTAAAAATCCTTTAAAAAAATATTGCTTAGATTAGACCAAATTTACTGTTTTATATTAGACATTATAAAGAGCTTTCATTTAACATTGTCGTAACAACTACAAGAAGGGAGTTGTTACTAACTAGTAAATGCATTGTTCAGGGTAATGTTTTCGTTAAACAGTATTATTTTTTTGAGAATACTATTAAATATAAAAAAGACTTTGCTACAAAGAAATAAGCATCATTTTAAATTTTTAGTCTACGTGAATGTATGTACATTACAATGTTTGAGAAGAGAGACATATATTAAATAATAAAATAAAAAGTAACGAACTGACTACAAAAAGCAAAAGCAAAAATTTTGCATCGTATTTTGATTTACTTAAATAGATAATATTTCATTAAATGTTTTATAATTTTGAAGTCGGTACCATAAATGCATATGTATAAATACTGTAAAAAAGTTAAACCTCCTTGGAACATTAAAAGCTTAAAATATTGAAAAGCAAAACGGAGATAGATTAAAAATCGAAAATAAAATGAAAATTTAAGTCTTCAAACAAAGCTGAGGTTGTATGTATTTATATCCTCTTTAAAACACTCATTTTAAAATTATCTGTAAAAAATTAATGAATACGTTTCCCATTTTATCCAAATGCGAAAAAAAATAACTATAGACTATATACGCTTCTAGGCATATAACTATAGTGAAATAAAGCTATTTTGTTGTTGTATTCTGTGGTTTATCTTGGTACAGATAGAACCCCTATAAGATTGCCATAAAAAAATAAAAAGTATATTTGACACTTTTAAATTGTATATAATGTTTAGCCAAAAATGATGTCAAAAATTAAACAAACATGGAGGGTGATGAAAGTGACAGGTTGGTAAATAATAGTAGCAAAAATAATGATAAAAATTACGAAATAAATATATTTTTTACAATAATATGCCTAATTGATTTGTAATTAATATTTCTTTATTTTATTTGTTTTGAAGTGATCTCAAACAATCTAGCGTTGCTATTATAAGAGAAGTTTACGATAGTGAAAATGCTCACCTTAAATTTGAGATGGAATTGGAAAGAGCACTTGAGGCTGGAGTTAGTGTAATTGTGATCGAACCAGAACCATTAGGAGAAGAAACAGCCCGATGGATTTATGTGGGAAATCTATTACATAAAGTGTCATTGTACAGTGGATTATGCAGCATCACAACAGGTATGCTAAACAATTTTTCTACTGTCATTAAGATGCTTCATTTATATCATGTCATGTTTTCTACATAAGGAATTTATAGTCTAAATGTTTTATATAAAAATAAGGATTTAATTTGCATTTAAATAACAAGTTTGGTTTTTTGTTAATTCCTAGGAAGTTATCCTTTAAATAGAGTTTTTACTTTAGGTTTAGCATGGAATTCTTTAATATGCACCCCTTTTGGAGTGATGTCAGTTCTATGTGCTGGTTGTTATACTCTGTCATGGCAATGGGACCCATGTTGCAAATATCAAGAAGAAAAGGATCGACATCATTTATCAACCTTGCCAATGTTAAGTGATCTTACTTCAGCCACACCTGTTGTACTGGTACGCACAGATAATAGACGGAAAATTATGTTACATAGCACATTATCTATAGCAGCAGCTTCTATTTGTTTGTGGAGACTGTATCAAACATTTAAATAATGTTTTATTTTAGTTAGTTTTGCAATAACTTAAAAACAAATACAGCTAAATACTTTTACTGACTTGTGTCTCTTGTCTCAATCTAGTTTAATTTATTGTTTGCTTAGTTTAACTTATTTATAATATTGTAAATTGTAGCTATTGATATATTATTGTATGTAAACATAGAGAAATAATTATGTACAAAACATTGTTTAGAATGTATAAAATGCTTATTTAGTGAAATGAAAAAGAGGTTGTTAATTTTTTCATAGTGTTGTAAGGACAATTAATTAGCTCAGAAACAAATAAAAGATACAATTTTAAATTCTTATTTCTTTGAGTCTTTTTACTATTAATCATTAATGCAAACAAATAGTTCCCAAGTAAAATAATGTACACCCAATAATGTTTTATAATATATTGATGTAATAGGAAAATAAAATTATAACCCTGTTGACAAAAATAATAACTAAAGTACCTACCCAACATATTGTATTACAAATAGAATATTGTATGGTGCATTATGAAAATAATAAAATTTGAGCCACGCTGGTTACTGATTATAAACCTTTTTCTGCATCCCAATTATGCAGTTTTAATTGCTCTCCTTGCCATGATATAAAAGTATAAAGATGGAAAAGCTTGTCGTAGGTATACTGCAAGTCTTGGTACAGCTTGGCTCACAATAGCTTCATTATTTTTATTAACAACCATATCTAGAATCTTTGTGGCACAATATTCTGCACTAAAACCTTGAGCAGTGCTTTTATCCATTACTAAAACAAAAAATGGTGCTATTGTAGTTATGCCTAGGCACTAGAAATCTTTATTATTGTTTTTCTTACCTCCATGATTGTTGCCAGAACTAGTCAAAGCATTAATTGAAACAGCTGTTTTTACATATCCTGGGCTTACAACAGATACATCAATGTTATATTGATTCATTTCTGCACGAAGACAGTCACCAAAAGCTTGAAGAGCATGTTTGGCGGCAGCATATGCAGACCTGTCTGGAATGGCTATTAACCCTTGCACTGAACTGACAAATACAATGTGACCAGTCTTTCTTGCAATCATATGTGGTAATACAGCTGAAATGAACGCAATTCTCTTATTTTAAAACTCTAATATTACAAAGGCTTTTATCTTATACACAAATTTAAACACTTTGTCTTAAGTTCATGATGTGGAACTTTATATATATACCTTTAGTAAGAGCCACAGAACCAAAGTAATTTATATTCATAATTTTTTCATAAACATCCATTTTTGTATGAATTATTGACCCTCTGTGTGAAACTCCACCATTGTTAATAAGGATATCTATTTTTTCACAAGAATCTAGTACTTTTTGTATAAATAATTCAAACTGATGTGTGTCAGACAGATCTAATTCAATAACCAGGGGTTCGGGAACAGGATATTCCTACAAGAAATAAAGAGTAATTAAGAAATATTTACTCAATTATCAACTTAGGAAAAGGTTATTAGTTACATTACTAAAAATCAATTTTTATTATTTAAGTCTACTTACAACTTTCTTACACATTAAGTCGTGTTTTACTCTTTCCAATTCTGATTTTCTCCTAGAAGCCAATATAACTTTACAGCCATATTCATAAAACACATGGGACAAAGCTTCACCTATACCAGAACTAGCCCCAGTGATGATCACAACCTTTATGAAATTGATTCAAAATTACTATCAAATATTATAAAATAATAATAAATATATTATTTCAAGGATCTAAATGCAATTATATTATACCTTTCCCTCCAACGCGTTTCTTCTTTTACGTTCTATGTATTTTCTATACAAACGAAACATTGTAAAAGCGACCGTTAACGATAAACCTGTGTATTTTATAAACCAAGACAATCCAGTACTTTTCATCGTTGTAATTATGTATATTATATGTAACGTAAGAAGGTCAAGTAACTGCAATCGAAAAGGACGAACATATAATCTCGTAACTGCAGAAAGATACCTTTAACCTGTATTGCAATGTCATTACTGAAATAAATACGTTATATAACATTTAAATGTGGAATATTATTGGAAAAAGCGTCGAAATACATTTAATTCTACCCTCCAATCTTATAATACTGTATTTGCCTGTTATTATTTAAAGATAGCCCCGACACGGCGTTATATATAACAATAATTGCAAGTTATTGTTTTAGTAAAGTCTGTGTTAACCTAATAATTTTTATCTACTTTATGCACAACTGCGGTCGGTAAGAATTGGTTAAATGTTTTAGCGAGTTTATTTAGCTTATCGGTTTGCCGACAATGTAGACATCTACTTTAAGAAACAAAGCACGCCTAATAGTGTAGCCGGTTATTTTTAACTTTGGTACAAGCATATTGCGGGTTTATATCATATTATTATAGTTAATATGATTTTTTTTAAAGTTACGCTTTCTTCCACAGCTTAACTTTTATTTATTTACGATTATTTATAGTCTGGCAAATTGTGTCTTTTGTAATAAACAAAATTTATTTCATATACCTACATAAAAATCCTCGTGTTGAAAGCCCACAATTAATAAAAATATTTATTTAAATTTAAAAGAAATACTCAAACATTTAGTACTATTAATCGATAGCTAGCGTTTAAGCTTTGTTTTAAACAGTATTTAGATGTTCTGTGCTTTAGCTAACATTTTCACAACTCTATAATCTGTTCCTTACTTTTTTACATTTATTTTGAGATAAATGGCAACTCCGATCTAAATCTCAATTCCATGAAATATCCTAAATGTTAGGAAATTATGTTTGGTTTAATCTGAATTTAAATATTTTTACTATGTTTCAGTGAGTATAATGGCATAATTTACAAACAAACAGATAATTAAATGTATGCTTTTTTCGTATTCTGGGGAGTGTCATACAGATGCGCTGACCTTCGTTTTGATGCACAACGCACAACAAAGCATCAAATTGACGGGTGCCCTATTTTCACAACAATCTTTGGGTTTAACTCTATCAATTAATGAATTGTATATTACGTGCTTAACTCAGATTCAGAAGAAACGTGTATTTAAGACAAGTGTTAATGTGGAAAGTTAAACGATAATGGAAACTGCGACTACGCAAACAACGTCAAGTAATAAAGTGTGTTACATTACTAGAGAAAACACTTTCTTTCTGACTTCTAGGATAATTGTACTGAACTTGGAAAAATAAAACAAAAATTGTTCTCAAGATGAACGAGAGGGATATTCCAAGTGTCCCTATAACAACTTTAGCAGGAGTAGCCAGCCTAACTGACTGTAAGTATTTTGCAACTATGTACATACAATTTGTTAGGTTTATATTTTGTTTGTAAGATAGTAATTATTAAAAAAGAATGGCAATACATAAATGTATTATTTGGCTTACATACAGACATTATTTAAAATTGGAACACTGGTTATTGGCTATAATTTGTAAGGCATAAGTTTTATAGTATTGTTACAGTTATTATCTATACAAAAATTACTAATAAGATTATACTGTACAAATATATCAATAAATTCATTGAATTAAAACTGCTTTTATTCTGTATAAATAAAGCCAAGCAGAAGCAATAAATATTTCAGGTTTTTTTTTTCAATTTTCATTGATGTTACTATAAATCATAAAAGAATGGGTTTTTTGTCAGGGTGTGTCTGTTAACATAATACTTTACAAACATTATTCTAATAAGATTTCTATATATATGTTAAATTGGTTATTGGATACTAATAACGGTCATAACTTAGTGTAATTAGTTACAATACAAGAAAATAATAAAGTGTATGTATATCTATTTAATAGTATGTTATGATCACTCATAGAATAAACTATTTTAGGTTATGTGAAAAATTATAATATTTATTTCAGTACTACCAGTTCTTCCCCTTCCTACACCTTTACCATCCACATTAAGCAACAAGTCCCAGTTGTTTCATCCAAGAGTTGCAGAAGAAGCTGCAATATTACTTGCAACAAGAGATGACAACTTAGTGTCACTGTTACTGCAGTCCCTTATGCAAACTTCAGTGCAGCATATGTAAGGGAAGATTTAATTTAATAAACAAATCTAAACTGTGTACTAGAATACCAGTTTTAACCTTTTTTTCTTTTTCAGAGACCTAAAAGATGAAACAATACCAAACGCTGTTAGTCCAGCACCACAACAGACAACCCCTGAATTATTAAAAGCAATTCTCAGTGTAAATCCTAATGTGTTTGAGCAGCAACCAAGAAATCATTGGGGCAATCACTTAAATACATCCAAATTTAATGGAATGTCACCATCACCAACATTCAACTATACATCACATGCAGCACACTCAAGTCCATCATCACATGGAACAGCAATTCATTCAGCACCCATTCCAAATCAACAGTTACTGGCTCCGCCGAGTCAATCATCCCCTCATGTAAACATGGGTTCACCACCCTCGCAAGCCAGGCCAGGACAACAAGTAAATATCACTGCTCAAAATAATATTTCCCCACCCTGGAACAATATTAATAGATCAAGTACATACACAAGTCCTTTGACAAATACAAGTAACCCACAAAACGGTGGATTTTATAATAGTTTGATGCAAGAGAATAAAAATTTTGGAACAAGTATTAGTGAAGATAAGGACCCACTCTCAATCTCACCAGAACAACAACAAATGGTGATGCAAAATAAGGTGTTTGAACAAGGTAAGGTTTATTAAATTATATTTATTATTTTTCTGCATATATAAACTAATCTATATAAGTGTTTCACTATTATTTGAAAAACAGATGGAAACGTGATGACTGGGCAATCTCCAGCTCAAGCAAGTGTAGCACCTTCCCCTCTCCGACAAGAACCTCAAGTGCCTCAACCATCTATGGGTGCACCATATGCGCCGCCTTCCTTACTCAATTCCATACAAGACAAGCAAGATCAAACTAAAAGTTCTAATTCATTAAATACTAGATATCCAGTAGTCAAGATTGGCCGACTCTCTGTAAGTAAACATTACAATGCTGATATTTTCACTATTTTATGAAATTAATTTAATGATTACATAACTCTCATGCTACTTAATAGAACTTGTTTTGATAAAAACATTGAATTAATTCAGGAGGGGTTGTTGAAGAAACATGACTTTTCAAGTGAAGAGAGAGTGCAAAAGAACAGTACTCTTGATACTGACTCGGACGATAATGCTCCATTAAAACCGAAATCCAGCCTTAAACAAAATTCAACACAACTAGTGGATAAGGAGAGAGAGGCTATAGACAAAGCACGGGAAAGGAATTGGGAAGCGGTTAAGAGAAAACATGAGGAAGCTAGTAAGAAGGAAGAAGCTGAAACTGCAATTGGTAATTCGCAAGAATATATCTTTTATATACAAAAACGCAGAAAATTACATCAAATTTGTGTATACATTATTGTATGTTTTCAGTTCGTCCTAAACTACGAAAAGTTGAAAGAAGATTAGTACCTGTATTAGAAATGTTATCAGTAGATGAACTTATGGAAACAAATACTTATCAAAAGTTTAATAAGCTTATAGAAGCTGTATTCGAAACTATAGATGAAGACGTGATAATCACAGAAGAGATGGGTATGTCTACATAATGTCCCCATTATTAAACCTCTACATATTTTAACACATATAATTAATTTAAAATGAGCTTTTAATGTAAACTTTCCAATAGCTTTCCAATAACATATATATATTTTTTAAATTTAATACATGTGTATGAAAATTTGATATGATCTTTCACAGAGGGACCAGACATTCCTCAAGAATTGTTATTACCTCGTTACCAGCTTCAGGAACTGTGTTCGGAAGCTGCTAAACTAAAAACACTTGGTGCTATGGAGGCCATTCCCTCAGATAGATTACTTCGATTATTGAATATATTGGAAAAAAATATTAGAGCCGCTGAAAAAATGTCACTTATAGGAGATCCTGTAAGATTTCGTGCTATGTTAATTGTTTTTATTAATTATTAATTGTGTCCTAATGTTGTCGCATTCATTAATTTTAGGAGGACAGTGAAGAAATGCGTCAAATATGGTTAGAGTCTGCACTAGAAAGAGTGATGTGTGCTTCAGATGCTTGTCTTACGGCCCTGTACATAATGACTTCTCCGAGTATGCCAAAACGCATATTCTTAGAAGATGTTATTGATAGGATTATTATGTTCATAAAATTTCAACTTAACAACACCATTTATTGCGTCTACGATCCAGTTTATAGTATCCAGACTACGTCTAAAAAGAAAGGTAAGACATTGGCGACGAGAACAAATTTTTACATTATTTAATAGTGCTACATTTTGCATTAAGTGTTTGTGTCAACATACCTAATAGAAGAATTATCAAACTGTAATAATATCAGTATTAGTATAAAAATATCAGTGTTGTGACATTAGTCCCAATGTGCTATGCAATGAGCTGAGTGGAAGGACTGTATTATTTTACTTTATCCGTATTTAGTTGAATCATATAATTTTTATATTATGTAAAAAAATAGTTTATTATTGTAAATTTGTGTTGGTTTCTGAATAAACGTTTATTCTATTCTATATTAATAGTATGTTCATATTTTTGCAGTTGATGGAAGAAAACGTCGAGGAGGCGGCGTGAGCCAGGCGAGTAAACGCAGCGGCGGATCCAACCGCGCTGTTCGCGAACTATACACTCACGCGCATGAATGCGTGACGCTGCTCGGTGAATTGTTTGCTGCGCATAACCTCACCGACACCACCGTATTACATGCCTCAACCGTCGCTGTTTCACCGTTCTTTGTGGAGAATATAAGCGAGTTGCAACTCTCGGCACTCAAGCTTGTTACAACTGTAAGTATATCGTTAGTGTTATTAATAGTATTGTTAGTCATTGGTCTTATTATATTATAGACCTAGGTCTTACATATTACAGGTCTTGAGTGTCCTGTTTGCGTAAAGTTTCAATGTTTTTCAGTGTCAGTCTGTAGATTTCCTAATAAAGAAGTCAATCACTACCCAATGTGAGATGTTATATGGCTGTGGTGTTTCACCTTTCATCCAGTGAACCTGATGCTTATCTGTCTTCCTTTCTAATAAATAATAAATGTACTAGAAACTCGAAACTACGGTCATATCCTAAATTGAAAATATACCTGGTAAAAAGATAATACTGTAAAGGAGCACAATGTATTAGGAGATTTTTCGTGTATCGACGTTTGTTGGAGTTTTCTTTTCGGCTTTACTTTTCTGATTTCGAGCGTATAAGGACCAACAATTTCGTTTTAACTATAATCTTAGTAGTAAGTATCAATAAGTTGAAAAAAATTCGACGATGAGGTGTAGGACTCGGTAGCTCAATTGGTAGAGCAACAGCACGGAACGCTGACGATACCGGTTCAAGTCCTGTCCGAGTTTTTCTTTTCGATTTTTAAATTGTTCAGCATAATTAGTTCAATTCAACAATATGCTGAGTATTAACATACACCTTTCCTAATAATATTTATTTTCTCGTATGTCAGATATTCACAAAGTATGAGCAACACCGAAGACTGCTATTGGAAGATATCTTAGCGTCGATAGCGCGCATCCCAAGCTCGAAGCACAATCTGCGCTCGTTCCAGCTAAGCTCGGACCAGCATATACAGATGCTGACAGCGTTAGTTCTTCAGCTGGTACAGTGTGTCGTTACCTTACCAGAAACGCTCTGTAAGTCGCAAGACAAGGATAAGGAAATAGAAACTGAATCAAAGAAGGTACTTCATACTTAGTTTATAGAATGTATATAATAAACGTGAGTTGGGTAACCTAAAGTCCTTCCCAGGAAGAGATGGAGAAAAGAGTGGAATGGTCTGGAAATAATGTGCATTATAAAAATAAATAGTACTATTAAATTAAAATCAGCATATAATACTTCGTTTCTTCCATCGAAAAAATAAGAGTAACAAAATTAAATTTCTTTTTGTTTATAATCAAGTTTACGTAAGAATAATTTAAATTCCAGCATGTTGATAAGGACCTTTTAATAATATCTAAGTACGAGGCAGCTATAAGCGTAGGTGGAACATTCCTGACGTCATTTCTAAATAAATGTCGAAGTCGCTCGGAAGAAGTAGACTTCAGGCCCTTATTTGAGAACTTCGTTCACGACTTACTCACGACTGTTAACAAACCAGAATGGCCCGCTACAGAACTCTTGCTTAGCCTTCTCGGAACTATGCTTGTGAGTTTTTGTTATGAAAATTATTCAAAATTGTAAATATAAAATATAATAATTCTCACCTTGTCACATACTACATTTTTTCAGCTAAAATATATGTCGGACAAATCTATGGAAATGCCTGTTCGCGTGGCGTCTTTAGAATACTTAGGCCTCGTTGCGTCGCGACTGAGAAGGGACAGTGTTCATTCACGGGCGAAGCTTTCCACCATGGACGCAGTGGTTAGAGATATACGCGCAGAAGAGGAAAAGGATGGAACGCCGGGCCACGTAAGTTTTACTGCAGATACCTTGAATATAAAAATTACTTTGTAAAACTCTTGTACCAGCGGCGAGTTTTTTGACAATTATTGCCTGTTGGATAATTATGCGAATTAATGATATTTTTTTGTATAAGATCTTCTTATATTTTCCTTTAGATACCTTCGACTGGCTTAGATGAAGATGAAGAACGAACAGAATTCTTACAAAGAGTACTTCTCGACTATCTGGCCATCAACGGGCAAAAGGACCAAGCGTGGAACTGTTCGAGACATTTTTATATAACCCAGTGGTACAGAGATATGGTCGTACAACCGAAAACGTCGCCGACCAAGAAACCTAAACATAAATCTAAGAGGCGGTACAAGGAGGAGAGCAGCGATGAAGACTCAGACGCAGATGATGATTGTGATAGTGGTGTCAAAGAATCAAAAAAGCAAGTGTCGACCGCAATCATGTCGGCGGAGAAATTTAAAACAATAGAGCGACGAAAAACGTTTTTCTTAGAAAAAATTAGACCCTTTCGCTATCAGGGAGGTACGCAAGTGCAGGTTATGCAGTCCTACATAGACTACAGCGGAGCAGAACTCATCTCCCAGTACTTAGCATCGAAGAGGTCGTTCTCGCAAAGTTTCGACAAGTACCTGAGAAAAATTTTAATGATCCTATGCGAAAATACGATAGCTATCCGGACGAAGGCTATGAAGTGTTTGACTATGATCGTGGAGGCGGACCCGTCGGTTTTGGCGCGGCCTGACATGCAGATAGGCGTTAACAGGTCCTTTTTGGATCAGTCCACTGCAGTGCGCGAAGCTGCCGTGGATCTCGTCGGCAAATTTGTGCTCAGTCGTCCCGAACTCATTGACAAATACTACGGGATGCTTTCCAACAGAATATTGGTATGTTTAATTTATTAAAAGCTTACAAACATTTATAACGCAATCATCAATTCAAAATCCTATTCAATTCTAACTCAATTCCTATTGATTTAAATGATGACATTAAAAAATAATAAACCGTTATATGTTACATTAAATGTCTTATACTATTGATTTAAATGATACATAAAAAAATAATATAGTTTACTTACTTTTTTTAGGACACTGGTGTCTCTGTCAGGAAAAGAGTGATTAAAATTCTCAAAGACATCTGTATAGAGTGCCCAGAGTTTCCGAAAATTCCTGAGATATGTGTGAAAATGATTAGGAGGGTGAACGACGAAGAGGGTATTCGGAAGCTGGTGATGGAAGTGTTCCAGAACATGTGGTTTACCCCTTGCCCGAATACAGCGCGACCTGGCTCCCTAGATATGACCACGGCGACTGCAGACCCTCTGACGAGAAAAGTTCTAAATATCACTGACGTAGTTATCTCCTCCAGAGATATGGGTTTAGAATGGTTTCAACAATTACTAACGAGTGTGAGTAGAGATACAATTTCATTAAATCATTTCGAATTTATTTTACATTATTTGTTTATTTCATAATATGCCTGTTTGTACACAAAATTTATGGAACAATGTCTGGGTTAGCATCTCATATGCCGTTATGTTGTCTATGATAGATAATACAAGTTTTTTTACAGTTATTTAAACCAAAAGAAGACAAAGATGACTCAACAAAGATCATATACCAACCACCGAAGTCTCTATTGGTAGCGTGTCAGCAGATTGTCGACTGTCTCATAGAACATTTACTGCAGTTGGAAGAGACAAACACAGATGGTAGGGACAATGTGACCCTTGAATTTTTTATTTAAACAATATGTTTAAATTTCATATAAAAGAACAAAATATCTTGTTTACATAACTGTTTGACTATTTTTATATAAACATTATACATTATATTCTCTATCATTATTTGTTAATAACACTTTATACTGTGTACATTATATATTTAAATTATATTCCGTTTGTAGTGAAGTTTTTCCAAACGTGCTTGTGGTTGCAGTGTAACATTTTTTCAGGTAACATCTCTTCACAACGTATTTTGGCGTGCCTGTCCACGCTTCATTTATTTGCAAAGATACGACCACAATTGCTCGTAAACCATGCGTTGACGCTGCAGCCATATTTGAGCCTAAAATGTCAGGTATGATAATATTAATTGCTTTTTTCGCAGAGGTTTGGAACCTTAATTTAATTAAAGAATCTCCTAGAAGTCATATCTATATGAAAAGAGAGATTTGTACAACAACATAAAGATTACTTAAGCCGCATTTCCTTATACAGAAGTAATATTTAAATAAAACGCGATGTATATTAGTTAAACTTATTTGAAAATTATTTTAACAACGGTTCGACGTTTCGGATGCTTCGCTGCAGCCGTCGCGTTTTAAACCGTTGAAGTGTTTTATTTAAATTTGTACTACTCGCGTAAACTTCAGACAGTATTCAAAAGTAATATTTTAATAGGAGAAAACATTATTTTTTAATTCACGTATAACATGGACATTCGCCGTTTATTTGTAATTAAGAAGATGGCTTTATTTATAGAACCAATATGAGCAGCAAATCATGTCCACGGTTGCTTCTACCCTCGAATTGGTAGTGCCCTTAATGGAGCACCCTAGCGAAGTGTTCCTGGCGCAGCTTGAGGAAGATGCCGTTAAGCTGATCCTGCAGCGTGGACAGCTGGTTATAGCTTCCTGCATTGCCTGTCTCGCGGCGATTGTTAATAACCTCACGCACAACTATAAGCTCATTAGAGATGTTTTTAATCAGTATCACAGTGAGTACTTGTTCTTGAAAAATATGATATTATTCACGCAATTATCTTGTATAGATCATTAAGTTATCAAGAACGTAGAAAAGTTTCGTGACTGAAGGACGATTACTTAAGAAAATATGATTATTCCTATAGGAATATAAAATACTCAAAATCTACATACAAGCGGTATTTACTTACTAGCTGTGGCAGCGACTTTGTCCGCGTAGAGTAGTTTTTTTGGGTATGAATTTTTTTTTGCAAACCTGTTCACGAAATTTAAGCTGTTACCCACACGACGTCCCGTCGTCCTTGCAAGTTAATCTTAAAAGATACACAAGACATATTCTGTCGCGCTTTCCTACATAATTTTGGGTACTGTTTTTGCAGCATCGGAAACCCACAATGATGAATAGTTTTCCTTAGTTTTTTTTTTACATTTCCCGCTGTTTCTTCGCTCCTATTATTCACCGCGATATGTTTTAGAGCCTTCCTCTAACCAAACATAAAAATAATTTTTCAATTCGGATCAGTCGTTTGACATCAATAACGAACTTTTACGTATTTATAGTCGCTAGTGTAGTGAGTTGATTATTATGTGTTATTTTTTATTGTGTTCAATTTCTCTACATTATATAATAGATTTTATATGTAAACAAAATAACTTATTTGCTTTTTTAGGTATTCTTCTGCAATGGAAACAAGGTTGGCAGCGTAATCCGGACGTAACGCGATCACTGCACTCGCGGCCACATTTTAGACGAGCTCTGTTCATAGTTGGGCTTTTGCTCAGATATTTTGACTTCACGGATAGCAAAGTTATTGATGGTTTACAAGTAAGTTATTTTCAATATGCATTTCATTCATCCAACCAATATCCACTAATTCACCGAACTTATATATATATCATGTATCATGCGTAATCTAATATATTTAATTACAGGACGACATCAAAGAGCAAGTGTACAGTACATTGATGTACTTCGTCAGTTTGGAAGATGAAGATTTTGTGTCACACACATTGAAAGCCCTGGGTTCAGTTTGCGTGAGGCATTATGAGTTTATGCTGCAGCCGGAGCTAAAAGAATTCTACCACCACCTTCTCACCTCTGATCATGCACCGATCGAGATGAAAGCTGATGTTCTTAGAAATATCGAGATGTACTTACAAGAGGAGGAACAGCGAATGATTAGGCAAGATAAGGAATGTGAGTACCTTGTACTTATTTTGAAAATATATATGAATAACTTATTCACTAAACCAATCGTCACCAATTCGATCATTAGTCATCATAAAGAGGCATAAATTATTGTATCATATATAAATGTTTTGGTTGCATAAACCGTTTCCGTAGTCCACCCAACGGAAGCCATTAAAGTTGAATAATTTTCCCGCTTTTTCTCACATTGTCCTCTGTTTCTTTGCTCCTATGGTAGTGGCCTGATTCTGTATATCCTCGATAAATGGTCAAACTAACTAACATAAAATGTTTTTTCAATTCAAACCAGTCGTACCTGAGATTAGCGCGTCCAAACACACAAACTGTCGCCTTATGATAGTATTTTTGAGTGAGAAATAAACTCTTTTGGTAGCCACAAGAAATTTTTTAATTTATTTTAATATTTCAGGGTCAAAAAGATCTAAGATGGAGAATTTAAAGGAAATGGGTGACGTATCATCTGGTATGGCATCTACTGTAATCCAGCTTTACTTAAAAGAGATCTTGGGTTCCTTCATGCACGTGAGTACAACGGTGCGGTCAAGTGCAATGAAAGTAGTGCAGTTGGTACTCGCACAAGGTCTCGTGCACCCTGTACAGGCAAGTATTTTTTATATATCTGCAATATATAAAAAAATGCCCCAAAAATTTAAGTCAATGGATAAAACATCAAAACTATATTATTATGATTGCACGGTTCAGTTTTTACAACTTCATATTATATCTAAATAAACGATATTAACATATTGAAGAATCGACGTACTTCGTGAAGAATAGAGAGAGGGCTTTTGCTTTAGGGGAAATTAATTTGAATGACTGTTTGATAATGACGGGAAATTAATTTGAATCGTTATTTAATTAGAACCTAAAGAGAAGAGAGAAAAACAAAGATAGTCTCGCTTTAAATATTCAACTTATCAAAACGATTGTACCCCAATTTTGTTAATATCATTCTTTTTGCCTTTCTTACAGATTGTTCCGTATTTGATAAGCATGAGTACAGATACGGAAATAACAGTATCACACACAGCAGATAAAAACCTGCAGGAGATTGATAAGAAATATCCTGGATTTATTCATATGAAAGCACAACTTGGGATCAGGCTGTCGTACCAATTACAGAAGATATTACAGTCCAACAAGAGCAGTAAAATCATTAGGGGTTTTAGGTAAGGATTTAGAATCATTTTGCATGTCAGAGGGGAAGTTTTGCTCTTCTTATATATATATATATATGTATAAGTATTGTTGTGTAGTTTTCCACACTACATTTAGATCAATTATAATACATATTACGAGAAATTTAGTATCGTTTTAAATTTAAGGATAAGGAGATTAAATGATAAATTAATATTTTATTATCAATAAAATTCTATTGAGGCTTGCTATGGTCATTCTCATTCAATATTTAATTTTATTTGGCAAGAGCTAATGATGGTTACTTTATTAACTTCATTTTTGGTTTCCAGGAAAAAAGAACAAGATGAGCTACCTTCAGCCCTGAACGGTTTTTTATATTCACTATTGAGAAATACTAGGCCACAAAGACGTGCTCTTGTGTTGTCGTTGCTCAAACAATTCGACGACGTTTCGGTAAGTTTATTTTATATTTTAAATACTCTAATGAGTTTTTTATTTATAAAGCGGATACCTATCATATATTATTTCTTTTATTTGCAGACTGCACCCTTGGATCAAATGTTATTTCTGGCTGACAACTTAAGTTACTTTCCATATCAAGTTCAGGATGAACCATTATTTATAATTCATCATATCGATATTATTATCTCGACTTCGGGGTCTAATCTTCTACAGCTTTTTCGCGAGGTAATTAGAGTAACCTATAAAGGAGCCCTTGAATTGTGTTTCTTTCCATAAAAATAATTAATTGATTTCATAGTGACTCAAAATAAAATTGTACACACGCTGAGCCTTATATAAGTTGAAAATATGTATCTCTAGGGTTTAATGAAGAGGGATGAAGATGTAGAGAAGGAGCCAATAGATGAGGAGGAAGACGAAGAGGAAGCCGAGGCGCTAGTATGCCGTATGCCCGAGGATGCGCGGCCTCTGCGTGACGCGATGAGGCAAGCGCGTGGTTGTCTACTGCTCCTCGTGCTCAAGCAGCACCTAAAGCAGCTCTATGGACTCACCGACGCGTAAGTATCAATAATACTTTCCTTATCTGTTGACACAGACAAACAAACCAATTAGTCAACTATTGAAAACTTTAATATTTTTCTAAGTTGAAAATCTACACCTTATTACGCAAGTCTTACAGTTGAAAATACATTGCGTGAGAGGTGCATGTATCAAAAAATTCGATCATGATGATGATGATAATGAGGACACGGTAACTCATTGGTTTGAGCAAGAGCGGGGAACACCGTGGATGCCGGTTCAAGTCCTGTTTGTGTCGTACTTTTTTCAATTTATAATTTAAATGTCAACTACCATAAATTGTACTACATCGAAGATTTTTATAATGAAAATTTGTATGGTTTCAGTAAAATTAACCAGTATTCACCGTCGGAGAACGTCAAGGTATACGAAAAGGCGGTATCCAGGCGGCATGCACCACAGTTCGAGCCCAAAGCGACGATCGCCCAACTTAAGGAGGGCAATGTCGACAACGACCTCGACGAACGTGCTCGACGACGACTCATTGACGATTACTTAGAGGTGAGCGTGAAACACTAACGCAAAAACAATTGTGTGTTTACTATTATAAGTCCTGATTTGAAATATATATAAACTATTTCTTTTTGGAAACAAATAGTGATAGATATGAGTCGAAAATTTTAGGGTTAATTCATTTTTGAAGCTTTATAAAATCAATCAATATATGTGTTTCCTTTTGCAGTTTAAGCAGCTGATGTTGAAGTTTGACCCAGAGGAAGAGGAAGATGAAGAAACAGCAGGTCCAGGGAATACAGCAGGTGCAACCGGAGCGAGCTCAAGCGCAGGGACGAGCGCTGCTAGTGGAAGTAGGAGCGCGCCACCGCCCCCCGCGCCCCCTCCGCCCACATAGCGTCGTCTCAAAAATGCGCATACACGACACAGCTCTCAGTGATCACGTTATACGCCTACTATACACGCACACAAGTACGCGCCACGCCCTCATACGCGAATTATTGTACGCATTGGCAATATGAAATGTTTAGTTTAGCTGCCTAAGTTGAATTATTCAATTTTGAAAGCATTTTAGAAAACATTGTTATCAATTGGAATTTTATACAATTATTTTAATGTATTTTTAAGGTTTGACTCGATTTTGAATAATGTATTTGTAAGAAAATATCGTTTGTATGTTAATTTATTCCATTACTTTTAAGAAGTATTGCCGCTGTGGCGCGTTTTGTATGCGTGTGATGTAGAGTCTGTCTGGGGCGAGTTGTGCCGTGAGGGCCTCGTCGCGAGTGAGGACTAAGTTAACAGTGAGAGGACACTTCAGTGCGCGTTCCGATTATAGGTTATACTACGATTTTTATATACTTTTTATTTATTTTAATGAAGGATCGCGTGGCCCGGATGCCGCCTCGAAAATGTAAAAGCGATACCTAAATCGTTTTATGAGTTATACACGTTTATGTTTTATAACAGGAGTACTGTGTAGATAATTTCTATGAGAATATAAATTATATAACGTTTCCGAATCGACTATCCGTTCGTCGTCCGCCTGACCGAAGGCGGGTAGCGGAACGGCGACTAACGTAGGTCAATTTGTTGTCGAGCGACGCCGCATGCGCCGCCACCGGTACAAGCTAGAGAGTGCATAATTTTTATACTTACCGGCGTCTGTAATATAGATATAAAAGATTTTATGTTGAATGTGGAGAATACTGCAATATGCTGCATTTCGATAAATAAGAAAACATTAAAGTTACACGGATAGATTTTTATTTATTTATTTTATTATAATTATTTCTCCTGATGTTAACATCGACAACTCGCAAACATTTAAGTATGAAAATATAAATTGATACATTATTAAAAATATGTCTTAATTAATATTTACAATGGATACAGAGACCCAGTACTGCACTGAATGAGTACTAGGTTTTTCTTAAGCGGTTAGTTTGCAAAAAATCTAGTTCCAGTATTGATCACAGTGGTTACCTACATAATCCAACGATAGACGAAATTTTAACTCAATCAAGACTACAGATGAATTGAGGGTTAGTAACATTTTTAAATATAATTTATTTTAAACAAAATATCAGTTGTCAAGCATACGGGCCTGTCGCTCTTCGGAAATTGCAAACTTATTACACAAAAAGAAAATTAGTGTTTCCGATGTTGGTTTTACTTTTCCTTCAGCAATTAAGCGCCGTATGTTGCGAATTTGTTTCTTATGGGGAAACTCTTTTGATGGCGTGTGGATCTGAAAATAAGTGGAGCTATCTAAACAAATGTTTATATATTGGTTTTTCTACATCTTGGGTACATAGCCGGGGAGTAAATATTGTAAACTATTTTTTGTACATAATATCAAGCAGAAATTATGTATAGGCGGAGAAATCGGATGAGCTACGTTTTTCTAAAATAAATTTGGCTCCCGTGACCATGACTGTTGAAAATCATCCGAAACGTGGCGTCGGGTGATAGTGACAATTTTATAAAATATATTTCGCGTATTGGTTTGATAATATATAAATATTTATTAACTCTTTATTGCACAAAATAAAAGAAAAAATACATAACAAACTTATATACTAAAAATATAGAGTGCAATGGTCGGCGTTATCAAGCGATCTCTTCCAGGCAACTCAAAAAAAAGTAGATAAGTACTAAATAATAAGTACTTAACTACTTAATTGTATGTGTACCACTGCGTAAACAAATATGCATTTTCAGCGGACATACCTTTCCCTCTATTGGTTGAGCTACTGCTTGGTTGCCGTCATCCCACATGACAGGATGCCAAGATCGACGTACCGGTTTTTCTGGTAGAACTAATGGTTGTGGTGGCTTCAATGGCAGAGAGTTTACATCTACGTAACTGTCATCGTCAAAATTCATTGCGTCCGCGCTCATGTTCCTACAAGGAATTAAATGTTAGACATTTAGAAATCATGGCAAATTTTAAAGTGCTTGGGAGTCTAACTTAAATGGCGCCGGTTCGAATCCCGCTTATTTGTAAAATACCCGCTATTCCGCTCTGAAAATTACTTTACAAATATAAGGTAAAGAGATTTTGTTAGGCTTTAGCATAAGGCCGGTGTTTGTTGGTTTAAAAATAAACACGGGCATGCCGAAAGAAACTACGCAATTCAATTGAATCGGATATTTGGCACAGCTACAAGAAATCATTTTCGACATCGCTTATTGAATGATTACTCAAAGTTATCATTACATTATTACACTGCGAATTAGAAATTTAAATACTAAGATTGTGCTTTGTACCATTTTTTATAATAGTATACATATCTGTAACTTAAATATAAATTGGTTTGATATAAAATTTTGGTACTAAAGATTTCTATAAAGTCCCAAATTAATAATTTGAAATTGTTGTTAACTAAAGTTCTTTGTTTATTATAAATACCAACCCAGATATTTATTTGTACCTATTTATATATATGTTCTATTGTTATTTTTATGTAGGATATGTGCTGAAGGTATGAAATTCATAAGGTACTTACGGTTTTAATAATAAACCCCGGCGAAACACTGATTGGGTATAAAATATGAATGACTCGCAAAAATTTAAATTCAGAATTTAACACTTCTTCAAAAACTTCAAATCAATCTAATATTCGATTAGTAATTAATATTGTTATAACTTTCTCTTTCTTAAGAGGATCTACAATACGTCGCGGTTCGTGGCTTTGTGACTGTAAATTTGGCCGATTACCAGTTGCTGGCATTTAGGACGCTGACCGAATTTCATGCCAGCAAGTTCAACAGCTTAGATTTTCATTGTTCCATTTTTCTTTTTTTATGTATCAAGGAAATTAGGGCTTACTCTTCTAGATGTTATTGATCAGTTATTTTTAGGGAAATCAGGAAAGAGAGAACAAATTTATTGCAATGATCAAAAAATGAGGACGCGTAAATGAGATATTTTTTAAATTTAATCACATTTATTTTAGTCTAAAACTAGTCAACAACATTTTGATAGAAATAATTATTATCTACCAATTTAACAACGACTTACGAGTAAAGCACAACCTCAACACTTAACAATTTTTAGTAGGTACTTTTACTATCTGTTGTCTCCAAAAAACGCTTTATTGTATAACCATGATTGTCATGCTCTACTTATTAGAATTGCTAAGAAATTATACTAGGCCCCCGCAACTAATTCGTCGAAAGATGCTTCATGTTCTGAGCCTGAAAGCATATATTCAGGTAGAGAAACACCGAGATCTGCACTGTAACGTGGCATAGTCTCAGCCCAAAATGCGCCCTTGGATTCCGCGCCAGCAAATTCTTCTGGTGGAGCAATATTAGTTTCATCGGCTAATTGGACATCCTCTTCTTTGTCGCTACTCCGTTTCACTTTCTTGGAATTAACCTGCTTAGTAACATCTATCGCTTGGGCCACTGGACTTGTAGCGGCAGAAGATAAAGATGTTTGTGCAACCTTCTTGCGTTTCTGTTTTTCTTTATTTGTATTTGTAGCTGCTACATAAGCGCCTGACTTCTGTTTTGGCGGCGTACTTGTGGTAATCGTTTGACTTTCTGCACCTTCATTACCGCCTTCTAGAGTGGCCGGTTTCGATGTGAATTCCTTCACCTCCTGGTAAGCCAAATGACTTTGTTTGGGGGCGGATTCGGAAACAAACATACACTCTTCATTTTTTAAACCAGCTTTGTCTATACATTGGTAACATGTCATTCCATTTTTGTGGACTTTTTTGCACGCAGACCTATCCTTCTTTTTAAATTCCGCTAACACATGCTCAACGTTTTTTTTAGGTTCGTTATCGGAATAAAAACCAGGCAATGCCTTTTTATAGTCGTATCCCTTTGATTCCTTACTGTCGTCCTCGGACTCTTCACTTTGTGCTCGTAGTGATTCACTGGGCTTGGGATTGGACGTGTGAATATAATATGCCTTATATTTACCATCGGAGTCGTCTGCATCTTGTTTTTTATAGTTCCCAGAAGGACTATTTGCGCTTGCATCTGTAAACTTTTGTGGAGATGTCTCATCCTTTGCTTCTTGGTATTTTTTTAATTTCTCAGGCTCAGCTTTTTCTTCAGATTGACCTTCTGGTTCATCATTACTGTCAAATTTCTTTTCTTTGGAGTACGCATATTTATTGTTCTTTGGCTCAGCTTGATAGGAGCACGATTCATAATTCCCTCCGGTTTTAGGATCTTTGCAAACCATACATGACATACCATCTCTTTTAACCTCTTTACAATTTCCGGGATTCTGTCTGATTTCTGCGGCCTGTTTTTCGGAAAGTTCTTTTATTCTGTCGTATTCTTTATGATCGTAACCGGAGTCATATTTATAAGGATACTCATATTTATCCTTGGAGTCTTTATCTTCTTTATATGAGCCGTAAAGACTTCCTTTGAAAGCTTTTGGAATTGCAACATATTCTGAACTATAATCGTAAGGATTGTCTTCGTCGTCTTCTTTCCTTCTCAAATTTTCTCGGCTTCGACCCTTAGTATAGCGTCGGATACGAGCAGGTCCTGTAATATAAGGAATTGACTTGTAGTTCGGAGCACCTTCAAGAGTTTCAATGGCGTCCTCTTTACGGTAATTGAGAGGGTGATTGACGGCAGCATTAACGATGGGTTGGAAATAATTAGCGACAGCAGGATTTCTTTTTAATGAATCTAAAATTTCAGTTCCCTCTTCTTGTTCTTCTTTGTAAACTCTATAATTAGGATCGTGAATGGTTTGTATGTTGTATTGTTGAGGTCGAACATTTGGTGATAAACTAACTGTGTTAGGATCTTGTTGGACGTCTTTACGAATAGATTGATGTGTTTCTAAAAAGCTTTTACTAGCAATTGGATTGAAACCGAAGTGTTCAGCGGCAAATATATTATCTTTGGGGGCTAATTCTCTTCGTATCGAATCTATCGAACTACTGACTATGGTATCAAAGAATTGAGGATATAGACTTTTGTCGACTCCCATCATTGCTGCAGAAACAGGATTAGATGCCAACGATATTTTTCCTGTAATTATTTGGCAATGAGTTTGTAACCAAACAAAAAAATACTATAAAAATATAAAAATTGTACTAACCAGAATTTCCGTCGTTAAAAATGTTATCGAAATCGGACGGTAGACCGAATTTAGATTGTTGTCGATCATCGTTTGAAAATACTTCCTCACATGCGACCAACAATATGAACTGCAAGAATACAAAATTATAAAACTTAAAATAAAAGTATTTCATACAAATACTGTGCATGAAACTTTGAAATGCGTACCAGACATTTAAGTTTTAACATTTTGAAATGGGTGAAAACCCACAAAACGTACTACTAAGTTGAGTCGTAGCTATATAGAGTTGTATATCTGTATTGGGCTTAGATAAAAGTAGAGGCACTATTACAATGACAAGGTTTTATAGGCGTTATTATTGCGAAGGTGAAAGATCGGCGCAACAGCCCAAGCACCACTCAAGCGTATCTCATCGGACAATGTCCGCTTACTCCATCCGCAGTTGGCTTGTTAGGGTCAACATCTGCAATAAAATTGTGCTCTTTTTCTACTTTGAGATAGATACAGTAATTCCAATAAACCTAGCTATCTACTAATGTATTAACACTTTATTAATTAATAATAGTTATCATTATTATTTACTTACAATATTCTTTAGGTTTCTTAGCATCTTTTAAATTAATTAATAAACTTATTAAGAACTCATGTCACTCATGTACTAGCAATACTTATTCGTAAGTGTATTCATCATTTTGCAAGCTTTTGTACTTATTTGTTTAATATACAAAATTCATAAGACATAGTAACAAAGGACTTTCCTAAAATAGGGCATAATTTTTTACATATCTAAAAGCATACTTCCTTTTATTACAAAGCTACCTTAACCCAATAACCTGAGTTGGCATATATTGTAAGAATATTAAAGCTTTTGCTTCACTAAAGTAGCTTTGAACCTGATTTGATTTTTTATCTAATATGTTGTCGTCCTTTGTTTTGACCCTCGAGGAACCGAGATTCACGTACTATGAATATATGAAGCGACGAATTAAGGGTTTTACTATTGACTTCCAAAATATTCCATATTTTCTTACGATCGAAGTTTAAACAAAAGCCTTGCTAAACTAAGATCAGCTCAATCCGCCGCAGTCGAGTTATAGTGGGAAATATAGGTTATTCAATAAAACAATAGAATTTTACATAATATATTATTTATTACATTTTAAAGGTACAAAATTGTTCGTATGCATTGGAATGTTACTGTATATGGTAGTTATTGAACTTTAAGCTTTTCAAGCAATTGTGGTCCACCCGGAGCGGTTTTTAACGCAGTTAAAATTGATTTCTGTAACAAGTATAAAAAATTATTAAATTTTGTTTGTTTATATTTTTAAACTAATTTTACGGGCTTACTTTGTAAACCGATATATATATATATATATTATATATATATATAATGCAACCTGTACATCTCACAGGAGATAAAAACTAAAGATCAATTTTATTTAATTATATTGCAATGGCTCTAAGATCTCGCCATTAATTGGAAAAACAGCTATTTCTCATCACTGACCTATATATGTTTAAACTACGAGAACATACTTCATGTGGCATCGCCAAATTTATTGACAGAATAAAAGTGCTCACTTATTTATAGCGTATTCGCCAAACGTCCATCAGTCTATTTACGTAACTTTTAATTGTGGAAATAATAATTAAACGCGAAATCTAATCTGTTAATTGGCTTTAAGCGTTGAACGTTGTTGTCGAAGTTTTTAGTAATTTTTAAAACTATTAACAGTGAGGTTAAGTTTTGTTGTGTCGGTAATACAAGGAAACGGATTTTTTATTACGCTGTGTAACAGGATGTCCGCGATGTACGTATTTTTAATATCATACGTCAATATAAAATGGAGCCAAGACGTGCGCAAAAGCTAGTGAGGTAAATAAACTTTCAGTCATCTCTTTGGCTAAATATAAGCTACATTGCGGCATTAAGTACTGTATTATGTCTACTTATATTTACTGTAATTCTTAATTTTTGTTATCATAGCGTTGGTAACGCAATTTATGTACTCTAATATTAAAAATACTTTACGGCAAATTTAGTATTGGAGTCTTGCAATTTCTGCGACAACATCCACAGGTTTGAGGCCAAACTCGACATTGAAGGCTGTTCCAAGTCCCCTCGTCTTACGATCCTCCAAAACAATTCTAAGGCTAAATTATACTGTTTCTTTGCTTCCTTCGCGTCAGAGAGGAATTTCAAGACTACGAGAACCTCTTGACATATATTTGTAGCATAGATTTCTAAACATTTTATAAACTCTTCCTCGGCGCCATATAATTCGTCGTTCGAAATTACTAAAAATAAAAAAATATATATACTACCAGAGACAAATTAGTGAAGATAAGAATAGTAATCATCAAATAGGCCTATAAACGACGAAATTATGCGCGAACAAAAAAAATAAGTTTAGCTAGAACACTTTTAATGTGTTTAAACTTGGTCACGGAGAGACGGCCGCTGCAAAGCATCCGAAATAAACGTCGGGCCGTAGTTAAACTAGTTTTAAAATAACTTTAACTAATCTAATCTAACTAACTTTCACGTTTTACACCGTTAAAAGTGATTTATTTAAATGTATACTACTCGCGTAAACTACAGAGAACCGTGTTTAATCGGGTTGTATTTTGCATCAGGCATTGTGTAAAGCACGAGAGGTTCTGAGTTGAATCACGGGATAACAATGCATTGCTCCGAGCGGGAAGGCCATATAACTATTTGGCTATAAATAAAAGAAATCAGTTAAACGAAAACACACATGTACCCCACATTTCACGGATCACTGATCCCCAAACGGAATTTTTCTTTAATTATTAAGAAAACACCGCTATCAATTCAATGGACTTTTCTACAACGGAATATTCCAGAAAAAAACAACCCGTAAACCTCTTTAAATGTAACCTTGGTTGCGGAATAAATAAATCATTACAATGTATAACTAAACTAAATAATAATATAAACCTGAATCAATGTTATACAAATATTGTTCTTGCGTCATCTCACAGAGCAAGTCTAATATGCGTAAGAGTGTCGTGTAATACAATGGATCTGTTTTACGCCACGGTATTCTCTCCATGGTTTTTATAAATCCACTTAATATATACGCTTTGGTGTTGCTGTCGACGTTATCCTAAAACAGATAAAAATGGTTACTAAGCGGCAGATGTGAAAAATTAATGATAATTTATAAATTGTGAAGTAACATATTAGTTAACTAGCTGTGCCAGCGACTTCGTCCGCATAGTACAGTTATTTTAAGCGTGAAAGATATATTTTTACAAACATCGTCAACTTTATAAATTACAGCCACTACGTCATTACCCACGACGTCGCCAGTGTCCCATCGTTCTTGCAAATTAATCTTAGAAGATAGACACATACTGTCGCAGACAATTTTTTAGTTCATTTAAAGAGACATTATATTTTCATATATACATTTTGGGTATATATATATATATATATAGATTATTAGTTTTCCCCGCTTTTCCTTCTACTGTTTCTTTGCTATTATTGCTCGCATGTTATATAGCCTAAAGCCTCCATAAATACTCCAACCAACACAAAAAGAATAAGCGCGTTCAAACAAACAAACTCTTCCGCTTTATAATTTTAGTATAGATAAATAAATAATAATATACTACATTTTAAAATAGTAAATGTTATTGAGATTCTGTCCCACAATATGCATTATTCCACCCAATATCAGGTTCGATTGAATTCCAGAAGTTTGACGGCAGTAAATATCTTGATGATTAAAAAACTAACTGGCAGTATTAAAAGCGTCGACAGGAAACTACCGATGAGTCCCATAACCCTGTCTTGTGTGGGTTTCTGCTGTCCATCTTCATGTACGAACTGAGGGATTTCTGGTATCACTCCAACTAGCGCCTTGAAGTTCGCTTCAGCTGACATTTAAAAAAAGTTGTTTATATGGAGTAATTCTTAAAGATATACGTAGCACGAATATTGCTTGAAAATGTTATTGCACATTTTCACAATGTTAAAAGCAAGAGAAATTCAGACCCAACGTCTATAACATTTGAATCGATCATATTTCTTGGGAATATAAACTTATTTCCATGTGACAAGTCGTGTAAGCGACAACAAAGGTCCGATGGACTGAACTGAACTAAATGTCTAAAGCTCAAAATGTATATTGCTAGAAGAAATGTATGTGGCGACACAGCGCATTACAACTATTGTCACTGTGTTCAACCCATTCGTCGTCTAGCTAGTAAACTAGATGTGATAGCGAATTCGTCCGCGTAGAAAAGTTACTTTTTACTAACAAAATTTGTTCTTCATCCCCCACATCTTTATAAATTAATAGCTGTGTCAGCGACTTCGTCCGCGAAATACGTTAATTTGGGCATCCAAATTCGTTTTTGCAAACCCGTTTCATCTGTCGCGTCCCTTCTCGTCGTTCTAGCAAGTTAACCTCAAAAGAGAGACATATTATGGCGTCGCTGACTTATTTAAAGAGGAATCTGATTCTTTTTACATATTTCATTTACTCATACGTTTTCACAGCGTACGCAATTGGAACCCACAAGTATGAATAATTTTCCCCGTTTTTTGTCTTTCCCCTCTGTATGGTCGCACCTATTAGTCACAGCGATATGTTTTATAGCCTACAGCCTTCCTCAATAAATGTTCCAACCTACACAAATAATTTTTCAATTCGAACCAGTAGTTCCTGAGATTAGCGCGTTCAAACAAACAAACTCTTCAGCTTTATATATTATTATAGTTGTTACTCACGATATCGGTCGCGTCCCGTCGTTCTTGCAACTTAATCTTAAAAGATAGATCATTTAAAAATATAAATTCGCAGTCGCAGCGAAATGTTTTATATCCTTATAGCCTTAAGCCTTTCTCGAAAAAATATCTTACCGCGTTTCGATGCTTTGCAGAAGCCGTGGGCTCGGGGCTGCAAAGCATCCTCGTCGGGCCGAAGTTAAAAATCATTTTCAAATAAGTTTAACTAATATATCGCGTTTTAAACCGTTAAAGTTTTTTATGTAAATCGAACCAGTAATTCCTGAGATTAGCGCGTTCAAACAAACAAAATTTTCAGCTTTATCATGTTAGTATAGATAACTTTACCTTGTCCAATACAGTTGTTAAGGAGTGAGACCTGACCCGAAAGAAGATAGAGAGTAGAACGAGCGAGGGCGCAGTGTAGAGAAGGAACCGTGATGAAACAGTACGCGGCACACGCGCGCTGCAACCATCGGCCTCGAGACGATGGACCACGCGTCGACAGTGTGTTCACGGCCTTATACAACCAGATGAGATTGAGAGCAAAAATACTTAACCAAAATTAATTAAAAATAACACATTACTAGTCCTATATATATCATTGCTTTGGCCGTTGGCTACCTATGTATTACTATAATATATAATCGGACAAATCGTTCAGTAAATCATTTTTATTTTGAATAATGGATAACTAACTAAACTGTTGGATTATCAGCACGTTTACGTATTAGTGCCTGTTCAGAAAGATTGAGATACCCTTGTCGATTTATATAAAACAGTGACAACGGATTAAAACACGAAGTGTTTTAATAAAACTTATTTACAAGTTATAGTCGACCCGTTTAAATAATCCGTAAATAAGTTTAACTAATACATTTCGTAAGACGTGAAATTTTGTTGAAGAACTGTTAAAATTGTGTTTTATTTAATTGTGTACTTGCTAATACTGAGCCTATTATATATATAAGCTTACGTGTACAAGAGCCACCAGCACAGCATCGAGTTTGATGAAAGCAGCGCGACACTCAACGTAAAAGTTGAGCTGCGTCTCCAGGTCATCGTGGTGTGAAACTTGTATGTACTTGTTAATCAGTTCCGCGCAACATTTGCTCTCGTCTTCCACGCTGACCGCACTAGAACACATACCGACCATTCACCCGACTAATAGAATTACTGAGATCGCTTGTTATTTTTAAATTTCATTTAGGTGCATCTAATACATTCTAATATAAGGAATTTTCGTACTTTATGGAGTCGTGAAGAATGCGACAGAGTCTCATCAGGCTGGAGATGACGATGGGATCGTCGATACGGTCCGCCTTATATCTTTCGAAGAATATGGAGAGCACACTCTTGGACATGGAAGTACGAGCGGCCGACGTTTGTACTAATTCCACGAGTGGCATAAATGCGTCCTAAAAATAAAACTGTCTTTAACTAACGTATCCGGAAAGAAATAGCAGAGACAATTCTTCAAGCAATCGAGGAGGTATCTCCTGATGATGCCGTCCGCTCGTGATGGCGAGACGTCGAGAACCTCTTCTCGCTTACGTCGGCCGAACAGCCCGAAAAACAATAAAATAAATTGTACGTACCATTAAAAACAATTCTTCAACATCAGGTATATGCTTCAGCATTCTTTTAACAACAGCTTGTATCTGGGTAGAGTAATCGTCTGGCGGCTGGCCGCACTTGATCATGTAACGTATTGTGCCTCGGAGGATGACGTTGATGTGTTGACTCTATTTATAAAAAGTAATAATAAGTAAGGGTTCACATAAAATAAGACATTACAAATCCGGTACTGATATCGTCGAAAAAGTATTTAGATTTTTGGGTATACGTATAACTAATTTGGAGATTACCAAGTCTTTGTATTGAACTAAATCCAAAACTATTCTCTCAGTTATTAAAAAAAATGATATTTGTATGTAAGCAAAGCGTATAGCGAAACAAGTTCACTGAGTAAAAAAATAATCTTACAGACAACTGCAAACAAGCAAACTGAATCCACGGTTCCAGAACTTGCAGAAAATTGGCCGTGTTTTTAATACCGCTTGCCAATTTCCACCAGGTCTGACTTAGCACCTCGGCTGAAGGCTGCCGGTAACTCTCAACAACGCACAGATGTTCCCCGAGCGATGTTAGTGCAGAATGCATCATTACTATGAGAAAGGAGGGAAAAAAATAATTTTATTCTAGGCGTTGTGTGGTGATAATTATCAAAAACAATATAGGGGTTAATATACCAATCAGACCTTAAGCTATGCACTATGATGTTTTATCTTTTAAATAAAACACTTTAACGTTATAAAACGCGATATATTAATGAAACTTATTTGAAAATGATTTTTAACTTCTTCCCGACGACCCTGTCTCCCGAACCTAATGCATCGCGTTTTAAACCGTTAAAGTGAAAAACCATTTTCATATAAATGTGACTAATAATTCGCGTATTAAACCGTTAATGACATGTTTTGTCTTGTGTACAAATATAGATGTTTGTCTTAGGGACTTTAATCGAACTTTGCACCCAGTGACTAATTTCATCCAAATCGTATATGATAATATATTATGGTTTCCTATTTTTTTTTTTGATAAGATTAATATTAATGAACTGTAATAGGAGAATTAACGCATATAATGACATACTATTGAGATTATCTCAAAAAATAGACATATACTGTCCTGGGGCTTTTATTAGATCACTTAGATTCTTAGATATAATCATTCCGGGACATAGTTCTTTGGATTATATCAAACCAGTAGTTCGTGAGATTGGCGCAGTCAAGCACACAAACTCTTCAGCTTTCTCTTGTTAGCAATTTATCTATGTCTAAGTGTTTTATGCAATTTTGTATTTTTTAGTTAAGTTACATAGTGTATAAGTATGATAAAAAGTCGTCATTCCTTAAATAAACAATAACATACCCATTCCATTAGCATTTTTGCCGATTATATCGAGAATTGATGTGGATTTCTGTATTATACTCGGTGAATCAAATGAGGAAATAATGCAGCATAAGAGAAGCTCACTGAAAAGAGTAGATAAAATTCTTCATTATTCCAGCACAGATCTTATTATTTTTCATTGTATGAATTCTGATATTAGACGATAAATGATTTTAGGTGGAGAGATAATGTATTTATACATAGTATAAACAAGGTAAGTCCCTCATGATTTATAATTACTAAAACTTTAAATAATGAATATATATAGTTACCAACACTATTTAGAAAGATTATTTGCAGATAAATACAATGCTAAGGTCATAGGAAAAATAAATTATGTCATCTCTAGTACTAATTCTTTTCTGTATGCTTTTCAGACTTTACTTATATATTTTACTAAAACATGTTAGACTTCGTCCGGAAAACTGGATGTTAAACGGAAGGTAGGACATATTAAAAATTCCGTCCATGTCTACCGCGGACCACCGTCCTCAGATAAAAAAGCTGTCAAGTTAATTTACCTTTCGGTTGCAGTCTGCGGCTGTCCGAATATCACAACCCAAAATTAGGTTGATAGCGCATCTTGTTTAGAATGTTATAGGGCTCGGTATATCAACTACCATCAAGTGTAACCTGTCCTCCATTATAACAAAAAACAATAAATTATAAGAAAAAAGCCACTATACCTATTTTCAATTGATTCACATTTTTCTAATAGTTCTTCAAGTAAAGTGAGTTTATCGTTGGTTGAATTTAAAGTTCCATATAGCATCCAGTCTATTGCGGGTACATATAAGTTCAAGTATTGGTCAGCGGTTAGAAGTTGTGCTCCATACTTTTTCAACATAGCAGGATGAAATATCTGAAATGTCACATATACATGTGTAATTTCAATAGTTTTAAAATCGTCAACATCTATTTAAACTTAAAGAACAGGTAGAGAGAACAGGTTTTGGGTTATCTATTATCTACTCTCATATTGAAATGTTACTATCCAAATATAAGAAATGACAAGATTACCTGCTGATATTCATCGATAAACTCCTTCAAGTTATTATAGAAAAACGGTTCACTCTGTCTGCCCAACAACTTTGAAGCAACATTGCAAAGATAAACTCGTATATATATTGCTACTAGAGGATTACCCATCCCCCTTATCATTTTTGTCAACCTCACAATTGTTGGTTCTATTTCATCCTTTGATAAAAATACATAGCACTGTAACAATGCCATTTCCATGTACAGTCGAGGTAGCAGTTCCCTTATTGAAGCCATTTTAAACATCCAATTTTGACAGGTCTCCTTAGCGATTTCTGGTACTGCATTCGGGTCAATATCTTGGAAATTTACATTCTTATTTCTGAAAAAAAAAGAAAACATCATACTAGTATAAAGGAAAAGCCCGTTTCCCAATTCGTGGGGCATGGAGCGATCAGTTCTTTTAATGAGCAAGTAGTTGATCAGGCTTCTGTGCCCTGCCCAACCAAAACATTTTTTTTTTGTTTCCCTGGGCTTCGAACTCAGGACCTCTCGTGCTCTAAGCAATGCTAGGCAATATGTTTAACTATTTGGCTACAGAGGCAGTTATACTAGTATAGTTATATTTATTTATTTAAAACAGAAGGCTGTTTACCCATAGCTCTTATTCTTTAATCGGCTGTAAACTAATGACCCAAAGTTATCAAGTACATCAGCTATCAGGACAAACTTGCTTGGGTAAAACTGCATGACACTAACATCTGAGAGTAATTTAGAGCACTGAATAGCTATTTTAAAAGCTTTCACTCTTTGTTCCGAGTCCCATGCCTGAAATCAATTAATGTTGAATAAAAGTACTAAGGTCCTTTTGTAAAATCCTTAAGTAATATATACAATCAATGTTTAAGCTTATGTTTAAAAATAACATATCTTCAAAAACAGGTTCAGAATAAGTGATATTTTTATTTTTTCTTACTTTAAGACAGTATTTTAGCCTCATCATAAATTGAATGTTATACAACATGTAATTTTGAAGGTACCTTTTTTATTTCTTCATCTAACATGTGTACTTTTGTCACAAACTCTTGTTGACTTAAGCCCATAGTTTTTCTTACAGACGATTCATCAAAATCATCAAGCTGCTCTAATCTATGCTTCACTTTTTCATTTAAATTGGATACCTGTCTGATTAAGGCTGAAAAAGAACTAACTTAACATAACAAAAACAAAAATAAAGTTCATGTTAGTATCAATGTTCAAAATCATAGAATATAATAATCAATTACATTACATACTTTTTTCACCTCCTGGCAAGAAGCTACTTATAATTGTTAGTTTTTCACCTGTTGTGTATTTATTTAGAATAAATGTACGTTTGGTACTCCATGTTTTAGAATAATCTGCAAGATTATCTTCGTTTATATTTAATGAAAATGATGCCTAAAATAATAATATTCATAGTTAAAGTAAGAAGACAATATAATATACACAGCTATTATAAGAAATGAAAAATCTTGCCTCTTCTTCATTCATTTTTTCAAATCGCAGTAGTGGATCTAGTTCTTGAAACGATGAACTCCATTTTTGCAGGTTTTCCACCAACGTTTTATTAAGACTTGGTGTCTGTTAGAAAAATATGTTACATGTCTTTTATTACTATCAATAGTTTGCAAAAAGCGTATGGTAATTAAAAGTTACTGTATACTTACGATTTTAATATTTTCAGTTCGTAAAGGATGCGTAGTTACTTCTAAACTGGGGTAAATATTTTTACTCCTTGTTTTTTTTACAAAGGACCTTTAGAAAAAGAGAAAAAGAATCAGGTTTATCTGTACAGAGTAATTAATATTCAAAGAATTATTTTCATATTTGTTTACAAGTTTAATAATTCCTCACCATTGATAATATGTAGGCATTTTTAATAAATTTTAATATGGATAATTTATTAAACAGTTGTCTGCAGTTTGAATATTGAGTTTAATACATACTAATGTTAAAAACTGTATATTTAATATTTATATGAATAAAAGAATAACTGAATGCACTGTAGGATATATATATAGTAAAACTTTTAGATTTTGTAATTATCTTTTTTAAGCAAACTGAAACATGATAAATAGAGTAACTTTAAAAATTCTGTTTATTATTAGCTTTTAATGTAATTGAATTGATTGAATCTTTACACCACTTAAAATTGAACTATCTGTTCACCTAATGTCAGTTGTAATATGATTGTCAGCTGTTAAATTACTTAGGTTCTATACATCTGTGGATTTTTCTAGGAGTTATCACATAACATTGTTTTGTTTGTCTAATTTCATAAAACATAAAACACAATTAATTACTGTTTATTATTATAAATGGTTCTTAAGGAATAGCTATTGTGCTTAAATCATATTGTGCGTGTTACTTGTTTTTTTTTAATACCTCTAATAAAAGATACAATTTATGTATATTCCACACCAATACTAATTTTGCCTTTTACCAATTGTTAATACAAAAAATGGAAGAACTTGAAAGTAAAATCGGAATTACAGACTTACCAGATGAGATTATAACAATTATCTTGAGCAATAGCTCTTATAAGGATGTGATTTCATTTGGTATGACATCTAAACATTTTTATAGCATTGTATTTGATGACCAATATCTTTGGAAGAGCAAATGTTCAGAAATGTAAGTAGTAAAACTAAAACAAATAGGTAATTAATATATAGGAAACTCAACCGAGACGTATATATTTTTTATACATTTCTAATACCTAATACTAGTGTTTATTTATTTTTTTTAGACTCCCAAATCTGATTCTTAACACAGTTCAAAACCATTGTGATGGGGAATGGTTGAATGAACTTCGGAAGTTTGTAGTATTAAAGAGAAATGTGATACTGCAACTGCTTGCTATGTCTCCAAATTTCTATTGGTAAGCTTCTATAGTTATCTATTTTATTGTAAGTTTATTCAACGGAATAGTTCTTTTATAATTATTTATTTATAACAGGAAAATGAATCAGTTATCATTGGAGGATTGTAAAGAATTCTTTACACTTGCAACAGAACATGAATTAAGCTATTATTATACAATACACATATTGCAGCAAATACTTCAACAGGCCAATAAAAACCTTGACAATCATGTATGTGAAAAGTAAGTGCTTTATGTCATATCTATAGTCTAGTCTAGATTTCACAAGTTAAAGCGGAAGTAGCAAAATCAAATGAAATGAAGCAGGTTTTTTTACACAGCCATGGTTAGCATACTTGTATTTGTACTTTAACTATTCATTTCAAACAGTAAATATGGTTTATAATATATTTGTTTAAAGTGATATTTGAAAATTGTTTATTTGTAATATCTTGATCTTCAATTAAATATCAGATAACCCATCTTTGTTTCAGACCTTACACATTAACAGAGATTTACTATGTAAAAGTTCTGCTACGTTACTTAGTACACTTGTATCTCTGTATCAAATGGGTTAAATTATATACAAGCCAAGTACTCCTACCAGAAGTTGTAATGAATTTTTGTCTTCAATGGATTGATCCAACAACTACACATACAGATGAGAGTACTCGAATTGTTGTAAGTGTCACTACATTTTGCAAATTTACTAATAAGAAACAGAATTTATATCCTTTAAACCTAAGGCAACCTTCAGTCAATATTTATATTTTTTTAATTAAATCGTCATATATATATTTTTTAAATAAAAATGTACCACAGTTTACTTTAATTTATTAATTACTATATTTTGGAGTGTCATCTTATAAAAGTAATATTATTGCCTATTTCAGTTGGATGATGTTGTCGAAAACATTAAAGATGTTATAAGACAAGCTCGAGCTAAAAAGCCGCCGCCACCAGGCAGGAAGAAAGTAACCGATCGGGAGGTATTGTCTGCAATGACACAAGTTATATACCGCCAGAGGCACATTACTATTACTCCAGCAGCTGATCATGACACTTTAAATATTGTAAAGGTAAAGGTTGTTACATCTTTAACTCTAACACCTTGTGCGACATGCCTAAATGTTATTTTGTCAGAATTTCAATCCAAAACATTTTTGAAAGATTTAAAGTTGAGCTTACAAAATTTAGATTTCAACAGGTTTTGTGACACAGTCATTTGTTCGCAGGTCTTGAAAAATAAATGTGGCCATGCCATTGCATTGGCCGTCATTTACCAGGCTGTAGCAAGGAAGTGTGGTGTAAAAATAGAGTTAATTACATTTCAAGATCATTTATTTTTAGAATGGATAGATGATTCCGATCCCCAAAATGTTATTTATACAATTAATTTGGAAACTGGAGAGTTGAAACCGAAACGGCGATGCCCATTTTCGCGAACCAATCAACATTTTAACTACTCATATTGTCCTGATTCTTTGCTACAGTACATCTATTCTTCATACTTTGTGACAATGGGAGCCATTCGAAATTGGTAAGATTTCTCCATATACAAATAAAAAACAATTAAAAATTAAATATTTTATATCTGTTGCCCAAAACTTGCAGGCACACCCAGAATGCACTGCATTTAATAAACTTTATGAGTACTAACAATAACTGTCATAATCCATACAACAATTTCTTCCCTTACTTGATGGAAATTCCTGCCCTACAAGCTCCTAATCAAGAACTAGATTTATACTTTGTAAGTATTGTTATTTTTGCTTTATAACCAACTGACTTCAGAATGTATGTTAATGTAGTGATTAAAATAAACAGAAGAAAATTCTAAATTTAACTTAATTTTTTTTTATATTTTCTTCATTATAGAGGTGGACAGATAAGCATGGGGGGTACACTTGATGGGAGGCTAATTCACAGGCCCATTATGTTAGAATGGCTTTGTTGCATGCGGGCGCCAATCTAACGTAATTTGTAATTTTACATTAGTTTTAATGAAACATTAGCAACTGTGACTCTATGTAACATTAAAAGATAAACACTATATTAATTAATTGTTTCAGTTATCAAATTTCTACCGTGAAATTCTATTAGTGTTATCTACATTAAATAAACCAACGGCATCTGTGTATAATAATGTAAGTAGATTAAAATTTGATAATGCCCCAATTGTTTGTGATGATCACGATGACTTAAAAAAAAAAATTGCAACAATTACATATTAAAAAGATACCTATGAATTCACCATTTTTATTCAGAATCCAGGGTTTTTAGCGCTCAGTAGATTGCATATACATAAAGAGCGATCAGCTTATCAACTAATAAAGGTTATTACACAGCCACATGTTATTATATGTTGATGACATTATATAAATAAAAAAATTACGACTCAAATAGGACTTCTAATTTATGTAAAACCTATCTTTTTAGCTTCAAGTCAAGAGGCATGACAAAAATGTGTTATTTGCTGTGGGAATGATTTGTTATCATAAAAAATATGAATATATTTGCATTATTCGTGGATGGGATATAAGCGGTGACAATGTCGCCCGAATGCCAGCTCATAATTTAGTATACGGCCTCATGCAGCCGTTTTATCGCGTTACTGCAGCCGATCAATCGGAAAGATATGTTGCACAAGGTAAGATGTACGATAGATATAACTTTCCCAATTTTCCACAATATATATGAACGCGAAAGTAGGGAGGATGTACGAGGACCTCTATATTAGTAGTGTCAATGTAGCAGATATCCTGGAATAACACCAGACTTCCTCTTACCTTCTAAAAATGTTATATTCCGTTTAAATAAAACTAAATGTATTATGTAAAAATATCGAACGTCTAATTTTATTATTCGTTTTATTTCTTGTAATATAAAGCGGTTTTTATGAAATATTTATTTCTAGAAAACCTTGTTGAACTGAGACATCCCACGCGTTTATACCACTTGGAAGACTTGATATCAAAGGAGTTTACGCATTTTGACGGCTTTGCATATATTTTGAATGACGAAAAGAAAATAGAGTATCCCGATGAAAATCCTATCGTTGAGGTATACAGAAATCGTTCATTTGTACAAAATTAATTGTCATTGTGAAATTTTGTTGTATACATTTTTTTTTTCAACAGTCATTCTAAGAATATGTTTGCTTGAAATCAGACAAATTATCTACATTTACATTGTTATATCTACCTACCAATTATATTTTAATGACATAATAAAGGATGATTGGCATAATCCTAATTACAGAGTATTGATCATATAATAGCTATATTACAGTTTTACTTAGAATGCTAACTTTTTTACCTTGCCCATGAATCTTAAGACATGTTAAAACATAGTTTTATTAAACATTTGATGTCTATAGTCATTGCAAATAGGCGAACAATGAATAATGTGTAATTGAATTGGCCTCTATGTTATAGTTATGTATATAATATGTAATGTTATAATTATTGTAGACGTTAAGATAAAATAATATAACCTTGTTATATTGGTTAACACAATTATACTGAATTGTGGATTGTCATCTTATGTAAAAACCTTTAAATGTGAATATGTGTTAATAAGATATAAAGGGAATATTTTGTCAATGTGAATTATAGATAGACATTAATAGATATTGTATCCGGTAACAAATACTTTTATTTTTCTTAATAATAAAATATTGTAACAAAGTTTACTACATTTCCCATAGACAAATTATATTTATGTATTTCATACATATCATTCTAAATGATCTCTTTCTTATTCCTTATAAAAATATAATACTTGACATTTTATGTCTATAAATAATTAACTAAAATTGCACTAATTTGTGTAAATTTTCTAAAGTTTAATAGATCTATGATCAAATCTTTGAGGTACATTTTCTTTCTCTAAGTGTTTCATGTAAGCTAAGAAACATGTCCAGATAAGACTACATACAGATATGAAAGGAACCCTGTTTGCTGGAGGAATAAGCCAAAAATTCATTACAGCTATTATTGGCCATACTGAAGCCCCAACCTGAAAATATTTTAAAATAAATATATATCATTAAAAGAGGTTTTTAATGTAAATAAATATATAATGTGTGTGAAAAGCTTAACTTACCTTATATGTGGGCCAAAATTTTGCTTTAACTTCAGCAACTGCCTCATCAAATGCATTACCTTCTAATAAGCTCATTCCAAAATAGAAACTGCACATTGCAAATGGTGTGTATGTTATTGTTTCAAAGAAAGTCTGAAATCCAATAAAGTAAAATGCTAACACATTAATTATTTCCATTTTCATTCTAAAACTGATAACATACCTTTATAAGAGCTGACTTCAATGTAGTTGCAGGCCATACCGTACTTGCAATAGTTAACCAAGTATACAATGTAGGGGCAACATAACAGGAACCATATAACCCAAAACGGGCACACCTCAGCCAATCATATGAGTTATCTTCTGTAAAAATATTGGAATTTTTCTTTTTCCTTGTGACAACAATTATATTTTTTTATACTCACTTACCGAAATTTCGACCCTCAAATGTTTGTTGAATAAAACTTGATACTGGCCAAATAACACCATATGAAGCCATTCCCCTCAATAGAGGGTGTTTTAATGTTTTCGCAATTTTACTTAGAGAACTCATTTTATCAATTGAATAATTGTTGGTTGTAAATCTATTCTCGTCAAGGATACGGCGCACATCATTATACTTGATATTCTGCCAGATATCTGTTAAACCTCGTGATTTTTCTATTAATTCTAGCACGGACTTATATCAAATATTCTTTACAAAAACAAACTATTTCAGGGGCCAGTTGAAGCCTATTTCAAAATTTGAATTCACTATTCGATTATGATAATTGTAATTAAGTGGCTTCTTCGTTGTTTTATTCATCTGAATCATTCTAACATTGTTATTAATTTTGACAGCTGATTCATAAAATATCAACATGACAAATATTATATAGTACTATTAACTTTTTTTTAAATATAATTTTATGCTCTGGTAAAGGGACCTTTAATCCAATATTATCAACTTTATATCACTATAGACATCGTAAACTTTTTGAACTTATCGGATATTTTTCACGCTGAAGTTTAAAAATAATAAGTTTCGGCACCTACTTTATGATCGTACGAGAAATGTCTTTCGTTACAAATGACTACGTATTATGAAAATAAGACTTGGCTTAAAGGTCTTGTTACCAAGCCATTAAATATAAAAAAAAACTATGTATTATATATAAATCATATAACGGAAATTAGATTACAATGCTATAACAGTAGCGCTATAACGTAACTTTGAACAGAGTCTCAATTAGTTTAGCGTAAAAAATAAAAGTAGTTTATCAACCAATGCTCAATATTTTCTATAAACATAGATCCCTAAAGGGAAAGCACTATCTACCAAAAGTATCCAAAGTTTCATCTTAGTCAGTGGTTCCATCTGTGGTTTTATCAGTTTTATGATTTATCTATGTTTCGTATTATCTGTGAACTATAGGAGCATCACTGTAGTATTACTGTTTTAGAATTTTGTTTTGTGATTGGAAACGAATGCTCTATTCTACAAAAGTACAAATTACTACAAAGATATAATCTTTTGAAGTATATCAATGCCTAGGACAATTAAATTGGTTTTATAATCATGGACAAAATTCCACGAACGCATGAAGGTAACCTTTTGATATGATGTGCTTAGAGTAGCGCCGACACCCACCAGCCATTTTTGTTCAATTTAGTTTTTAATTCAATATCAAGCATATCAAAACAATGCTCAATTCCTCATTTTTGTTAGAATTACGATGTAAATAGTTTTTTTTTTTAATTCTATTGGTTTGACGATTTTTATTTTAAAGCTATCCATGTCCATATATATATCCATGTCCTGCGCACCTATCTTACTTTTCATCCAGATAAATGCATTTCGATTGTTATCCGGTAATAATACATTGCTTGAGTTGCTTATTCTTTGATGCTTTGTCCAGCCCCTTTTCTTGTTATTCCGCTAGAACTTCATCATTGATTGTTTTATGATGTAAATAATCAACTTGTTTTTTAGCCATTGAAGCTCAAATACGGGAAATTCAATCAAAGAAAGCACCAGAAGTACCTGAGAATGGTTCAGGGAAAGGCGTATCATTAGCAGACACCTACTATGACAGCGATATTTATGATAGTACAGGGCAGACTGGAAAGTCACGATATGATGGTTATGTGACATCCATTGCTGCTAATGACGAAAATGAAGATGAAGATGTTGAAAATGTTCCTGTTACGCAAAAGAGACCAGGATATACTGCGCCTGCCTCCTTATTAAATGACATTGCACAGGTAATTGTATTGTAAAATTGTATGTCTTAATTATATGTCTCTGCTATTTATGAAATCTTTACACAATTTTTATAATTTACTTATCTAAAATTTGTACTAACTTATTTGCAGAGTGATAAAGATTATGATCCCTTTGCTGAAAAACGACGACCAACAATTGCTGATAGGGAAGATGAATACCGACAAAAACGGCGTAGGATGATAATATCTCCAGAGAGAGTAGACCCATTTGCAGAAGGTAAATCACTATTATAGACTAATTAAATTATCAAATTTCCTAAGCTCATTAATTAGAATATTACTTATATTAATTTTTAATAATTCTACCTTAATGCTATACTAGTCTAGATCTGCACAATCTATAAGAACTTTTAACATTATTAAAATCCTTTTTAGATTGTAACTCCTATAAAGTGTTTCTTATAGTTACTTGTGAATCACAAACTATTTATTTATGTACATTTTAAAGAAACATAACTCGTATGTTTCTGCTTTGAATACTATTTCTTATAAATATTGGCAAAAGTCCATTTTAGTCATATATGTGTGTACTCAGAATATGTACTTAAATCTTTATTTCTAGGTGGGAAAACTCCTGATGTTGGATCTAGGACCTACACAGAAATTATGAAAGAGCAGTATCTAAGAGCTGAAGAAACAGAAGTAAGCCCAATTAAAATTTTATGTATTTTTTATCCAATTACTTTCATCAAATATGTAACTTAGTTTAGTGAGACATCTAACATATGATCAATTATTTTTCAGCTACGTAAGAAACTTATTGAAAGAGCTCGTGAAGGCACACTAAAACCAGTGGCTCAAGCTAATGGTGAAGCAGCTAAACCTGCTGCAAAACGTAAAGGTCGCTGGGATCAAAGCACTGAAGAGACACCAACATTAAAGAAAGCAGTTGTGTCTGCTACACCAAGCTCTCAGGCCACACCTTCCTGGGAAAATGAGGTATATTAATGAATTATATTAATAATTTTTTATGTTTAAAAGGTACATACAACATGAGGCTTACATGAAGAAGGTGAAATGCTTGAGATACCCTGATGTCCCATAGTATTGTTAGTTAGACACTTACCAAACTAAGACCTGTTTTCAAACATGCTATATCTCATTTAATTATAATAAAAAAATTGTTGTTTATTAGCCACAGACTTGATAGTCAATTAATGTGAAACTCATGTTTGCTCATATTCATAATTTAAATACAAAGAAGTGACCTTGTTATGATCATATGTAGCGAGGTGGCTGGGAAGAGACGCCTGGAGGTGGTGCAAGGGGTGGAGAGACGCCCGGCGCCACACCCTCAGCACGAGTGTGGGACGCTACCCCAGGACATGCGACTCCTGGCCACGCCACTCCTGGTAGGGAGACACCTGCACACCATGCATCCAGACGTAACAGATGGGATGAAACACCCAAAACTGACAGAGGTACAATACTCTATCTATTGCTACGATCATACATTATTTCTTTTCAATCTAATGAAGTGCATTTTTTACGCGGACTTTAAGGGTTTTTACTAATCTTTGTTCATTTATTTATCAATAGAGACACCTGGACACAGTAGTGGTTGGGCTGAGACGCCACGTACGGATCGTGGAGTCGGAGTTGATACAATTCAAGAGACTCCCACTCCTGGGACCAAACGACGTTCGCGTTGGGACGAGACACCAGGAGCTACACCAGCAGCAGCTACTCCTACACCTTCGCACGCTACTCCATCCCATGCCACGCCTTCTCATGCAACGCCTGCTCACGCCACGCCCACTCCAGGGTCTCACACACCTATTTTTACTCCGGGCGGTGTACGTAATTAATAACTATTAAGAATAGTGCATAAATCAAGTTGAACCTTAAAAGCAGCTATGTCCTGAAACATGGTTATGTAACTATCTGAACATCATACAATAAAAATTACAAAACTTACAGTTACACAATAAAATAAACAACATTGATACAAACTTTTGGTTTTCGGTTTGTATCTGCTTAACATTGGGCTGTTAAACAGTATGAAGGTACTCCTGAGGATCTCTATATCATGAATACCTATGAGGAGTATGGGTCTTCAATATCATACAACTTAATCATATACAAATATACAACTTAAAATTCAATTATAATTGATAATAGTACTAATTATTAATGAAGATAAGTGGTATCTATTAGTCCCATATAAAATCAATCCTAATTCATTTGAAAAATAAAGAATTTTCTTGATTACAGTCAACTCCAGTAGGGGTTAAAGCAATGGCCATGGCGACGCCTACTCCCGGCCATATAGCTGCCATGACCCCGGAGCAACTTCAAGCTTACCGTTGGGAGAAAGAGATAGATGAACGCAACAGGCCCTACACGGATGAAGAACTCGATGCCATGTTCCCACCTGGGTACAAGGTTTTGCCTCCTCCGGCGGGTGAGTACATGTTAATTTGAGTGTAGCAACATTTATTTTGAGTTTTTTAAGTAAAACTTCTTTTAAATCAGTTAGTAACTTATACAAATTTAGTTTCAGGGTACATGTAAAAGCGTACGCACATCTCCGGATAACACGATCACGGTGTTTTATTATACATGTACTATTGAATTCGAACTTTATACATTCAATATTAAATAAGAAATTTTTCTTTCAGATGAATGATGACAAAAGTAGTGACGTCGGAAACTCTACGCTGTACTGCGATTTCATTTGCTATTTGGTAAAAAAGGATAGATTTATTTTACTTATACCTATCACAAGAACGAATTTACGTAATACTTTCAAATGAGGTGAAAAATTCTACTCCTTTTTTGCCAGATATAACAGTGACCGATGTTTCCGAGTCTTTTAGTTTTATATGTGCAATATTTGCCCAGGTTACGTCCCAATAAGGACGCCGGCTAGAAAGCTGACCGCAACGCCTACACCGTTGGCTGGTACCCCAATCGGCTTTTTCATGCAGACGGAGGAAGTCGGGGGCTCCGCGGCAGCCGCGGCGCGACTTCTAGACCCGCAACCGAAAGGCTCGCAGCAGCTGCCCTTCATGAAGCCAGAGGATGCGCAGTACTTCGACAAGCTGCTTATTGACGTCGACGAAGACACGCTGTCACCAGAAGAGCTCAAGGAAAGAAAGATTATGAAACTGCTGCTTAAGATCAAGGTATTACTGATTTTTTATACCTCGAAAGACTAAGAGATTATTACATGTCCAAACATCATCCATACTCTAATAACTTAATTAAAAACGAACTTGTATCTCAGCCTCTTCGTCGAAAATTGTTAAAAGGCAGGATCCCAACGAGCGCAGCTAATTATAGCTCACTATTACTTCTTGAATGCAAATGTCCCATCTATGATATATAAAGATAAAGCTAATCTACAATTATCAAATTTACAGAACGGAACTCCACCAATGTGTAAGGCTGCGCTTCGACAAATAACAGACAAAGCTCGTGACTTCGGCGCTGGTCCACTTTTCAATCAAATACTGCCGCTCCTCATGAGCCCCACTCTTGAAGACCAAGAGCGTCATTTACTTGTCAAAGTTATCGATCGGATCCTTTATAAATTGGACGATTTGGTTCGACCTTATGTACATAAGGTAAGAAAAAAGAAGTTTTAAAGTAAATAAATATAAAACAGCAAATATTCTTTGAATTTGAAATACATATCTATAAGGCATTATGTATGAATATAATATAAAGTATAATACTGAGTATATAAAAAAATATATTACAAATTATTTTACTGTAATTATTAGCTACTTACATTTTTAAAACCAAATTTTTAGATCACAGAGTTTTTATTAAAATAATAATTTGACTAACAAAATTTTTAAATTCCAACATGTGTGTACATTTAAATAAAACACTTTAACGGTTTAAAACGCGATATATCAGTTAAACTTATTTGAAAATGATTTTTAACTTCGGCCCGACGTTTCGGATGCTTTGCAGCAGCCGATGTCACGGGGAGAGGAAGTTAAAAATTATTTTCCAATAAGTTTAACTAATATATCGCGTTTGAAAGCAAAAGTAAAGTATTTTATTTAAATGTGCACTACTCGCGTAAACTATAGACACATATATATAGTACATGTTATTCTAAAAACGATGAAAGCAAAAAGACTATCATTATCATATTTATTTTTACTTAACCACTTTTTTGCTTACAGATATTAGTCGTTATCGAGCCTCTTTTGATTGACGAAGATTACTACGCCCGCGTTGAAGGTCGTGAGATCATTTCAAACTTGGCCAAAGCTGCTGGATTGGCCACGATGATCTCCACAATGAGACCCGATATCGACAACATTGATGAATATGTGCGAAACACGACGGCTAGGGCGTTTGCCGTAGTTGCCTCTGCTTTAGGTAACAATTTATGTAAAGTTATAAATGTAGTGGTTAAAAAACATAGGAAAAATTTAAGAAATACCTGAAGAATACAAATTTTACTTATTATTTATTGATGTGGCCAAGTGTTCACTTGTTTGCGACATTTGAATAGCCCTCGCTCTCTATACCTATATTTTTTCGTATGTATGTCGTGGACAGTGCGTAAAACTGTATATATATATTCTCAATTGCAGGTATTCCATCTCTCTTGCCGTTTTTGAAAGCCGTGTGTAGATCGAAGAAGTCGTGGCAAGCGAGGCATACGGGTATCAAGATTGTGCAGCAAATCGCTATTCTGATGGGATGCGCCATCTTGCCGCATCTCAAATCTCTTGTAGAAATCATTGAACATGGTACGTTATACTTTTGTTGATTAATGCAATTTCTATAGGATGGTAGAAAATATGTAAAGTGAAAGAATTATACTTTATGAGCCATACTTCCACATAATATTCTTTCACACAATTTAAAAATAAAGTATTGCGACAATAGACACTTTATTATAATTAGGTTCGAATTCTGTACTCTAAATATTTCGAAACACTAATTTTGAGTTAACAATGCTGTGTACACCAGTAATTGGGTCCTACATAGGTATTTTAACTTATTGTGATGTTAAGTATAATGAATTCCATGTAAGTGATCTGTGAATGTACCATAATAAATTAATAAATAAACATTCTTATTTTAAGGGCCAGGTTATTAAATTTCCCATATTTTGTAAAACTTGAGTAACTAACTTTATACTTAGTTACTTAAACCACTATGTGTACTACTACTAATTTTTTATATTTTATACAGGTTTGGTTGACGAGCAACAAAAGGTGCGTACAATTACCGCCTTGGCTAGCGCTGCCTTGGCCGAAGCAGCTACACCCTACGGTATTGAGTCTTTCGATTCCGTGCTAAAGCCCCTATGGAAGGGTATAAGAACCCATAGAGGAAAAGGTCTTGCCGCTTTCCTTAAGGCTATCGGATACCTCATTCCGCTTATGGATGCTGAATACGCAAACTATTATACCCGGGAAGTGATGCTCATTCTAATTCGTGAGTTCCAGTCGCCTGATGAGGAAATGAAGAAAATTGTCTTAAAGGTAATCAATTTGCTAAGTGTTGAATAGTTCATCAGCTAAAGACCACTATAGCGTACTGTAGCAAGGCCAGAGTAGGAAAATTATCAAGCAAAAACACATGTTGTAAAAAGTATAAGACATAACCTCTAAACTAATTAGCCCGACAAAATGAAATGCTCCGCAATGTCTATTAGACGAAAAGATGGCATTCTATGCCTGTAGATATCGATTTTGATGTATCCTTAATCTATCTATCTATCTAAGATTTTAATTGTTGTTGCATATGGACCAACAATTAAAATCTTATAAGAATCAACATCCGGACCAAATGCAGACGAACTATTTAAAAAAAATAAAATGACTACTTGAGTTCTAAGGTCTGTTATTTATTTATATAGACATTTCTATAGAGTAGGTAAAATATCGGTTTCATTTATGTTGTAGTAGTCGTAATTCGACTTTTCAATGAGTTACTTACTAAACTTTGGTTCTAAACAGTGGATACTGCTCTAAAATTAATTAAAAAATAAAAATAATTTACCTGTTTCTAGTTAGTATAATTAGTAATATCAATTGTTAAATTTTTGTAGGTAGTGAAACAGTGTTGCGGTACGGACGGTGTTGAACCACAGTACATTATGGACGAGATTTTGCCGCACTTCTTCAAACACTTTTGGAATCACCGAATGGCTCTCGACAGGCGGAACTATCGTCAACTGGTCGATACTACTGTTGAAATTGCTAACAAGGTGACTTGTATTTCCTACCTAAATTCCTTTTTAATATTGAGAGCTTGTCCTGTTTATTATTATCTTTAGTCATTTTTATAGTTTTTAGTCCTCAATAATTAATAGATATAATTGGGTTAAGCCTTTGAATAGATCAAGCAAAATAAATTATATATTCTCCTTGTAAGGAAATAGCCTTTATGTGTATCATAATAGGACTGATGTTCTGATGTCATAATTGTAAGGTGATTAACACATTGAAGCAACCCCTTATAATTTTTATGTTAACTTATTTTAGGTTGGAGCTTCAGAGATTATAAATAGGATTGTAGATGATTTGAAGGACGACAACGAACAGTATAGGAAGATGGTAATGGAATCCATTGAGAAGATTTTAGCTAATCTCGGGGCTGCGGACATAGATTCTAAGCTGGAAGAAGCGCTTATCGACGGCATACTCTACGCTTTCCAAGAACAGACTACAGAGGTAAGTCATTGAAGTACCTTTAACAAGTTTCTTTGCACCATTCAATACCCATATTTTCATACACTTTATGTACGATTAAAAATGAAGTTTTTAGAAATTTCCGACAATATACACAATATTTTATTTCCTTTTTTCTAAAAAAAAGGATATCATCACTTAATTGTATTGGACAACAATCGTGTGTTGGTTAACAGTTCGTCTTATTTTTCAGGATGTTGTAATGCTGAATGGTTTTGGTACCATAGTGAATCAACTGGGGAAGCGTGTGAAACCATATTTGCCCCAGATCTGTGGTATCATTCTGTGGCGCATGAACAACAAGTCGGCTAAAGTGCGTCAACAAGCTGCCGATCTCATATCTAGAATTGCTGTAGTGATGAAAACATGCCAGGAGGTAAGAAGCAGGAGTTTTAAAATCATTATAATAGACATTGAATATAATGACACTGAATTAGCATAGCTGTTGTTTGTGTTGAAGTAATATATGTAGATATAAGTCATGTTTCATTAGTATTATGTATTGTACTGTTTACTCTTCTTTTTAACCAAATAATTTTGTTCAGGAAAAACTAATGGGTCACCTTGGTATAGTGCTGTATGAATATCTCGGTGAGGAGTACCCAGAAGTGCTGGGGTCCATTTTGGGCGCTTTGAAAGCTATTGTCAACGTCATCGGGATGACCAAAATGACGCCGCCTATCAAAGACCTTCTTCCTAGATTGACACCAATATTGAAGAACAGGTTAGTTAATAATAATAATATTGCCCTTTAAAATAAGAACAATGTTGTGCTGTATGACTAATGTAGTCCACAATTGCTTAATTGACTTTGGGCCAAAACCTAGTAGCATTTTAAGTTTTTTGTCTAGTGCTGAATTTTTGTTTAATATATCATTCTAGTCCCCAAATACGTTAAAATCTAATTTCAGACATGAAAAAGTGCAAGAAAACTGTATAGACTTAGTGGGCCGTATAGCAGACAGGGGACCTGAGTTTGTATCGGCGAGGGAATGGATGAGGATATGTTTCGAGCTCTTGGAACTGTTAAAGGCGCACAAGAAAGCGATCAGAAGAGCGACAGTTAACACCTTCGGTTACATCGCCAAAGCTATCGGACCACACGACGTACTTGCCACGTTGTTGAATAACCTGAAAGTACAAGAGAGACAAAACAGGTATTCAATAACATTTTTATAATACAATATCTTACAGTATGTATAAATAAGTTTAAATAGTTAGTATAACAAAAACGATTTGCAAAGTTTAAATGTAATTTTTTCGTTTTAGTTTGTAACTATGTAGTCTGGAGGAATCCGCTCTAACAAGTAAAAGAGTTACGTGAATACTTTGTGAAATTCAGTTTTATTATATTGCACATAATGGCATTATATAAATTGAAAATGGATCTTAGTTATAAAAATAGTGGCGATGAGTTTTTCGCCAGTGCGTCGTTATTCGTTCTATTCTCTTCATTTGAGAACTAGTAGAAAATAAAAATGTTAGGACAGTACACAAAATACAGACATATCTCTGTACAATTCGTTGGACGATTTCACTTAGTAAATAAGTCAAACTATTTGCATATACGAATCCAGGACTTCCCGCTTTTAACGTGTTTCCAGGAAACTCTTTTAACCACTGAGGCTAGCTTAAACTTTAAATACATACATATAGCGACATTGTACCTCCATTTATATCGTGGGGTTCTCATCTGGCCTGAGTCATAGATAATTTTAATTGAACGGAACTAATCTTCTGAGATCTTTGCAGAGTGTGCACCACTGTCGCTATTGCAATTGTCGCGGAGACTTGTTCGCCGTTCACGGTGTTGCCAGCGCTTATGAACGAGTATCGTGTCCCCGAGCTCAATGTTCAAAATGGTGTGCTCAAGTCGCTGTCCTTCCTCTTTGAGTACATTGGTGAGATGGGCAAGGACTATATCTATGCTGTGTGCCCTCTTTTGGAAGATGCATTAATGGACAGGTAATTTATTTTAACTAATATTAACCTCTTACAGGGTAAGACCGAGAAGCTTGTGAACAAAGTTGTCGTTTATAGCAAGCCAACATTTACTGTTGCAGATGTTTTTAGTACTCTTAAAGGTAGACACATAGGTTTTTTGCATTAATATGTTTTTCAAATGTGGCTCAGCCATTGAAGTCACAGATAGATGCTCTTTAGCCGAAACGTCTTCCCCAAAAAAATGGACTAACTATTAGAATTATTTTATATATCCGTTTATTTAAACAATCAAAGAAACTCTTCAGCTTTATTAGTATAAGTGAGTAATTTATTAAGAATCTATTTATTTGTCATCATTACAGGGACCTCGTGCATCGGCAGACAGCGTGCGCTGCTATTAAGCACATGGCTTTGGGCGTGTACGGTTTCGGCTGTGAAGACGCCCTTGTACATTTGCTAAATCACGTTTGGCCCAACATTTTCGAGACTTCGCCTCATCTAGTACAAGCCTTTATGGATGCCGTTGAAGGGATGAGAGTGGCTCTCGGTCCTATTAAGATTTTACAATATGCTCTACAGGTTTGTTACATTTTATTTTCAGAATCAAAAAATGTTGTAGACTGTTTTTGAATGGTATAACTGTAAAAATTAAACCATTTCTTTTTATTGGGCATACATGGAAAGTTGTTATGAAATATGTTTATTACCTATGTTATTTTCAGGGCTTATTTCACCCGGCAAGAAAAGTTCGAGACGTGTACTGGAAAATCTACAACACACTGTACATAGGAGGCCAAGATGCACTGGTCGCAGGTTATGCCAGAATACAAAATGATCCAAATAATCACTTTGTTCGATATGAATTAGATTATATATTGTAAAGTAATCAAATTTAAGTGTGACTTCAGCCGTTTTTGATTTACGCAATAAATAATTTAAGAAATTATTATTCGTGTGTATTATATTAAAAATGTAAACTGATATTGAGTGATATTTAATGGTTATGATTTTAAAGGCGAATCCAGATTTGATGCCAGGTGGTCTCATAGTCATGCTCAAGTCAAGAACCTTAATTTAATTTTGATAACAAAAGATACAAGTAAAACGTGCGTATTTAATTAATGTACATACGTAAACGTACTATTTCATACATTACGTTTACGTATGTTAGCACATTCTTAGTTGTACACGTAAAGGAATTAACTCATGGTCATTTGTAAATAAAATCAATCCAACTAACTCAAGAGAGGGTTAAACCAAGTACCCCTAGATCCGCCAGTGTATGATTTGAATACTAAGTATGAGCGTGTGTAGAGATTGGTGTGTCATTGCCCCAACACAGTTAACACAGCTTTTGTGTCCGCGAGCGAGCGTGAACGAATCAATGTAACAAAGAGGTCTTAATAAAACACAATTTTTTGTTGATAAATATTGTAATGTCTTTTTGTTTTACATCACTTAAGCGCCCGTTTCATTTGTACAATACATCATTTTTGTTTACTCACTTAAAAAAAAATAGTGCTGAGTAAGGCGTTACGTAAGTAAAAAATTGTGACTAGAGTCTAACGTAACATAAATACTTCAAGTAAGAAATTTAAAGTATAAAAATAATTAAAACTAAAACACATCATGTTATATTATAATTAATTAATACGAGATAGCATCATGTTTAAGTAAGACACGTCTTATTAACGGTTTAAACCGCGCAATAAATTTCCTAACTTATTTTTAATTATAACACGAACTTTCAGATGCTTCTACTGGTATAAACTACAGAGAGTACTTAGCCAATATACTGGTTTAATAATTGGCTTAAAAACAGAATACATTTTAATTTTCGTACTGGTAAGGTCATACCGAGTGCTATCTCATATGCATAGGAATGTGTGTGTACCTAACATTAAGCTTTATAGATTCTAAGAGATCTTTTTAATAGGAAAAATAATATCTTATAGTTATAAATAATAAATATAATCATTGGTTGTGCGACGAAACATACATGAGTTATACTTAGGCTATAGTTTTGGATTCTAAATGAGCAACAGCTATAAGTATAGATTTAAAATTATGATGCGCCTCTAACTGAAACGTAAACTAGCGGAATATTGAGAATCGGCTGCCATGCTACACCTAAAACATTATCCGTCGTGAGACCCAGTCTCCTATGTAGAGATCCATCGCTCCTTACCACCCATACTTCTTGGTCCTTGCACGATACGTGTTTGTACGTGGTATCACAATCTGGAAAAATTAAATAAACAATAGGCACAGTGACTACGAAATTGAGAGAGTGACAGTAAATGAGTAGTTTACTGGTAGAATTCAAAGCTGTAACGATTATCTGCAGCTGAGCTTCAATCATAATGTAATTTGATATTTAAGCTTTCATCTAACGAAAATGGTGTGTGGGTTTTGTTATATTTGCTTAAGACGTGTTTTTTATTAGTGACCACTATTTTGCTCATTAAATAGGACGGTTTATGACTTAATTTAACATACAAATAAGTCGCCCTAGCACAGACGCAGCATAACTGAATATGAAATAGTTGCTTTGAAACGAACGAAAAAAAGCCGACGTTAGTGTTAATACAAAAGGTTTTATCACCTGTTAAATATTTCCAATGCTTTCCTCCTGGTTGTAACCGGGAAATGTCTGTTCTAACAGCAAGACTCCCATTTGTTAGAAGAATCCAGGCAGAATTTGAAGTCAAAGACACTAATTTTGCCCCTACTCCTGATTTATAACCACTAGATATATTTGATTTAGGAGCTTCAATTAACTTCCAATTCGACCCACCAGGGTTCTCTTTGGTAACTTCTTCTCTATAATACAATTCGCCTTTTCTGCCCACCACCCAAATAATGTTGTTACATATACTTATGGAAACTAATGGTTGAGGACTGTTTACATGTTCCCAGTGGGTTCCCTAAAACAACATGTAATATTTTTAATTGTACAAAAACACATTTTAACAATCAACTTGCACAACTGCCAACTTACAGCTGGTGTCATTGCAGTGACTCCTGTTTTATAAATGACATCACCACCAAGTGTTACTGCCCAAACTGACACTTCCTTATCATTAGACTGCAAATGAACAATATATATAATAATTTGCATCACGTTTTTTAATTATTTTTGTTTAATTACTTAAAATTCAAGGCAAAATTGTAAAAAAATATGAGAGGAATGTCATATCCCAGAACCGAGACTATGATATACATCTAAGATGTATCATAGAAGTCAAGGGTGGGATCATCCCAGAAGTGTTAGTAAGCTGGCGATGATTATCCCAAATCAAAATGACTTAGTTAGTTAGTACCAGGCTTGTAAACATAAATGAATGCTATTAACCCATAAAGAAAAGTCAAGTAAGGCCGTAGATCCCGCACGTATCCATGGTCCTTCTGTGTGTATCTGAGCCTTTCTGTACCAGCGACGTCGTCTTACGCAATCCGTGAAAATCTTTTTTCCATGATAGGGAGCTGGAAAATCCGTTGCATATTGCCAACCATCGCTATCCACACCCCCTGGAGTACTATAATCAATCATCCATTCTGAAATCTAATAAAAAGAAATTTTAACAATAAACATTTATTTTAAAGTAAACGGTTTAATATTAATAGTAAGTTACCCAATGCCAATGGCGATTTAATAGTTTTGTATGTTCACGAGTTCTCTTATGCTTGCCAGTTATGTCACTCCACATGTATCGATCTGTCGGTAAGCCAGTTGATGTATATCCAGACAAAGGGTTCCACCTTTGATTTTCATAGACACAATATGTTTGGGTGTCTAACATTGCATGAATGCCGTCATTACTTCCAAGACCTGAGAGAATTATCAAATAATCAATTATATTAAAGACTATATTAAAATATGGAATGTAGTAAAAAAAACAAATACCTTTTAATGAACCTCCACCCCAACCACCTGTATACACCCATGCTCTATGATCATGAGATATTCCCCAAATTACAGTATTTGCACAGGTTTCTACTTTGCGTAAATAACCGCCTATCATTTTCCAAAACATTTCATCGGGTCCAATAATAACACTTGTTGAAGAATACTCCATACTAAATAACTTTAATGAACCTAACACATGCGCCGACGTTATGTTTTCAGGACTCAACCTGTGTTTAAAAGTGCAAAAATGTTTGTCATTGACAGTCACTGTAAAACCAACAGTGTCACATAGGAATTTTATGGAAAATTCTTGGCCTGGGGAAATAGGTAGCTGATAACGTTCCTCAGATCCCCAAAGACCAGATATCTTTGTATTACAAACAACTACACCCTCATCAAAACGCATGTTAAAATGAAATGGTATTTCAGTCACTTCGTTCTCAATTCTATGCCTCTGTTTTTGTATCTCCGGCCCTTGCAAATTGATATGGAATCTATTTATGTCATCATTTAAACAGCCTGTCACATTTAAAATACTGCCAGGTGGAAAGTTATTATGCAAAGTAGTTGTATATCCTTTTTGTATATCCTTTCCAAACACTTGAATCTCCTTTGTGTAGCAACCAGCATCTTTTTCTGCAGTCAATTGAGCCGGTGCAGGATCCCAATTTAAAACATCACCAGTATTTGTGACTGCCCAAACTGAGCTAATCGATGGCCTTCCAGAAAGTCCATGAATTTGTGTTGTGATATCAACTAACACATTAAGCCATTCCTCTTGTTCCATTTCTGATATAAATTGAATTTTCAACACCTGAGAGCTTTGTGTTGGTATAGTTAATGAAATTCGAGGACTGCCTGGTTCTGATGATGTAGTTACACTAGTAACCTCACCCAGATTAAATATAAACTTTATAGTTCCATCCGATTGGAATACTGAAAGAGTACCTGTATTTTCTGAAGAGTGCCAATAAAGAGATACAATACACTCTTCACAAATGTTATTAGTATTGACTAATCTTGCTTCACAGCTGCGGGTCCAACCTTTCTCTTCAATAGCTATGCCAAACTTTGTAAGATCAATATTGTAATTACTTCTGAGTTTTAACTCATCTAATATTTGCAATCTCCATTTAGCTGTGATATCGGTGTTGTGGCTATTCTGGGAATCACTAAACCAATGAGGAGGTTGTACTGAGTCTACAGAGCATGCACCAGCTTCAACAAAACTCCAAGCTGTGTCACATGTACCCCACGCCGTTTGGCTGACCTCCTCATCAAAAAACATACCTGAATCAATATCAAAAACACTACTGTCACTGTCGGGCTGAGCTTCCATTCCTACAACAGAACCAACACTTCGGACAGGACTCCATGCTCTTGGATTTTTTAAAGTTGTCTCATAGCTTTTCCCAGTCAAATCAATATTTTCTATATTGGCACTTGTTTTTTGTTTTAATTCTTTTGAAGGCTTTAATGGAAGGGTGTTTTCTATTGGAGCTGAGTGCGACTCTTCCCACGAATTGCGCAAATTTATGTTTGATTTAAGCTCAGGCACAGTTTCATTAAGTAAATTTAAACTCAAGTGTTTTTGGTTTGATGCAGATGATACAATGCTAGCAGCACTAGAAGTTCTACTGACTTGCATGTTTGCTTGCACCATTCTCCATCTTTTACCAGATAATTCCTTGGGTGTTATACCATTTCGCCAATAAATACTTTTGTTTGATCCACCAATTGCAAATACTTGATCATTAATTCCAACAGATATGTGCATCATGTTTCCATTAATATTTAACCATCCACTCCCCATAGCTGCCAATTCAGAACTTCCACAGGCATTTCCATCAACTCCCTTTCTAAACCATACTCTAGTATCAGAGCTTACTGCCCAAACAACATTATATCCAACAGAAACTACTGTTAATTTTGTCTCTTCGGGGGATTTTACTTCAAGCCAAGCTTCACCAGTTGGACAATCTTTGGTAACACCCTTTCGTACTATTGCTCTACCTGACCACAATAATGCCCAAACCAGACCTGTTGGACCCACTGAGATCTGTTTGATATCACAGTTTGGTGGAATGCTTACATTTATCCATTTTAATCCTTCTGGGGAGGTAGCACTCACATTTGATCTATACATAACTCTACCTTGTGCTGTAATCGCCCATACGGAGAGGGTGCCTGGAGCAGCATATGGTATTTGATTTCCACCAATACTTACATCAATAAAGGGTTCTTGAGTTGGATCTTTATGTAGTGGTGCTATAGCACACCAAGAATTCATAGCACTAAACTTTCTGTATCTTATCCACTTTCTTCTTCGAACACAAGATTTCCATTGCTTAGTTGGACCAAACTGAGCCGGAAAATCAACTGCGTAACACCAACCGTCATGGTCCAGTGGTTGACCATCTAAAGTCAACTCTAGTTGCCAATCTCCCTCCCATTGCCACGCCATTGATGGCAAACGAATGCCATCAATAGATCTATCTTTCGTACCATCTTGTGAAGAAAAGTGGTAGCGGTCAGTTGGTAATAGTCTTGAACTGAATCCTTCTAAGGGAAGCCAACGTTCATTTTCGTAAGACTCTTCTTTAACTCTTATTGGTATCTCTAAACCGTGAACGTGTAAATATATTTGGCGGTCTCCACCGACTGCCCAAAGAAAATGTGGAACAGCTGACAAAGTTTTGAACTCTAAACCTAAATACATAAACTCCCTCCAACAGGACCCGTTTGTTGAAAGAGCATAAACCTTTCCTTCATTGTTTATTGAAAATAAGAGGGAGTTGTTCGACATTTTATAGGGAACCTTTATTATTCAAATTATATATACCACATATTCTTCGACACAAACATCGTCTACAATTGATTTTTTTTTACCATAGTGGAGAGGAAATTTAAAATAATTCAAACTCTTTGAATTTAATGCCTATTTCCACTCCTAATCCCACCTACTACTTTGGTAATTTATTATTTATAATGTTAACGACAGTTGACAAACACAGATAATTAAGGCAATTATGCTTATAATCCATAAGTCATAGATTATAATCGTATCGTATATTAACAATTTTTGTTTACAAATGCATCGACATTGATTTTGTTAAAGCAGAGAAGATTTTCATTCAATTAGCAGAAAATAAAAGTTTAATACCGTGTAATGTAATGCTTAGTTGGCAATATAATGTGTAAAGTCTATTAGCTATTATCAAAGCCTAAATAAAAGTCTGCTATCTAGTGTCTATCTTTGTCTATGTTCTCCGATCGCCGCAGCGCTGGGTACGTGTGTGTCGGTGTTAATAATATTTAAAATATTTATACTATTCCTAATTTAATATTTTTTCATCAGGAGAATCATACTCGATCCTGGCTTCCCAAGGATAAACGTTTTGGTGGATTAGCTACAGTACATACGGTAAATATCAATGACTTTTCATACACTTAAGTTCCACGTCAATTGTGTTGGAATAAGGTGACACGTATTATCATAGTTTTGGGATGCCGATCTTGTAAGAAAATTTACTTCAAAATAAGTATTTATTTTCAATTAACTTTAAGTACAACTATGATAACTAAAAAAAACTGTAATGCGTACCTTATTTTCCTTTTAAAATAAGTACTATATTCAGTGAAGCAAATGTTACTGTTATCATCAAAGTGCACTTATTTTAACTAGAAGAACTATTATTTTTATCGTCATATTCTATGAAACATACCACGTAAAGTAAATAATTATAACAATTTAGTTCTGACCGTGAATAACTTTAAAATTATGGATTAATTTATCAGGTTATAAACATTCGAGTATTGTGGCTAAATAAATTTCTCAAATATCAATAATAAAAAAAACTATTAATGGTTTGGTAGTGTTTGACTTATTATTTTAAATCAATCTTTTTGGAAAAAGAATTTCATGCTCCTTTTAATATACACATACACATTTGGTATAGCAGATTTACAGATATTTTTTATTATATACATATTTATAGTATTGTATTTATATTATTTTTTATTAATACATTTTTATTATATAGATATTTAATTTATCGCAAAGATTTTACTAGATATATTTTTAAAGATTTAGAGATCAGGCATTGTCTTTTTCTGCCATTAAATCTGTTACAAATTATCAAGATTTTGCTATCTTAAATGAGAGTATGACATAATGTAACTTTTTGGTATTGAAATGTCCTTGACATGACCAACATGTTGAAGTAGATTAATAATAAAAATCCTCGATAAAACACTTGTTTAAACATATGACATTGTTTGATATTCATGGTTTTTATAATTCAGACATATACTTTAAGGAGTTATAATTATTTTAGTACTGTAACGACTTGGCACGAATAAGGACTGCTGGAGGAGACGAAAATGATGCATCAGCAATCCATGATGGTTGGAGATATGATACCCGTTCATTCTGAATTACCTGGCCATAATAACGAAGATATGATTAACGTACCATATGAAAGCAACAGCTCTTATGTCTACGATGACCTATTCCCTGCTTTGCCGCAATCTCAACCACCTGTTCAACGGAACACACAACAAGTGTCTAACAAGCTGCGAGTTGGCTCTTCTCTTCACACCCAAGTAATAAATTTATAATTCTTTACACTTATGATTTTAGTATTTCTATATGTTTGCTTTTATAAGCCAACATTAAATAATATGTTCTGTCAATTCTTAAAACAGAATGTAATGTACTTGTATAAAATTTGGACTGATTCTCTTATAAATTGTATAATGCTTTCATTGCCATCATTCAGCATATCATTGTTTTTCGGGCCTCCATTGCTCAACGAATTGATTCTTGCTAGAATCTCCTGGTGATGCTGTCCCCTCATGATGGTGAATCGTCTTCTCGCTCACGTCGGCCGAACAGTCCGAAAAACAATGATATATGCTGATTCTTTTATTATGTTAGTGTAGGCTATAAAAAAAATTGTAATTAAAAACAATGTTTTTTTTCAACTTTCACCATAAACTTTTTTGTTCAATTAGGTATTCCATGTTCCCTATGAAGAGAGAAAATTAGACAATGCCAATACGTTCGGCGAGGGTGAATCATTACGTACATGTCAAGCTATTACCAAGGACACTGGAGCTCACATTGAGATATCAACTAGCAAGGATGGGAGCCTTACCTTTTTGATTACCGGAAAGCATAGTGCGGTTCTAGACGCACGACGCCTTATTTTAACCCATTTTCAACAACAGGTACAATATTCTTATTCTTTCATTTAGTATATGTAGTAAAGCTCGATTTTGAACTACCACGCTAACATATTTTTAAATTATTTGCAGGCAAGCAAACAAATTTCAATCCCTAAAGAGCACCACCGCTGGATTTTGGGAAAGCAAGGTGTAAAGCTTAAGAAATTGGAAAAAATGACTGCAACAAAAGTCACTGTACCTAGTATTGCAGATAATAGTGAGATCATAACTATTACTGGTACTAAAGAGGGAATTGAGACTGCAGAGCATGAGATAAGAGTGTGCTCTGAAGAGCAGGTAAATATTAGGTTACCTTTAATATATAAAACAAAGTCTGTTTTATAAAATTGGCCAGGTAATAAATAATTAAACTTTTTCAGTCACGTAAAGCTTTAGAGAGGATCACTGTGCCGAAGATCTATCATCCTTTCATTTTGGGACCATTCGGCGAACGCGTGGCGGCGCTAAGCGCCGAAACCGGAGCTCGTGTCCACATCCCACCTCAATCTACACAGAGTGATGAAATAGTTGTTGCAGGAGAAAAAACTGGAGTGCTTGCTGCAAAAGCTCAGATAGAACAAATTTATGAAGAAATGGTATATATCCGTCAATCCTATAATTCTAGTTGTAAAGCATGTATACTGTAATTCGATTGTATGGTAATATTTGTTATCCTATGCTTCAAATATTACCATACAAAACAATAAATTAATTTTATATACATACTTGTAGGCTAAGAAGTGTTCAACTGTCCGTGTAGAAGTGCCTAAATCGCAACATAAATATGTTATTGGAACTCGGGGAACAACAATACAAGAAATTTTAAGAGAAACTGGTGTATCTGTTGAAATGCCTCCTCCTGACTCACCAACTGGTACTATAACACTTCACGGGCCTCATAATAAAATTGGATTAGGTGAGGCTAAGAACTGTTAAGCTGCATATTAGCATTTGTTCCTTCCTTTTCCTTTGTCAATTATGTTTTTGTGTTTTATAGCATTATCGAAGGTATGCGAAAAAGCGAATTCCGTGAAAACAGCTACTGTCGATGCACCAACATGGATTCACAAATATATTATTGGCAAAAATGGATCCAACATTAAAAAGATTACTCAGGACTTCTCCAAGGTAATGTAACGATTTTGGAACGTAATTCTCTTAATTTTAATTTCTTTATGTATCCTAAATTATAAATTTTTTAACAGGTACATGTTGACATAACGCATTCAGAGGATAAAGTCAAAATTGATGGACCTCCCGAAGAGGTAGAACGCGCTCAAGTCGAACTAGATGAGTTTGTAAAAAATTTGCTTGCGACGCTGACATACGTAGAACTTACGGTTGATCCTAAATTTTTCAAACACATCATTGGAAAAAGTGGATCAAACAGTAAGTTTTTGAACTATATTTATTTTGTTATAATCTAACTACGAAATGTCCAAGAATTTCTAAAAATAAGTAAAATTAAGATGCAAAATCTGTTGAGCTTAAAATAGAAGCCGCTATGTTGCCAACGAGCCATGATTGCAATCACATCTAACTTTTATAAATTTACAGTTAACAGGCTGAAGGATGAGACTGGTGTCATTATTAATATAATAGAAAATGAAGGTAACAACGTGATCCGCATTGAAGGTAGCCATCATGGCGTAGCTGATGCCGAAAGAGAATTAAGGGACATGGTAAACAAATTGGAAAACGAGAGGACAAAAGAAGTTTACGTCGACCACAGGTATATTAAGTCATTGATCGGAGTAAGAGGTGAAAAGATTAAGGAGATTCGAGAGAAATTTGAACGTGTTCTTATCACATTGCCTGACCAGGGGCAAAAGAGGAGCCCAATTAAACTGAGGGGCCCGCAAGAAGATGTCGATAAGTGCGAGAAATATCTCCACAAACTAATGAAGGAAATTGCGGAGTCCTCGTACGTCCAAGAAGTGCCTATATTCAAACAGTTCCATAAATTTATTATTGGTAAGGGTGGCGCAAATCTAAGAAAAATTAGAGACGAAACTCAAACTGCTATAGATCTCCCAGCGGAAGGTGACGACAGTGACGTAATTACTGTGAGAGGTAAACGGGAAAACGTCGAGGAGGCAGTGAAGAGGATACAACAGATTCACAACGAGAAAGCGAACATTGTTACTGAGGAGGTTACCATTGCACCCAAATACTACAACTATTTGATTGGTGCAGGAGGTAAACTGATACATTCCATTATGGAGGAGTGTGGTGGAGTCCTTATCATTTTCCCACCAGCAGAGAGTGACAGTGATAAGGTACTTGTTCTTATTAACTACTAAAACCGCCAAAATAATGACATAGATTTATAGATGACCAACCTTTAAACCAGAGAAGTTCATAAGGGAATTTGATCGATTTTCGACAGAGACTTTCCTGATCATTACATATCGGGAAAGTTGGGGCATTAATATAATGTTGATACTTGGGTATTCTCTCAATAACTTTTTATAAAAATGCGTTATAGATTATTTTTATTGCCGTTTCTTTAATGCCATCTAATTTTTTTAGTTCTCATTAAAATATTTGAATAATTGCCATAGCAAATAATAACCTAAATTTAATAATGTACAACTTAATCTCACACAGTCCTGAGTCCTGACAGATAATTCAATTTTTAGGTAATTATCAAAGGGCCAGTGGAAGATGTGGAAAAGGCAAAACAGCAACTGTTAGCACATGCGTCCGAACGCGAACTGGCTTCGCATACAGCAACGGTCCGCGCAAAGCCCGAACACCACAAGTTCCTCATCGGTAAGAGCGGTGCAAATATCAAGAAGATTCGCGAACAGACGGGTGCCCGTATTATCTTCCCTACTGAGAAGGACGAAGATAAGGAAGCCATATTTATTATTGGTAAGCAGAAATTTTTCAATATTCAAGTTAGTTGTTAGGTGTTAATGTGACTGAAAATCAGCACCCAGTCGGTGCTGATTTTCAGTCACATTAATAAATTTCACTTTGATATTAAAATATGATTTATTTTTATCTGAAGTGAAACAGGTAATAGATAAGTTAAACGTTGAGATCCGCGTTTGCCAATGAATGACCTTCTTTATAGTAGTAATCAGAAATGCATAGCTTAGATATTATCGCTATCATAGTTATCACCTTTACTTTAAAGTGTACAATGTGTTAAAGCACCAAAAGGTTATCATTACGTTTTATATGGATAATATTATTATTGTGATCAGTTGTCAGAATTCATGATGTAATTTAAGAAAAAATATTCTATGTTAATATGTGGCTAAAAATAGATAACAAACTTATGTAAATGTTTTTCAAATACATCTTTTGACTTTGAACTACCTTAGTACAATTTTACTAAGGTAGTTCAAAGTGCAGCTCTTGAAGGCAATCAACTTCTAAAAACACATTTTAAAAATTCAACTCTAGTTTTTTTCTAATTTCGTATTGTGTTTTTAATATTTGTTGTTACCATGTAACAGGGATAATTGGAATACTATCATCATTTTGTGTGTCTTTTTTCAAATTCAAATTCAAAACTTTAGTTGCCATAATAAGATATTTACAATCTTATAACTAAATTGTGTGCATAAAAATAATCAAAATATATATAAGAGTACCAGTACAATCGGTACCAGTCTCAGCTTTGCTGCTGAATGCTTGTCACACTCAGTAGCGCTGGTTTTCAGACTGGCCCTGGATTTTACTGAATCTTGTTTTTCTAATATAGTATAACACTCTTCTATTTGTAGGTCGCGAAGATCAAGTTGAAGCGGCACGAAAGCAACTAGAAGCTGCAGTGGCCGACATCAGCAATGTATCTGAGGGAGAGATGTTCGTTGATCCACGTCACCACAGGCACTTTGTGGCTCGCCGCGGTGAAGTGCTTAGAAGAATTGCGGACGAATGTGGTGGAGTACAAATCTCCTTCCCGCGTCAGGGCGTTGCCAGCGACCGAGTTGTACTTAAGGGACCGAAAGAATGTATAGAAGCTGCCAAAATACGCATGAACGAAATTATTGAAGACTTAGAAGCTAAGGTTTGTTACTTGATTTTCTTCCAAAAGAGCTCTGCATGCAAATTGTAAAACGGATACTTAGAAAACGTGGTACATAGTTTTTCAAAATTACACCTCATGTATTGCTACGGCCGCTATATCAAAAAAATGTATCAAACAAAATGGGATTTTAATAAAACCATATTTTTTTTCTTTATGGTTAATAAGGACATACCTTGGTTCACTGGATGGTAAATTAAAACCCAAATGCGCTGTCGACCTTTGAATATACGGAAATTCAATGAATGAAACCGAAACGCGATTAAACTTCACGGCTTTTTCATTTGTGGATGGTAACCCGGGCGATTCCGATATTCCTACCGGCCATTAAATTTTCAGAAGAAGTCGAACATATTTAGAAAAAATTGTCGAAATGGTTTGATTTTTTATCTTTTAATATATTTATTTTAAACAGGTTACAATTGACTGTGTCATTCCACAAAAGCATCACAGAACTGTAATGGGCGCACGAGGTGCTAAAGTGAAAGACATCACAGCTGAGTATGATGTACAAATAAAATTCCCGGAACGGGATACAACAGAAGGTGCTGACATTCCAGTGAGAAACGAAGAAAGTTCGGAGCCAGGACCTAATGACATTATTAAAATAACGGGACGGCCCAAAAACTGCGAGGATGCTAAACAAGCTCTTCTTGATCAGGTATAGATAAAGAAATAAAGTTGTAATATTTTGATGACAGAACATGAAAATACAAGAGTAGTTGTATTGAAATATTTTTGTAGAGACAAGATGGTGATTATGATTTTCCTTACGCAAAGATACGTAAAAATGTTAAGCTCTGTCTTTGTAGATGTGTAATGTTACATTATGAGCACCAGGTGTGCGTAATGTCGCACATAGAAGTATTGAGAGTGACAGTATGCCTGCATCTTACATGCACAGGGATTTTGGAAACAAATTATTATTACCTTTCTTATGTCCTAGGTTCCAATAACTATAGATGTTGAGGTACCAAACGATTTGCACAGATTACTTGCTGGTCAAAAGAGAAGAGATTTGATGCAAACTTATGACGTGCACATCCTTATGCCGCCAAATGAAGAAATAACTGATATTGTAAAGGTAATTTCTAATTTTGCTAGCATATACAAAAGATATGATGAATTCTTTGATGGTTATTCAATGTTCTTCATTTCGTTCATGATATTCAGGTGACTGGAACTCCCACAAATGTTGAGAAAGCTAAGGAAGCTCTCTTGGAGAAAATTGTTGAAATGGAGAAAGAGAAAGAAGATAGGCTACTAAGGTAAACATACCTTATACAGACGTAGTTCTAATTGGTATAAATTATATTGTCAATGTAATTACAAAATTAAGAATGTTTTTATTTGAACACCTAGCTTTGTTATTGAAAACAATAACCAAAAATTTCCTTCTATAGGTCATATGAGCTGAAATTCGAAGTAGATCCAGAGTATCACCCTCTTGTCATTGGAAAAGGTGGTTCAGTGATCACTAAGATTCGTACTGATTATGGAGTACAAATAAATTTGTCCAAGCGGGGAGAGCCTGACGATAACATCATTACCATTCAGGGCTACGAGGATAAGGCGCACCAAGCCAAGGAAGCGATTATGGCTATCGTACATCAACTGGTAAGTATCAAAGAGGAATGATCACTCCAGGCCCCAAGTGGAAAAAGCATTTGATAAGAGAGATTGCAAGTATGTTTTGAATTCATAAATCGTATGACGTGCATTTTACCTAAACATGATAATTTTTAAGACAGTCATTATTGTTGCTGCTTTTTAGGTCTTTTTGTACTGAAACTGTTTATTTCATATTTCAAGGATAACCAATACAGAGAAGAGGTAGAGATTGACCCCAGAGTTCACAGGAGGCTTATCGGTCAAAGGGGCAAAAACATTCGACGCATTATGGATGACTATAAAGTGGAAATTCGCTTCCCGAAGCAGGGCGATGACAGCACCGTTGTCATCACCGGTGATGAAGATAACGTTCTTGACGCTAGAGACCATCTCCTGAATTTGGCTGAAGAATATGTAAGTATATTCTTCCTAATATTCAGGGCCTAATTTTAAGCTCTAGCTTGCCTAGCTTGCTAGAACTTAAATCTCTTCATTGCCCCAATAAAGTAATATTTAGTAAATACCATATGGATAATTGTTATCCTTCATGTTTCCATATCCTTCATTCCATCAGTCACTAAAATCAACTAACTGGCCACACCACCCAACTCCCATTATTTCTTCCATCTTACAATAAGAAACTAATTGATTGATATTATTCCAGCTGCAAGATGTAGCTGATCGTTACCAACGACCAGCGGCGCCATCGCTAGCCGACTTCGGTGAAGTTCTGAGTGGAGAAAATGCAACCAACGTTAACGCAAGTGCCAATAACCCGCCGTCTACAGGGTTTGTGGTGAAGGGTGGGCCGTGGGAGCAGCGCGCACCTGACACGGCGTCAACCCACGAGTTCCCCATTATGCCAGGTGGACCCCGTCCCGCAGCGCAGCCCACTTCAGCTCCGCCTGCTTGGGGACCGCGCCGTTAATTTTTTTCACCTTTCTTCCATATAGTATGGTATTATATGATTATAATTAGCAGCCAAACACGGATTTTAATCGACTAGCTAACAGGTCACCTGTGTCAACAAATGTAATACATGTTACTGTATCAATGATTCAGTTCAGTGTGAATTATAATTATTGAATCGATTTTTCAAGAAATCATAGTCCTATTTTTACTATTAATGACATAGTGACGTACACTAAAATTAATCCAACATTAGATTCTACATTGAGTTACACAAAAACAGTACTAATTAATACATATTTTTATTTGGCAAGGAAGTTGAATTTAAATTTTTACTATTTCTCCAACACATATTATATGACAACTTTTGAAGAATATATTGGAAAATAACGTCAACGCTAAAAGTTTTCATCTTAGGTAGCCAGCTGACTTTAATTCAAAGCAATTTAACAATTTTATCAACCAGACACAGATCGTAAGATCTCCGTAGCTTTCTAGGCACAAACATTTTAAGAAAAGGTGCTAGTATATAATCTAAATCAAGTGAACACTTGACATAGGCCAAGCCGACTGCTATCTTTTATAATAAAATTGATCTGACGACACCAACTGAATGGATCTATGATTTAAGTAACATAATATGAAGTAGAATCTTATAATATTTAAAGGTTTCCTGTTGCAGTGGACATATCGATTAGGGTTATATTAGGTTCCATGTCTTTATCTCTGATTTCTTTTTTTAAATGTATATACATACATTTAATTAAACATCGATATTTCTGCAGGAGTTCATAATTGGATACAATGTTAAAAAAGATTTCCTTAATAGTGGAGTATGCCATACTGTTATTATATAATATTTGATGGAATTTTAGTTACTGACTTAGTTGTAGTTTTTTACTTTATGCAATATGCCATTATTTCAGATGTTTATCATGTTTGATATAATATAATTTTTATGCATAATAACGTTTATTTTCATATATTGCGAAAATAGGTTATAACATTGTTATATTTAATACTTAGTGCTTCATTGTTCAGCAGATATTATTGGTAATGATTTATTTAATATTTGGATAAAGTGGTTCTCTTTAACCACACATACTATTTGACAAAATTTCATATAAACACAACATATTGTAACTTTTGTTATAGTTACTGGTGTGTTACTCAACTGTCTTGTACTTATTGGGCGTAATATAATAAAATAACAATACCCTCTAATATATTGTTAAAATATTTTTTTTATGTTTTTGGTGTTGCCTACAAAAAGGATTGAATAAATCATAAGACAAGAATTCATATTTTTACAAAGTAATTTGTACATAGTTAATAATTGTGTTTGAATATTAATAAAACTTTTACATAGTAAATGTAACGGGTATCATTGGCACTAACTCATAAATCTTTATTTTTTGCCCGCCATTTGTAAATCCTTAATCACTAAAAAGAATTACTGTTGTCGAGCATGAGTGTTTTCAAAGCCTTATAAATACTTTACATATATGTTTTTAACAACATATAGATGACTAGCTGTGTCAGCGAATTCGTCCGCGTAGAATATTTTTTTTAGCTTCCAAATTCGTTTTTGCAAACCTCTACTTTATAAATTTAAGCTGCCCACGACATCGGTCGCGACCCTTAGTTCCGTTCCCGTCGTTCTTGCAAGTTAATCTTAAAAGATTGACATATAGTGTCGCGGACATTTTTTTCATACACATTTTTTGGGTGTTTTGAACCGTTTTCGCAGCGTACACATCTGAATCCCAGAGATGAAAAATTTCCCCCGTTTTGGTCATATTTCCGGCTGTATCGTCGTTTGAATTAGTCACAGTTCCTGAGATTAGCACGTTCAAGCAAACATACAAACAAACTCATCAGCTTTATATAGCAGTATAGATGTATCTGTCTGTACCAAAGTTTATCAATTAGTGAAGTCGCTTAACCTCGAAAGTGACTCGTAAGGTGCTTGACTAATGAAAAAACTTCTTCCTGAGTTCTTTCCTTCTTGATTTTACCAAATATACAACACTGAGCAAGTAATATGCAAGAAGCAGATTCTAAATAAGGTAATACATATTATATATATTGCGTTTCATATACTCTGTGGTCATATTTTACAGTGACAAGAATCAGGAAGAGTAATCCTCTGTGGTCGTAATCGTAGAGTCTGTGGCCTAAGTATGGTTTAAAGTACAATAATAAATATTTTTGTATTTTAACTACGATTTAAGTATTTACAACTTGCTAACTTTATTCATTAAAATTATTATTTTGGTTGTAAGGCAATATTTATTCTGGTTCTTTTTTTATGTAAAGTTTTAGTCCAATTATTTTATTTCAATATATAATATATTATAGTAATTTTTCTTCATGGAATATAACATTAAAAAAGTGTAAGCAAAATGGTAGTATTACTAACGTTAAATTGAAATGAATATCAATATTTTTGAAATTTACCTTTTTTCAGATCCCTGAAAATACCATTTCCTACAAATCATTACGCAAATATCACGCATAAAGTACTCAACGTTGATAAAGATTTAAAGGGTATTAAAAAAGAAATTGTTGTTGAAGATAATAATTTGATCATGTAAGTAATCATTCTATATAAAGTAACCTATGTTCATTGTAAGAGAGGTTTAAGAATTGTCTGAGCATAGAAAAAATACAGAATAAGACAGTTTTAAAACATATTTGCTCCTATAGTGTAGTAGTTGCTCAAAGAGTACAGCAAAACACTGTAACTCTGTACAATGATAACATGGCGGCAAATAAATTAGCTAATAACTATATGACGGGCAAAAGGGTCCAAGCACATAGCACAAGCACAGTATAAAGGTGCATTTCATAACAGAATGTGTCCAAAGAGAGGATATAATTGTAAAGTACAAACTGATAAATGACATTATGACCAAGGGATTGTCACCTGCAGCCTTCTGCAAATGAATATGCCTTCAAAATCTTCAAGAACATCTCGTTAGAGAGAGTGTTGTAAATACTTCTTTGTATGTCACTCAATATTCTTAAGACGATATGTAGTTGCTATGGTTACCCTTTTAATTTTTATTTATTTTAGCCCACTGGGCCCATAACCTGTTATTATAAAGTAAAAGAAATAAAATATATATGGCTATATTACAACGGTAGTATTCATTTATTTTAAAAGATTAAGGATATAGTTAAAACCAAATTTTTATTTTCAGTTACTATGAAGGCGCTGACTATAAATTTATAAGGTCAGCTTTGAATGCGGCACTTAAAAATGTAGTAACAGTGTTACAAACAATTCAAATGTTTTAGTAAATAATAATGCCGGAACATACCCCAGCTCCTAGCCCGGCTAGATCCCTGTATGGTTTCTTTATGTATTTATTCAGTAAAACAGTTCTTGCTGTGTATTTAATATGGGCAGTAGTGCCTGATAAATATTTATACTACATAAACATTTATTATATTCCTCAAAAATATTGGTCAACAGCAATACCCATTCAATGTTTAGTTGCATTGACATTGTTTGCTTTCCTCATTTATCCCAGTGCAAATTTTATGTTATCATGTGGAATAAATAGTGAAAACACTATTTCCGATAAATTTAGTAACACCAGTGATCTGACACACAAATATAAAAATGTGGTTCAGAGTGGTTGTATTTGCAAGGAAGAAAAAAACTGTTCAAAAAATTGTTATGCTGCCATACCTAAAGAATTGAATGAAAATACTGTACCACCATTGCAAGATCTTGATATAAGAAAGGTTTGTAGGTACTTATATTTTGATCATAATAAAAAATCTACATAATATTTTGTTTTCATTTTATACTAAGTTAAATAAAATTAAAGTAGGTTGTAGGCCCTTTTATTCATATAAATCTGTGTGTAAAATACAGCTTTATGTTCAGTACTTGTTCGCAGTTATTTTTAGCTTAAGCAAGTTTGCTTATTACGCTTAAATAATAAGCAAAATATTTATTGAATATTGCGTTTAAAACCGTTAAGTGTTTTATTATACTCGTATAAACATATGTAATTTTGAGTCATATTGTTTGTGTTAAAAATGTAGTAAGGAGCTCTTTCTTGAATAATTGTCACATGCACACCCAAATTTTCTTACCATATTAGTGCGTTTAACCCGCAACTAAATAATATAAAAATACTTCTTAAATATACCTACTTTACTTATATTTGTTAATATTTATAAAATCATTACCACTGAACTAAACCAAATAACGATTTTCTAGCGCAATGAATTAATTTTTAACTTTTTACTCTTTGAAGTCGGTTATTTTTATCTTTTTACAAGCAGCTCTGCTTTTTAAAAATAGCAAACGGTTGTATTGCTATCATGTGCCGTAATTAAATATATATGTATTTCGTATTCTCCTGTGAATTTTAATTTCAAGATTTTTTGTCATGTAAAATCATTTATGGTAGATCGAATAAAATATATTGTAAAAGTCACTATTTTTCACTAATTATGAATGTTTGCCCATTTTAAGAGTTATTTGATATCAATGAAACTACAATTTAATGGATCTCAATGTTAATATATTTTATAAGGATAAAACAACACTTCCCATGGTTAGTACAAAATAAAATTAAATATATTGTTAGTTTTTATATAGGAAAGATTTATAATAAAAGATTTTCAAAAATGCCCTCCATTTAACTGGTGGTAATAATTGTTAAAATCCAACAATGTAATTATCTCTGGCTTATCAGAAGGTAGAAAGTGTATAATATGAAGGACTACACACCAAATAGAGAAAAACTAGAAGACTGACAGAAAATTACATAAGCCACTTGCAGTATCCACAATGTTCAACTTATTGCATCAAGAATATATTCTGGCAGGCCAAGAGAGATTTTCCAACAGTGCTTAGGTCATTAAACCTTGAGTTTTTTAATTATGTGAAATGTTAAATAGAAGCTGTAAGAAAATCTGCAGTTGAATTGCCGCTACGTCTTATATACCGAAACATTATGACTAAGACTTTAATATGTGATGTTCCAGCATACAAGTTTTGCTGCACACTGGCAGCAAATATTCAGCATACATCCAAATATAAATTATTAAAGTATATTTTAGATAGTAATTTTAATATATTTTGTACAATAAAATACAGTTTAAGTACAACTTGTAGCAAAGATATTAAAGAGAGTAATATTTATTTAAAGTGTTAAAGCTAACGTGTGTGTACGCTCGAGGCATATTTACACAGCACACACGTACGGCAACAACACACATGTGCTCAATGCTATTATAGTACATAATAATTATATTAATTATTCTTAAATAGAATCAAAGGACATGCCAAAGCTGAACTTCACCACTCACTTTACAATAATTTCAATGCATGATTAGCCAATGAACATGCCTGTACTCAACTAGCAAATTGCTATTAAATAATACATTGATCGCTTAATATCACAGCTAATTATGCTTTGAAAATTATAGACTTGTCTAATTTTCACTAATGTAGTGTTAAGAAGATAATCTGAATAAATTTATATTACAATATCATGTCTTTTCATATGAAAAATTTAAATTACATTACCAAAAATTAAACAGTGCATCGCATTATAAATAAATGTGCAACCTTATTATTTAATTGACTAAACAAATTTGTTGCCTGCAGATCTGATATAATATTTTAAATATCGAAAGTTAATATCTTAAGAGAAATTTAAATTTTATCTATGGAAAAAAAGTTAAATCCAAATTTTAAAACATTAGTTACTATGACAATTCCCTTCAAATCCACCAAGTAATCATGAAAGTGAAATATCATTCCAAAGATTAAGTCTCCTTCACATATATTTCACCAGCACTCCAATTTGGGACAAACAAGAAAGGATCGAAGAGAAGTATCAAGGAGCACTTCACGAGTTGCTGTTAACATGTGGCTTCTTCTCTTGAGTATCTGGTGTGCGTTGGCCATCACGCCTTGGTGGCATACGTTCATTAATGGCATCTAAACCTTTAGCCTCCGCAAATGAGGTAATCTTGTGATTTGGAGAGAAGCCTTGAAGGGCATTTTTGAGAGAAGTTTTACCTCCTGAGAGGGCACCGAGTGGCAGTGCCCCTGTAGGTGTCAATCCTTTAAGCTGAAGAACAGATTCACTCTCTTCTCGAAGAACAGAGAAGACATGGGCCATTTTCCCAATTGCACGTATTTTATTACGGATCACTTCCTTCCGGAGATTAGCTTCCTCCAATGCATCATCACCTTCTGACATGAGCTCATCATCAGAACATATGTTCAAAACATTGACCAACATTTCTGTTACCTTTTCACCCACAAAGGGGAGTGACCAAGTAAAAACATCCATGAAATTAGGTAACCAATATGGATGAGGTGAGCAGTTAAATTGTCTTATGTTCATCACATTATTTTCATACTTAAGGACTGCAGCTTTATTGTTATAAACATCCAAGTAGTTAGGTGCTGAAAATATAGTAATCAGACTTGGAAATCCAGTAGTTTGACTTTTACGGTACATCCGATAACCAGCATCTTGAGCTTCATGAGCACGAATAATAGACAACAAATTGTTTCTTTGGAGAAAATCACAACAGGCTGCATAGCTGTAAAAATAAGAGCAACCTCTAACCGAGTTGTGGGAGAAATGCTCTGCATTCTTCTCATTGCCAAAGTCCTCCAATGGATCAGACCAAAGAAGATCACACATAGCTCCATAAGCAGGAGGTTCTTTGAATCTATCTAGTTTACGAATATCATCTAAACTATTAATTTCAGGAGACAGACCTCCATGAACACAGAGAAACTGCTGGTTCATAAGAGCAGCAAGAGGTAAGCAGTCAAAGGCATCCATACAAGCATCATATACTTTTTCTGAGTACTTAATTTTACATTCTTGTTTGAATGTAAAATATTCTGTTAAGTGTCGACATTCGTGATTGCCGCGTAACAGAAATAATGTCTTCGGATAGCATAATTTCAACGCCCAGAGATACAAGACACACTCTATACTGAAATAGCCTCGGTCGACATAATCGCCTAAGAACAAGTACTTCGTGCACGAAGGAGAGCCTCCGACCTCGAACAACTTCATCAAATCGTAAAATTGCCCATGGACGTCTCCACAAACTGTCACTGGAGAATCAATTTCGATCATAGTTTTTTCTGATCGAAGTAGGGTGGCACCATCTTGAATAATTCGTAAAGCCGCGTTTTCTTCGATTCGACCCTCTAATATAAAATGTTGCTTAAGTACATCTGGCAGAGGCTTCCCCGATTTTTCATCGAACACTTCTGACACAGTGAGCTTATGACTGGGAGGGAAAGCTACACTTTGGATCATTCGCTGCGTAGTCGAAACTTTTTCATTGCTCCCGGACATATTTGTCACATAAGACACACTAGGACTAATTCCATACACGCCACTATTTTCAAAATTAAAAATGGCAGATGAGAAATAGAATCCGTATTTCACAGGAGGCAAGAGAGAAGTTTACTACTGCGCACTGGAAAACAATGCGCAAACTTCTGGCGAGTGGTCAATAAAATAAACAGGGATATCGAGCGCGTTTTATTACTTTTGAACGTTCACTGAAATAGTAACTGGTAACATTAGCATTACGGCGAAATCGAGTAAAAATTTTGCAACCAAGTACCAACACAAAGACAATACATGGCAATAGCTATGATCTCAAATTGGGCAGATCTAAACATTTACGTAAGCGACGGGCACAGGCTATGTTTTAATTAGATTTTTTTATTTGTAGCTAAGTTTGAGAAGAGCCCTTTGATATTTAATAGCTATAAAGTAATATAGTACAAAACAATATTTTTTTTTTCACTTCCTAAAAGAAAATTTGTAGTATGTCATGCATGGAAATTTAAATTAAATAATGCCATCGATCAACGAACTACGAAGTATGTACGTAACAACGATGGCTGTAGCTAATACCTTACCACAGAATTATAATGGGTGGATAGTAGGTGATAAGGACTGGTTTGCAATTTGCATTATTATCAGATGTCGCCCAATGGTTATATTTGTCATTAGCGACTATTTTTAGCCTTCCGATAATAATTGCTCTACCCCCACCAAGCAGCAGTTAAACGGGTTTATCTATGTCTAAATTATCATAATGTAAAATTAAATTCACATACTAGAAAGCTATTTTAGTAGACTACAGTATTTAAGGTACTAAGCCGCTAGCTCTATAGTTAATGATAAACAAATTTGCCGAACTATATCTCTGATAACAACTTTGCGTAATAATACATTGCCGCTTGTATGTCTATCATATTTCCAAGAGGAATTTTCTGGGAGTAAGGACTGAAATGAAATTGACCATAATAATTTATTGCAGTTCAAGCTTCAAGCAAGAACCTGTGTTAAGTTTAACTAATATAATATGTCGCGTTTTATTTACATGTGTACTACTCGCGTAAACTACAGACAGTATTGATAATTGAAGAACTTTTACCCGGTCTGGAATAAGTCAAGGTTCGAAGCTTGGACCTTTTGAGTTTGTCGTCACGCATTTACCATCAGTCGTAGAGCAAAGCGTTTACTGTACGCGGACGATTTGAAGGTTTTTCTACAGGTCAAAGACGTGGACGATTGCAGATGGAGTCTGCAAAATAAACTGGAATTTAACTTGAAAAAATGTTCTGCCGTTAGTTTTACACGCGTCTGTAAATTTGTTAAATTCGATTATACCGTAGGGACAACCCTCATACGAAGAGAGACTCGAATCCGGCTTCTAGGCGTCTTATTCACGAACGATGTAACGTTTCGTGAACACATGGTAAATATTTGCCAAAAGGCGTATAGAAACCTTGGTTTTGTCGTAAGACAAAACCAAGGTTTCTATCCACTTTACGAATATGGCTGCGGTGCGAGAACTGTATGACGCATGACGAAGCGATTTAGATTTTAACTCCTCTATTTGGGCCCCGGCCGAAGAAAAATACAAATTAATGTTGAAACGCATTCAAAACGAATTTGTACCAAAGAATGGAGTATATCCATTTTATCCTTTAATGTATCAGACTCTTTATATTAGGCATGGTCGGGTACAATGAATTGAAGGTACGGAGGGACTTATTCCTAGTGATATATCAGGAAAAAAGTATTGCGGAGTCGAGAGTTGAACCCAGGAGTTACACACAGTCTTTACACTTGTCTGTTCCGGACCGATACGTGTGGAGGTGATTACGACCACCGTTACTTGCGCTACCGTTCTCACGCACCAACTTACTGATGAAATCCCCTCTTGTTCGTGCTTTGCGTGTTATCAACGAGCTGCAGGAGGGGATCGACGTGCAGCTTGGGTGAATTGACAAAAACATCACTCCATGAAATATGTACTAAATAATTCTATCGCAATGGACATTCTTCTGTAATGTTACAATACGTTTGTAATGAAAATAAATAAACTCTGTGAGTTCTTTCCAATATGAGTGGCATATCGCTGCTTAAGTGCTTACTATATATAACCTCCGTGAGAAAAAAATGGGTTTTTCAAATTAGTAGTAATGCAAGTGGGATTAATTTGTATTTGAAATATATCATATATTTGAAGAAGCATGATAATCTTTTTATTATTACTAAGTATAACAAAATATTTGATCTTATTGCATGGAACTAAAATAACTTTATTACAATACTTTTTATTACAATAATAAATTTCATACTGAAATAAAATTAAAAACATCATAAACCGTAATTCTATAACATAAGAGAACAGTATTAAAGTAACTTAGAGCACTGTTTGAACATTAGTCACATAAATGTCACATGGTCAGTTCACAGTCACTGTTGAGTCTACTGTTTTGTACTTTGGCTTGCTATGTGTGAATGGTAGGTAGCGATACTTTATCATGTGCTGGAATAGAAAAAAAATTGATGTTAATAAAGCTCATTTTAAAGTCATATAATAATAACTTATAAAATATGGTTTTGCAGAAAAATAGGTCACTATAATTTTTTAAATATAAAGTAATTAACCATAAAATGTATTACCTTAATTTGCCTCTTCATTGTGATGCAGAATAATGTTATAAAATACATTACTAAAATAGGCCAAAATACCGGTATATTGAATGCATCAATAAAAGTACAACAGAAAGCAAATATGGTACTTTTGGTCACCGATAACCAAAATTTGAATTCTGGCAATCTTCGGATGAAAGGCCGAAATTCTTCAGTTGATCTAGTAGGTAAAGCTGGGCCATTTTCATCATCTCCTAAAAACATAAATTTGAACGCTTACATACATTTTGCAAATAGAATATCTCTATTTGGTAATAAAAGAAAGAAATATCATGATACTGATAGAAACTAGAATTACTAAATATAATAGTTGGTAATCCAAAATAACATTATAAAAATAAAACTTATATGTTAGGGTAGATAACTTGGTATTATGATTTTCTTTCAGCTGGGCTTACTTCATATCAGGAATGGTGAATCGTTACTAAACAGTTAATGTGGATTGATTACACTGTGGCATTCAGTTGGTGTCCATAATATGAATAAAATAATAATACTAGGCAAGAAAAGTCTTAGATAGTCCTTCAATGTGAAAATAGACACATTGATTCTTTTAGGATGGACCACAGAGAATGGCAAAGATTAGAGATTCATTTACCAAATTTCAATGCTATTATAGACCCAATAAATCATACTATTAAAACATGTATTCATAATTTCCAGAATCAAAGTAGACATAAAAACCGGAATTGATAATGTTATCTATTACTGTAACCTAAAACATTGTATAATAAAACACCTATCAGTGAAAAAAAAGTGTTACATTTCAATGTAAGAATTTCAATTCTGACTAATAAATAAATGAAATTAAAACTATAAATAAAGTAAAGAGAGAAAACATTTGTCATACCATCAAAATCCATTGCAGGATCAATCTTTGGTGTCAGGAATGCAATAAATAAATTTAAATGATATATACCTAATGCATAGGTGACTATATACCAGCCCTGAAATAATAAAATAGTTTTTTGCCTTCATATCTTTCTTTGAATATAAGTTATAATAAAAACAAAAAATTAAGCTTCAAAGTCATAACAAATCAGAGGACTTGTTCTTCCATAAAATTAGTTTTTACATAGAATAGTAATTTTAAATAAGTGAGTATGATAAATTAGTTAATAAATTATAATTACAGTTAAACTAACTGTAACTAAACTACTATGGAGTGAAAACAAAACACAGGTTCAACACTTACTTGTTTCAAGAATACTCGAAGAATAAATATAAGAATCAGTATTATAGCTGCAGCCCATCTACTTTTAACATGAGGAGTCCACTTATCTAATAGGCCTTGGTATATCTGAAATTGTGAATTTAATATCACATAGATACATTGGCATTTAGTTTTTCATTCCTTTTAAAGGCTGCTTAAGAATTCTCTTCACATTGTGTTTTTTCTATGTAACAAGTAACTGACAACGAACAATTTTGATAACAGAATGTAATATCATCAAATTAACCTGCGAAATACGTGTCCATCCTTGTGATACAAAGCCTCTTCTTGATTCAGAACCTATGTCATTACTATCCATCATATTTTGATAACTTAGTTGTTGACCTTATCACTAAATGCAACAAAAGGAGTGTGAATTTCTAGTTTGCCCTTCAGCTTAAAGATATTTATATGCATTAGTTCACACTTGATTTAATGAAATTATAAAAATTAAAACCTATCATCGAGAGTACTCAACATTTCAATTGCCTAAAACGAGTCAAACGTCATTCGTACCACAGACATGCACACAGTGTTTGTAAAATTATACAATATTACCCACAGATGTGTAATGTTCGCTACGATTTTACTTTTTTATTATCTAATATCGACTAACGTACACTTTTGTATAGCTTCTTTGCCTACAGTAAATAATTGATGCTAAAAAATTAATTGTAAAATGACTTTGTGATAAGGATTATTCTTAATACTTAATCCAACAACTATTGTCAAGTAATTGTACCGAAATGAAACCCTAAAGGCAATGTACCTTGAATTCGAAGATCTTCCATTGGGCGCAATATTATATTAATTTAATATGTAATCCAGGGTTTATTTAAAAAGAAAATAGTAAGTAACCATAGGAAATAAATTAATTGCTTAAGAAATTTTATTGAAGTTATCCTAATTACATATTTTATACATAATAATTTTACATAGGGAATATGTATTTTAAAGGATAATAATTTTGACTTACACTGAGAACTAATAGGACTACTTAGGCAAAATATAACACTTGACATCTTGAGTGTCATGCTCCTAATGTAATATTCTTACACAAAGTTCATTTTATTTACATGAATTTTACATAATTTGCGATACTAATACTATACCTTAAAATTTATCATTGCTTTGAATATAAATGACGTTTTGGTCCAGCTAAAACCTATATACTAAGCACAACTCCTAGAGGAATGAGTAAATATTGCCATTGTTGTACCTATTTGTAAGATTATAAATAATTTACAGAAATAACAATTTAAAAATGTGCTCTGCTTTATTAATATAGGACGCGAAGGACCTATTCCTTGTTTTCGTTTATTTATATGTTCGTTCGAAAATTAATAAATCGAAAAATGTAATATGTCTTTTATTAATAATGCAGATTACATATTATACAAAAAAGAATGCATGATTATAGAGTTCACGCAATGTCTGTTAATTTTTATGTACATGTTACCTATTAGTTTGAATGTTAAACACCATTTCTTAAATACTACAATTTCATTTCTAAATTCATTCCTAATTCAATTAAGAAACAGCTAATTTTTTATGACTTTTCAGAGTCGAATAGTTTGTAAGGATGCCTAACAACACCTAACAGCTACATATTATGTATAGCTATTTATATAAGGCAAAAATGTAAAACGTGATTTTCATTACTGAAAACTTATACAAAAATCAAATGTAAAGCAATTTAAATTAATCTTTAATTAACGTAATAATATGAAATAGGTACTTAAATAATACATGACACATATTATTTACAATGTAGATGTAGTTATTAAATTCAGTTTTTTTAATGTATATAATCTGCCATGCTGCTAAGGAGAATGTGTTTAAGTTGTTTCTTGTATGCTTTACGACTGTATATTTCTCGCAAGAAAATATTATTAAGAGTATTTAATCGACATTCTTATTCAATATATAAATTCCTAATCAATTTTGAAGAGCAAAGACCACTACACACAAACTTATTATAGTAAAGAAATAAAATGGTGATTACGATGTATCATGTCAGCTTCTGTGTAACTAAACTAACTGATAACCTCTGAATTCTTTAAGGATAACAAAAATTGTCTCAAAAATGTACTGAACATTTTATAATCTTATAAAATAAGACATGTGAAGCCCTATGAGGAAGCACTTAAGTGAATAACTCTTATATTATGTATTAGGGATACTGTATATGCTCATTCTCCTTTCTGTTGCAGCATAAGTTGAGGGCGCTTGTTATCAAGCATAACATTACGGATAATGTAAATTTTATATTATATAAACAAACAATACTGATAAGTTGCAGTAAAACATATAACATAAAATTAAGACTTTTGCATTTATTAAAATGCATATAAGTTTTAAGAGCATAACAATGTGTTCAAATTAGATTGATATGCAAGTTATTTAACTGCTGAAAAGTTTTTCATTTGATTGTTTGTATTGGAAGCCACCCAAGAACTGAAGACGTCTCTGAAATTATGAAAATAACTATGACATAGGGAAGAAAGTATCTCTTTTCTATTTGGGGTTTCTTAATACAAAGTCTTAAAATAAATAAAATAAAAAATAGTTACCTGCAATGACTCACAACACATTCGTTAGAGCAGTACTCATCTTCCCATTCACTATTGGCAATTGCAGGGTTAGTGCAACCCTGACGTACACACGACGTGGTTTTCGTTTCGCTTTGCTAAGAAACAAGAATACACCAGATTACTTTACTTCAACAAAGTCTTTCAAATATTTTCTTTGAAAAATAAAGAGACAACATAGGTACCTCTGATGTCATCTGAGGCATTCCAGAGGATCCATTATTATTATTTCCATGTTCAGTCTTGAGTTGAGTTTGGTTTTGAGTCTGATGTTGCGGAGGTTGCACTTGAAGAATTTGTTGTGATGATGCCTGTTGCTGGTGCATTTGCTGGGCTTGTTGGTGGATTTGCTGTGTTTGTTGTTGTATTTGTTGGGCTTGTTGCTGTAATTGCTGTGCTTGTTGTTGTTGTTGTATTTGTTGTGCTTGCTGCTGTTGTTGCTGTTGGTGAATCTGCTGATTTGGATTTTGTTGATGCTGATGATTCTGTTGTGGCTGTTGTTGATATTGCTGAACTTGTTGTATCTATAAAAAAATGTTCTTTAAACATTTGTCATTGCTTATTTATAATTATTATAAGTAAAACAATATGTTTACAATTTAATCTAAATTTTATATTTAAGTTAAGAAACAATCTTCAATGTAATTTAAAAATCGAAAAAAAAAATAAAAAAACAAAATTCGACCCAGGCAGGACTTGAACCAGCATCGTCAGCATTCCGTGCTGTTGCTCTAGCAATTGAGCTACCGAGTCATAATTTAGAAATTGAAAATAAAGTCCTGCCCAAGTCAAAAAAACAATATTTCATTTTTTTTTGACTTTGGAGTAGCTTTAGTGCCTTCATGTGTACATGTAAAAAATAATAAAGTTTTCAAATCTTCAATGTAAATAATAATGTGGTCAACTTTATGAGAATAAATAATGTCTATAGTTTACGCGAGTAGTACACATTTAAATAAAGTTTAAACTAATATATCACGTTTTAAACCGTTAAAGTGTTTTATTTATGAGAATATTCAAGATAAACAAATATCACATACATGCATGAGCCTTATTTTACCTGCTGACTATGATGATACTGCATCGCAGCATGTACATTTGCCATTGGTGGCGATTGAGACTGCACTTGTCTATAATTAGGTGGAGAAAGGCCAGCATTGTTTGGATAATTTGGCGGAGATTGTGTAGGTTGATAGTTTCGTGGTGAATGTGCCATGTTTTGTTGACAGTTCTGTGGAGATGCAGCTGGGTTCACAGGATAATTTGGCGATTGTCCAGAAACAGCCTTGAAAAAATAAATTATGATAAAGAACATGAACTAACCACTAGTTTTTAATGAAGAGCTTACTATAGAAATGATCCTGTGATAAGGTCTTAAGATGAACACTAAATAAATTTCGATAGATGACATTGTATCAAAACAAACTTAACCTCAACAGTCGTAATTTTGTAAACTTTAATATTTTTCACATTGTCATTACCTAAATTAGCAATCTATGTAGGTTGAAAAAATTTCACATAATGGGTGGAAGTCAAACTAACATAACTTACTTGATATGATTGACCAGGATGTCCAATGTTTCCTTGGTAACCTTGAGGTGACTGTTGAGGGTTTGTTGGATATCCCTGTGTTGGTTGTCCAGCATAAGAGTTTTGTGACTGACCACCTGGATATGTTTGTGGTGAGTAACCTTGGGGGGTACTGTTAGGCACAAATGCTTGAGGTGAATGTCCATTTCCATAAGCTTGGCCTTGATAGTAATTCCCATAGTTAGCATTTGCATTGTTGTGACTAAATCGCACTTGGTTTTCTTGTTCTGAACCCTTAAAAGAAATAAGAACAAAGATTCTAAGATGGTTCGAACTAATAGACACATAGTATTTAAACTTCGGCCTAAATTCATCTAAAGGTTTAACAAAATTATAACAACATTCAGTTTTTTTGTTTTCAACGAAATTACTTTTAACAGGCTACTAGAAAAGGCATGGTGACCGGCTTTTAAATATTGATAAATGGTTTTGGAAACATACCATGATATCAAACTCTGCAGGATCAAAATACGACATTTTAGTATATTGTTATTATAAATTTACTTTTTCTATGAAAGATTAAATATTAGTATTCCGTAAACATTGGCGTTAATATCGACTAGCGTTGCTGCGAATGACAGTTTCTTCACGACAGTGACATTGACACATTGTGGTTCTCTCACGCTACCACAGCTTAAACAAGTGTCAAACATGATACAGATGTTACAATTTGATCACTCTTAAAGACAAACTTCGCTTTTTTCATGTAGTTTTAAAAGGGTATAACTATTTAAAATTCTATTTTTCAATCTATTGAATACTATTAGGTAATTTTCTAATACAATGCTTGGGGTTTGGAGGAACCCGCACTAACAAGGTATAAGATGTATATAACATTAAACATCACGTATACTAGTTGAGCCGGCAAACGTTGTTTTGCCATATAAATAATTTTACTAAAATGTCTATTAAAAAATAAGGGTTGATCGTAGAAGGGTGAAAATTGAGGATTGTATGTATTTTTGTATGTTGTATGATAAAAAAAAAGAAATTAAAAATTTTGTCTAAAAAAAAATAAAAAAATTAAAGGGTGAACAACCCTTATCACTTAGGGGGATGAAAAATAGATGTTGTCCTATTCTCAGACCTACTGAATACACATATCAAATTTGGTGAAAATCGGTCGAGCCGTTTCGGAGGAGTTCAAGTTCGAACACCGTGACACGAGAATTTTATATATTTGATAATAAAAATTATACATTAAGTGAGTTAGCAACTTTAACAAAATCTTGACGACAAAAGGAGTGGCGAGTAAATTTAATTTTAGAGTTTTTAATTTTTAACTGTATTTATGTTCATAAATGTACATGAATAAATAATTTTTGGTTTGATTTCTTAATATTTCATATGTTTATATTGTTCTTTATTATTTCATATGAATTAGTTATTTATTTTTTTATTTGTAATATTTTTTATGGTGAAAGTTTCCGAATAAATGCCTACTAAATTGCCTTAATTACCTTTGATACCAAGCTGGCTCGATAGGCTGCAAGTGCTTTAAGGTACTCTTTTTTGGCAACCTCAGTTTTTTGCTTATACACCTGTAAAAATCGAATTTAATAATTTGAATAAGAAAGAAACTATATCGCTTTATAGAACAATATACTTACACTTTTGTGTTCAGAGTCTAACCCATCCCACATAGAAGCAACAATCTTTGAAACTTCACCAAAGCTTGCATTTGGATTTTGCCCTTTTATTGCCGCTTGTGTATCACGAAAGAATAAAGCATATGCCGATACTGGTCTAAAACAAACCACAAAGTAAAAATCAGGTTAGTTTTAAGCCCAATTTTCTTATTAGTAAGGAAATCTGACTATATCTAGAATGTCTGGTGGAAGTTTACATACTTTTGTGGCTCATTAGGGTCCCTTTTTTTCTTCTTCTTTTGAACTTTAGGTTTTTTCTGCATTTGTCCACGGTTCACTCCATTATCCATGGGTTCTGGAGAAGATCTTTTTACTCCCATGTTCATGTTCATCTGTGGAACATAGAATGTTTTAAATATAATAGGCCAAAGAAAAAAATTTGAAACTAAAAAGCATTGTGAATAAAGTGTTTAGTGTAGACTAAAATAAAAATAATTCATTGGCAATACACACAAATTTCTTAATGCTTTATAATGTTTAAGTATATAACTACATAATTTGCCTATACCTGATGAAGCGCAGTTTGTTGCTGCCGGCTCGCTGAGCAATAATGGATCGGCAGAAGGCTTTCTGCATCACCAGGCAACTACCAACAAATAACCAATTTATTAGAATTCACTACACTTAACATATTCCAAGCGAGTGTATATGCCAATGAACTATACAAATAAGCAAGTAATACATATAAGCTGATTACTTCAATAAATTTCTTGTGAAATGTGAAAATGTGTCATACATATAAGATTGTTTTAAATATTTCTTCAAAAGTTTATAGAATATAATTCTTCATTAATTTATTGTAATTTTTTTGAAATTTAAATTGTTTGTTTCAAATTACATACATTGTTTATAAAGGTAAAAAAAAACTGATACCTGAGAGTGTTGTGATGGAACACTGTCATCAGAATCATCACTAGTTGTGCCAGGCGGAGATGCTCTTTGTGGTGAACCATATACAGGTGCAGACTGAGTGGGAGTGCTAGGTGTTGGTGGACCACTCATGACTTGGGTTGGCTGTAACATTAACAATTGTTGCTGTCCTCCAGGTTGCTGCTGGATTATATAGTTTCCTGCAGGAGCACAGGCGCCACTATAATTTAAAAATATATACATTAGCTTTAATTTTTTGCAGGTATGAAAATAACTTCTAATAGTCAATGTTTAATACCTGTGAGATGTGACAGGTGTATGCGGCTCTTGCAAATAAAGAGGTTGTTGATATGAGGGAGCACCTCCAGGTGGTGCTAAACCATCTTGAGCAGGGTTTATCATACCCACCTGACATGCAATTAGTAAAAGTAAGTTAATATAGAAATGTAACAAAACAAATAATCGTAAACAGTAACATCTTATTTAGTGAACAATAACAAACAATGACACTTGTAGCACAGATTACACATACACATAGAATAAAATTATAAAGTTTACTACTATATATTCAGGCTTACGGAATAATAATGGCTATACCACAGATTATAGCACCTCTATCGGCTTTTAAAGCTTACTCATTTTGCTGGGGTGTATAGTTGTCAAATTGAAAATAAAATTGTGTTTTTAAACTAACTTGCATATTTAACGTAATAACATGATGGAATTCGTCAGGAAATCTCGATATTAAATGGGTGGTAGGAATATCGAAATTCCGTCCGGCTCGCGTACCACCTTCCACAGATACTTAATACATAGGTATTTTATTTCACCTGAGGTGTAGGGTGGTGAATCTGGGTGTACTGTATGTGAGAATTTTGATTGTTTCCACTCGGAGCGTGTTGACCGTGGATAAGAGGAATATCAAACTCTTCGTCGCCAAATGATGGTGTATGGAACGTCTGTATCAAGCGAAACATTATTTTAAAATAAATAGAAAGGGGTTAAAACGCGATATATTAGTTAAGCTTATTTGAAAAAGATTTTTAACTACAGTTTTGGATGCTTAGCAGCAGCCGTGGTCACATGTAAATAAAAATGTCTACTAGGCATCAGATTTGTTTGGTGAGGTCAGGGTTTCGATAATAGCACATCTAACTTAGCACAACTATGAGCATGGCCAGTTAAGCGAAATAAGGTGACAAAATCAACACGGCATAATTCATCTTCAAACAGGCAGTTGCCAATTTTATTTCACAAGGGTGATAAAGATTGTATTTAATGACTAAAATGAAAAATAAGTACCTGATCGCTCATGGTGTAAAGACTTGACTTGCTGGTGCGATTGCTTGCCGGTATCGAGTTGAGTTTTGAGCCTGAGTCAAGATTTTCTGCCCGCTGCAACAAAACCCGTATGAATAGTTTTACGCTAACTTATCCACTAGTTACGTTGATGTGATACAAAAGTTCTCTTGTAGTTTGTTCATATTATACCATCGATTAACATACTTATAAAGACTATATTACTCTCTCTTCGTCAACTGCAGTCGATTTTTATAATTTTATCAAAGGATTGTCTGCAGTCAAGGAAACCATAATAATTAAATAAGACTATATTTCGTGTTTTAAACCGTTAAACATGTTTATATAAATTGTAAGAAATGCACCTATAAACGTTTTCTATTCCTTTATTCTACTTTAGACGAAAAAGATAAAGATAACAATAAAATCAAAAACAAATAAAAATTTAAAGATTGAAAAATCAATTGATAGTATTGTGTACTGGTTTGACGGCAAGTTGGTCTCATTCCCCGTCAACCGGTTTGGGACACCGGCTGCTGAGCCCAATGGATCTGAACATACCACTATCGACTAAGTGAAAGGACATGATAATTGCTTTATATGTTAGACTATTTTGCAATATACCGAAATAGAGATAAGTAATCGTCGATAATTTAGACTTCACTTATGTGTATAGGGGAAAGAAAAATATTTCACCCACTCAGAGCCAGGATTGGTATTGTAGCGGTAACGAAACAAAGTATATTATTTTTTAATTTATAATTTTATACGAATACTTCTTAGTGCTAAAACTATGCGACTGTAGGTCTATTTTTTAAGTTTCTTGCTTTTTTAAAATCGCATTCTATTTGTTTGTATGAAAATCTAATAAGCATTTTTCAAAATCTATTTATGATGGATAATGAAATAATCTTAAAGGGTTCCCAATAATATAAGTTATACAACGTTGTACAAAAAAGAAGTAATTTTGTACCAAAACATAGTGAAAGCCCGTTTCCCCCTTGTGGGGCATGGGGCGATCAGATTTCTGTGCCCTGCCAGGCAATACATTTAACAATTTGGCTACAGAGGCGGTCGAACATAGGTAAACATTTTATAGCGATATAATATAGGTATACATCCTACAATAAATACATTCTGTAAAAATGTAATATCAATTATAATATGTTTCTCAACAGCCACCAAAGAAAACCAACAGTAATTTATGATTCTAATAGGTCTTGTTTTTAGAGCATGGAAAGTAGAAAGTTTTAAAAAGTAGGTAAGAATTTTGCTTTATTCGTTAAATAACGATCAATATAAATTAGAAAGACAAATATTGTGTGTATGGAACCCAGATTCCCCTACGTGGGACATGGGGTCGACTCGTTTCGTGGTCCGAACCACTAATTGCTTCTATTTTAAGGCACGGTTGATAAGACTATTTTGTTTCCCTGGGGAAACTGAGGATATCTCGCGCTTCATACGTTAGCAATGTTGCCCGAAATAATGCCCGGCTTACTTGATGGAAGGTAAAATAACCCAGCTAAAAAACGTCTGAACAACCACTTAATTTTCGGATTTTTTGATTTTAGAAACATGTAAGAAAGAGCGGGAATCGAAACCACGACCCGATGATTATTAGCCTTGCATTCTACCATTGGATCAGCAAACCCGTTGTGCTGATTTGTGTCAAATATTAAATTTCTTTTAACGGAATGTTTCACAATATCAGTCAGGGAATTTTATTTGTGGAGAAAATAATTACCGTATACTTTTAAAAAATACATGCTTTTAGAAGAATTTTGCCAGCGATATCCAGCCAGGTTTATTATGGCACCAATATTACAAGAAATAAAGTAATTACAAGAATCAAATCAATGAAACTATGGTAAATGTTATTTTCTGTATAAGATTCATTTTTATTATTAAATATACTGTTCAAAAATGAACATTAAATTTATTTAAGTATATATAACAAACTAAATATTTACAACCTATTATATTATTATTATTTTTATAGCTAAGCATTTTGAGAAAGAATAAGTCATTTGACTTATATACTAAATTAACTTTGCAACGAAGAAGATTTAAAATTAATAAAAAGGATAGAGTTATTTTTTTAGTAATGGGAAAGTGAGGTTTTTAGGTGAGGTGACACAGACATAAAACTGTGCCTGCCCTATGCCCCGCGTGTGAGAAACAGGATTCCACACATTTTTCAACTATAAAAGCGTATTTATGTTACGACACAATAATTTGTAATATTGTATCAGTGAGTAGTGAGTTAGAGACTTGTAAAGTTCTTTACAACATAATTGTAACGGTCATTGACCTGGTTTTAGTTGCTCCCTCTAAAATAGAGTTAATAAATTGATGTTATAACAATTGGTTCTCATTTCTTATCGTAAGCTTTTAAAGTTTATGGGTATATTTGAATAACAGGTGAATGACTTTTAAACGAAAATCAATGCGGTAATACAGATATAGATTAGTTACGTTTAATATTATCGTTGTATGAATAAAGAATAATATAATGAAAACAATACTTAAAAAAAAACACTATTCACAATTCTATGGTTTAACACTTAACGTCGTAAACGGTTTAAAAGGCGAAATATATTAGGTATAAGTCCCCCCTTAAACAAGGCAAGGCATCCAAAACGTCGGGCCGTAGTTTTAATAAATTGTAAATAAGTATAATAAATATATTTCGCGTTTTTAATCGCATATATATATGTAATACATTTAAACAGACTATATAATTACAGTGTACAGTATTTTTTAAATTAAAAGTCTTTAGTTACTGTTTTTAGAGAAAAAGAGATATTAATTTTACGATTATTTTATGATAAATTGATAACAAGGCTATGCACATTACTCGTTATCAGTCTTAGTGTTATATACATATGTTACATACATATTAGCTATCTTCGTCCCACTTATTATATCTTGACATCATTTGTCGGATTTTATGTACCTATTTATTAGTTTTATAAACAAATTTTAAAACATTTTTTTCACTTTAGTCAATGGACGTCAAATATTTTTCGTAAAATAAGCAATACAATTCCAAATTGTATGATCACAAACAGGTAGCAAACATATTCTTAATTTATAAATATTTCTTTTATTTTCTTCCTAGATTTTTTAATTAAGTTAATTAAGCATAACTTTTTACCGACTAGTAATTAATTATTAGCCGTAGAATTAAGTTTATTTTTAAATCTATCAATTATATCAATATTCTAATAGGTTATGGTACATACAAACTATTTAAAAATATATATAATCATATTTTTACAAATACCACGTACTTACCTACTTTAAATCACAAGGAACGCTTGTAAATCCAATTTATTAAGTAGTCCAGCTTGATAAACATTTAATAAAAAATTGAGGAAGTAAAATTAAAGGTAATTACAATTTTAATTGGCGGAGCACTGTAAATACAACTGTAGAGAGCACCAAACATTTGTTTTAATACGTACACGCAATGTTATACGAAATAATTTATAGGTTATAAAATTATATTATTGTTTGTAAAGTGGGATATTGGCGATAAACATAATATAGAGTGAGGAATATCTGTTTACACCCGAGATACACGTGTGATCCGCGCGGGAAGACTGCGTGGCGTTCGCGGTTCGGCCCGCGGCCCGCGGGTTGCGGTGGGGCGCCGATGGCCGCGCCAGTGTTCTTCGTAGTTCGCATTCTATCCGTAATACGACGATGGCGCTAAACTTAATACCCAATTACTTTGGAAAATATTAAACTAAGGAGGTATGAGTTTATATTAATCTATCAAAAAGCGTATATATCAGCATTAAATTATCTATTTACTGAAGAAGCCAGCTACCTACTTAGTACCACTTATTATACGTAAACTAGCTTTAAAGATATCTCGCGGAAATAAGCAGTTTTCAAATACTGAAAAGTAATTACTCGATTTTAGATTGAAAAAAAAAATACGACACGGGCATGATTTGAACCGGCATCCACAGCGTTTCGTGCTGTGGATTCCGGTTCAAATCATGCAGAGATTATTTTAATTTATATAATGCATGTGAAAGTACAACATTTTACAAAAGTAACTTATATAGGTATTATTTTATAGTCTCCTTATAAAATCAGGCATCGGCCATCGAGTCTTGTAAATAGCCACGGACAATTTGAAAGGATCATTTTAAGGATGTTCCCTGTCTCTGGTATATGATGTTTTTATTTTATTAACAATACATATGTTTTCGATATCATAATCTTTTTTTTTATAGCCTGACGATATTAACAGTATTATGTAAATTCGTAAAATTAAATACCGAATTGTTTAATTAGGAAAAAGATATGCTGGTTTTCGGTCTCTTTCAAATAGACAAATCTTTATATTTCTTTATATATTACTAGCTGACCCGGCAAACGTTTTTTTGCCATATAAATAATTTTACTAAAATGTCTATTAAAAAAATAAGGGTTGATCGTAGAAGGGTGAAAATTGAGGATTGTATGTATTTTTGTATGTTGTATCATAAAAAAATAAAAATTAAAAATTTTGTCAAAAAAAAATTAAGGGTGAACAACCCTTATCACTTAGGGGGATGAAAAATAGATGTTGTCCTATTCTCAGACCTACTGAATACACATATCAAATTTTTTGAAAATCGGTCGAGCCGTTTCGGAGGAGTTCAAGTTCGAACGACGTGACACGAGAATTTTATATATTAGATATTATTCTTCTCAGTATGATGTTTATAAGAATTTTCTAATCGAATCTTCAAAACATATTTTTTGAATTCATACAATGTGATATAGCTAGATTTTATTGTAGATCAGATTTCTGTGCCATGCCCAACCGATATAAGTCATTAGGTTTCCTTGGGACTCGAACTTAGGATCTCGCCTCGCGCGAGAACTTTATAAATCACTTAACACTTTATTTTTTTTGTTGGTTTACTACTTAGTTAATTGAACCGCTTTTGGGATTTAGTAGGAATCATAATCTTATATGAATATTCCACTGTGAACTAATTCTTCTACTTCACTTAGAAGTAATAATATCGATTTAATTTAAAAGACTAAAACTCGAGAATTTTATATTAGTCGGCAAAAAGCCACCAAGTGCGAGTTCGTCTCGAGTACGATGAGCTTCGTATCAGTGACTAGAAAAATAACAGTAGGTAATTACTATACTAGAGTAAATGTTTATTAACTTTGGGTGTTTCATTTTAATGTGAAGCGAAAAATGTTTTTTATTACATTATTTTTGAAAAAAAAAAAATTGTCTATCCATCGCGGTTCTTAAAAAAAGCCCGGTAACAGACAGAGCGAGGGACGCTAGTACTGAGATACATAGTACTAGAGCACCGTATTTACCCTCGGCGTCGGCGTCTTAATGTAAAAATAAATATAAAAATATTTTTCGTTTCATTTTATTTTATACCGTAATGTATGTTTATTATAATAAAGTACTTAATCATAACGTCGGGCCGTGGTTAAATAATTTGTAAATAAGTTTAACGAATATGTTTCTCGATTTTAACCGTTAAAGTGTTTTATTTAAATGTGTACTACCCGCCTAAAATATAAGTAGTATCAACGTATTATTACGTTGGCGAATTTTTATTTAAAAATAATAAAAAAAGTCAATAAAATAAAATAGTACTTGAGTGTTTCGTCCAAGGTTGTCGAACTGATTCTAATAGTTAAATACTTTATTTTTAAAAACAATAATTTGAAACGTAAAAACAAATCAAAAATAAAAAGAAACGTTTTTAAATGCGGTAATCTTCTTTCTAATATACGTTTTTAATGCAACCAAACACTACCAAGATTTAATCGCAACTCGCAAAAGACATGGTTACGTTACTCACCTTATACATATTATACATCTTGTAAGCCTCCCGATCATCCCCCGGTGTCTGAATAGAGTCCATACTGAGGTACATGCAGTATGGAAAACTAAATGTCTAGTGCAACGGTCCATTTACTAATTTTCTTTGCAACAATCTTTAAAACTTAAAGACACAAATGCGATGAGGATTTTTGACGCAAGAAAACGCTATATCAGTTTTAGTTATCAGAAGATGCTCGCAAGGTATCAATGAAGTAGTGAAGGTAATCCATGAGAGTCGCGCTCGTCAACAGGCAAAGGGCAAGCACGTGGCCGGTCGGGGTGAGCAGGTCTCAGCGCGGCGGGACACTTGCGAATTCGCGAGGGAGCAACCGCCGGAAACCGAGGTGTACCAGGGCTCCTCGAGTACAGAGAAGTGGCGGCCCGCGGCACTCCCGCCTCTCCCCCGCGCCTTCACCCCCGAGCCCCGCACATGCACTTCGAAGCCTCCACAACACCGCTCACCCCGCATTCTATACTCGCCGTAATCGCAAATTAAACTTCCAGTAATGTTTTCTGTTAAGCTTACAGCTTAATTTGATATCATTCATTATGGTGGATTAGAAAATTGCGTAATTGATCATTCGTATTTACTTACAAACGGTGGATAGAGCTTTTAATTATTTGGGAACAACACGGCCGTTTATATTTTTCTTGTCATGTCTATGTATTTATAATAAGATAATCTAAAGTTAACGTATTTCGCTTCTTTTTTAATTTTATGGAATACATTTTTTAACCTGTCCCAACATCATTGAATTATAGAGTCTTTTTATCGTAGTTATTTTGGTAGTAAGAGAACAAACAACGAATAAATAATCAGTTTTTTGTAATCAGTTCGTAATTAACCTTAAACTGGCCATAATATGTCTATGATATTATGAAACATTGTACATAATATGGCGATCGAACGTGCACTTGTAATGATGTTATTACAGGAAATCCCTGCGCCAGACAACAGGGGTGGAATGCCCAGACTCAGACATGCCATAATTGTTTGTGTTCAAAGCATACGTATTTCAATCAATTGACCCGTCCAGCCCCTTATCGGTAACCCTCGCTTTATTGTGAGGTAAATTTTTGTAATTTCTGTCTGCGCTGTCGATTTTAAAAACCGGAACTAACTTTTTTATATGTGTATCTCTTATTTAAAATGTATTTAATAGATACAATTTCCATAAACTACGTGAATAGGTATGACTACAATAGTATTCAGTAAGATCTATGTCTGTCTAGGTTTACACTTACATTTGTAAGTAAATAATTCCATGATTTTGAATTTTTTTTATTTAAATGATAAATCAAACTAAATATTGTACCTTCGCTATTTTGTACTAGATTTCTTTATATGTGGTATATACACTTGAAGAAACTATTTGTTTTTATTTTATTCAGTGTTTTGTTTACTCGTATTTGTTAATGGATATAAAACTATACATATCTTTACTGACAAGTTTAATATCAATAAAATAAAGCTAGTGAAAGATAAATATGGAAACAGAATTAATAAAGTTAATCTTAATCTATCGGTGAAACCGCGAAAATCCCCAAAGTTCAGAGACGTATTTCTATGCTATTCTGTTTTGTGTTATCCTGCCATTCCTTCGTTCATCTTCACAAAGAGTTGTTTCAAAATAAACTTTCTCTATTATTTTGTAAAAGTATATAGACAATTAGTATAGCTATAGGCAATTCGAGGGCTCATAAATAGGTAAAAATAGTTTTGAAATTGCAATAATAAAAAACCTTTGGTGGCTTCTCCAGGATTCGAATCAAGAGCCTCTCGTTCTTACCGCGACGCTAAGCAATTTACAATCGGGCCACAGTGGTCGTTCAGGATTCGTAATATGGCATACTTTGGCGTTTGGCGAACGCTTTATAAGTAATGTTAATTATAAAGATGCTTTAGACTGGCGATTGACGAAAGCTATTGTTTTCATTCTAACAACGAAGCCTGGACTATATTTGAAGCACATTAGGTAATTTTAATAGATATGTAGTGTCTTTGCTCTTCTGTGATAGTTTGAACCTGAGTCTTCAGATAGGAGGCAGCACCGATTTAGGAAATCCAACTTCACATACTCTTTATTGACAATTCGGACGGCCCTTTCTTGACGCTGCGCAGAACTCACTGTCATCTTGAATCCTGAAAGCAGAGATGAGTGTGCGATTCCTATCTTTGAACCTCTAGAGTGATATCACGTTGGAACCGCTCCAGGGGCTCCGAGTTTGTTGTGGCCGTTTAACGGCTGTTCGAATGGGTCGTTCTATTTGTGGTGACAAGAGAAGCGTGGGTGCCGCGTGTACTGAGCTGGAGTGGCAATGACCTTGACACTAAGCGAGTGGCCTTGGGTAGCACGTGGCGGCTGACACCCGCTGTCTGTTGTCGGAACGCCGCCGCCGCCTTTCCCAGGGGAGCCTATTGTGGATACGTCTTGCAAACTTTTCCGATAACAAAAAATGATTTTTCACTTGTTACGTCATCTTGGTTCTCAATATGCATGTTGTTTGTCCTTTCTTATAAATGTAAAAATTCTATGCATATAGGAAATTTGTAAGAATAACAATCGTATATCCTTAAAATATTAACATGTTGCTGGTTGTAAAATAGAAAATAATATTACACAATAATATGACGTAGTACGATATACATATAAATAGTATCAAAGATGCAAAGAACTGAGTTCTATATATATGCAGAGTCTATATAAAGCAAAACACCGATACCTAGATCATGAAGAAAAAGATGTCCATTTGTCTAGATAACAAATCAGTGGTTTAATGTAGTAATTCATTTTATAGAAATGTAAATTGCATTCTATTCTATTTACGTATAGGTTGATTTATTCGCAAGTAATGTCCACGCTATGATATCGTGTGAATGGGTGCGATTCGGAGCCGGCGACGTGCAGCGTGTCGAGTGCGGTCGCCGCGGGGCGAGCCGGCTGCGAGCGGTAGCCGCCCGATACGTTTACGAGCCGACACTAACTTTAAGTGACCCCGCCCGCACTCGTGCACAACACTGCTTGTATTCCCTTTCAATGGAAACAAGGAAACGACCTTTTATATCCGTGTGATCGATTAGTCTTTCGGACGTTACTACGAGACGTTTTGCCACTTGTCGTAGTCATTTGCTACGGGCCTACGCCGCGACATCTATGAGTTAACGATTACCTCTATTGTATAGTTTAGAAGTTCGCTTCCAAAAGTTAAATAAGATCATTCTAACAATCTTTAGTAAACCTGCTTGCTTCTAAAATTGGATTGGACATAAAAACTAAGACGACTCAAGAGCGTGCATGAGCCAAATTATGGCCAATAGCTTAATTAGCAGTTTTAAGCTTTAAAAGGAATCCTGGAGTGGATTCTGAGCTATTCCATTGAGAAAAGTGGTTAAGGCTGTTTGTCTGCTTATCAGCTGTCAAAGAATGCGTGTGTCGTAGCACGTAGCTGCCGACTCGTGGCTCGTGGCGTGTGCTCAATGAATGAACGTGCGAACGATGCTTTTTATCACCGCCTTGTTATATACGAGGTTTGAATGTAGACACCTGTTTGTTTCTGGTAGTCCTATGCTGTACCTGTACAATTTTTCACCTTTTACTAGAGCGTTTTTTATTACTCCAAGTAAAACTAACTCAAAAGATACTACTCGAATATACAATTAAAAAGGAAAACAAATCATTGAATAACTAAATCAAAAACTGAAATATGGAAAGAGTAGAAAAATAAATAAAAATTCAATTTAAATGTAATCTTATCTATAGTCACATACTAACGATACTGTACTGATCTTTCCGCGGTGCTCACAACTACAATCTAAAATCGGATGACATAGAAAAACGCTACACTGGACCATAGTAGACTAAAGTGTATGTAGAAATGTTGAAACTCGTAAAGAGTATTCTCAGCTTAAATGTACCTTATTAATTTTATTGGAAAATTCTGTAGAAAGAAAGTTTTGGCCCATAGATTGACCCGGACGGAATTCTGAACTTTCAAACGAGGTCTAACGTACAGTACAAAATATTTAAATAATCCCGTAGGGATACGAACCTACTGCCCGTCGGTTAGTAGCCATACATTGCTACCATAGAAACAACGAGCTCGTTAAGCTTCAAACGTTAATCTTGGTTTTGGTTGACCTTTGATTTCTTTGGCAGCCATAAAATAAAAAAGGGAAAACACAAAAGAAATATTACAAATGTATAAAAAGCTGGCCACGATATACGTATCTCTATAAATATACAGCTGATAAGGCCCAGGCAATCTTCTACGACATCTATACACCAAAAAAAACTACCAAAAATTAAATTCATTATTGACCGAACTAATCATAATTTAATAAGTATTTTAAAATGCGTGCTTTCACAATTTTACCACTAACACGGAAACATAGCCATATGTTTCCGGGTTCACTTGAGGGTACGTATAATACTCCAGCCATATAACATCTAAACAAGATGCACTGTAGGCCTATTTTGGTTTAGGATTTAAGTTTAAACTTAAACGCGATTAAACTTCACAACTTTTTCATTTGTAGTACGGTAGTTCGTGACCCCTACGGAATGTTCGATATTCCAACCTTTGATTGATTGATTAGAGAAATGGACCCGGTGGGAATCGAGACAACCCGTTGGTTATTAGCAAATTATGGATTTGCATACCATTACATCCAAAAGTCCCCGAAAAAATAACCTCTTTATTCTCATGTGCGTAATATAATTATTGAACGTAAATTTTTTTTCTATTGGAATACATTAACAATGTACAAAATAACATGTTAAAAAACTAAATAACATACAGGGTTCAAATTTACGACTGTTCCGTGCTGTCTATAATTTAGTAACCGCTTATAAGTTAAGTACCTGTTGTGTCATATTTTTTAAATCTAAAATTAATATTTAATTTATATAACTTCTCATACACCATGACATAAATATTTTAATGGTCGGAAATTATACCACTAAATAATGCGTCCTTAGAAGCGAGTACGAAAATAAATAAAAAATATTTATACAATATAGCTGGGTACTTAACTCAATTGAGTTAAAAATGTTCTTGAAATTCCGCATTATAATATTGTGATGTCGGGAAATTGTGATCTTTGCAATGTGATTGAGTTTAATATTATTCTCTACAACGTCGAGAGCTTTCAATTTAATTATTTGGGGACATAATAGCGATGACGCGAACTCGCTCCAAAGATAGATGAAATTCATGAAATTAAATAACGCTTTTCAATTGTTTTTAATAAACTACGAACGAGAAGGTTTTGCAAGAGTTTACTCAAAATACTTCCCATGCTTTACTCGTATTAGACGAATGTATAAATCGAATTACTTATCGAATTCTTTACATATTCACATAAAGAAATTCAGAGCAATTCAAATGCGATATAGATAATATAATAAAATAAAATTGCGATGCGAATTCGTGAGAAAATTTAAATAAATGACTTTTCTGTTTGCACATAAAAAGAAATATATTGCGGCACAATGAATGTTAGGGGTGGTGTGGGGAGTGGGGACAGTCGCGGGTGGATGTGGTGGGCGCGGGGGTGGGGAAGTGGGGCTCGCGGGCGTCGGGGGTTGCAGGGGGTGACCCACTTTAACAGGACAAGTAATATTACTTTTTACTTTTAGGTAACTATTTCACATTTTTATCAAGATAATAACATATTGTATCGCGGAAGTTACATCAAAAATACTTCAAGTACACCATATCGATTTTTTAAATTAACGCATTATTTTTGCATTGCTTTTGACAAGCCGGTAACACAGTGCAGGAGAGAAATATACGAAAAATGTTGAACATAAATAAGTATACTTAACTCGTTAAATTGTATTCATACTTTGTACAAATTCAAAGTTAAATTCTCTATTTTTTGCTTATTTACATAAATTGTACTGTTGTAGGTACATTATAATTAATGCTTCACAGTGTTATAAGATTTAGTTATAAATATGTCAAAATCGTTTCACCCATCAAACTTTATTTACACTTAGGATATCAGACTTTAGTGCCGTTGAAATTTATTAATTATTTGCCCGGGATTCGAACCAGATGAGCCACAGCAATGATAACTGTGTATAACTTAAAACTATGGTCTAAGCACCCTAAATAGAAATATAAGCGCTTTTGTCAACAAAATAATGCTTTGCAAAAAACAACATTTTCATACATAAGCTCTTAGGTGTCAATATTGCTCATATTGACACCTAAGTTATTACATCGAAGGTTCATTAAAGAGTTTGAAAATATACTTGAATATAGATAATACCATAATAGCAATATATTTGAAAAGATCTCGATACGAAACGCCGAGCTTTAAGCCTCGTTGGTGGATTTTTTAAAACTGTATTAAGATTCCATATTGATGGTATCTTGTAGTATTTTAGACTAATATGTGTGGTCGATCTACGAGATAAGTTTTAGAAGCTGTACAATTAAAAAGCACTTCCATCTCGCTTTTTTGAGTCTTTAATTTTATCTTTTCAGGGCACATGCCCACGAACGCGACTTTCATGGTTCTTACGCCTGACGTGTATTTAATTCACTATATTTATATTATTAATACAGCTAATTAATTGATATATATGGATATTTAAGCTTATCGAGGGTTCAATTTTTCGTTAGTTTTTTGTATGTTACATTTTTTTAATTAAATCTCTTCATCCTTATTTCTGGACAAACTGACATAGGTATTCAAGGGTAATTTTCTGTTAGTTACAATATTGGTAGATATTGTGTTGCCAATCAGTGATCTAGCAACCCTTAAATATGCGATTACTTTAGGGCTCAGTTTATTGTCAAGTATTAAATCTGCTCTCTGATCTTTAGCTATCTTGCTTTTTTCCGGTGTACGAAGAAATCTTTTAATTTTATGTTTCGTCTTGTTTCACTAATTTCTGTTTCAAATTATTGTCATGCAAACATTCTTAAGAGGCCTTGACGGTAATTTATGAATTGTATATTACAATTATTATGTCAAACGATGAACTAATTACATCTTAAATTATATGGTGTTTGATCTGATGTATTTTTTTTTTACAAATCATTTGTAGTAGTTGTTGTTGCGCTAAAAACGCCGTCAAGCCTAGCCTGGTTATACTTCAAACTAGCCTTTTTTAGATTACCCTCGAATTAAAAAAATTAAGCCCAATACTTATTTTTCAGCGATTATAGCTAAAAAGGAGTAAAATCAATCCGTCTACCTCTATTCGAGGGAAGGCTTGCTTCCTTCCTAAGTCTTTACACTAGACGTTTGTGCGGTCAAAGTTACATTCAGATATTTAACAGTTGTCTAATACGAAGATTTTAAAAGACAGTCATATACTTAAGCAATTTTAGAAATGAAACGAAGACGAGTGCTCGTTTATAAGCGTGATTTAACAACTCCAGCATATTGATTTTTACGTCGCCGTGGGCCACCCCCTCCCCGCGGGAAGAGTTGTGCACGGGAGTAATGCTAAAATGCTTGTTCCCCTATTTGAGAGTACATGCTGAAGGGACGTTCAAGTGCCGCCCTTTTTATAAATACTGTATAAGTTAAAAATATTGTCTAAAGTTTGCTCTTATCGCTAACTGTTTACGTAAGATTTACGACCGGATACGAAGTCAGTCATGCAAATGTGGCATACTTTCTATTTAAGTTGTACTCTTATCATAGCTACGACGTATTGTGTTATCAAGAATTTTGCTATTATGGCGTGTTTTTCATTAAATGTTTTAACAAGACAATTTGTGGTAATTACAGATTTTAAGTTGTGTATACTTTATGTTTAAGTTGGGCTTATAAAAGTATTAAGTCGGTGGCGGCAGTTGTAAGTCCCCGCGAGTTTGTTCAGCCCCACCCGCGCACTTTTCAGTGGGCTGCCTCGCGCCGCACCCTTCGTTGCACCCCATGTGTTATTCTCCGCTCCGTCCCGCGTCGGGACGCTCCTTCATTTTACTCCAATTTACAACTGAAAAAAATTAAACAATATAGAAAATTACATTCAAATTGCCATGTTTCATTTGAAAGATTAATTCGTGTGCAATATTCCATATGATGTATTCCTTAAGCATTTTTTGAAGT